TTGTAGATGATTGTGATGAGGTGGAGAATGTTGGCACCCAACCATGTGAAGTTGTTCTGACTTGTGGCAGATCCAGAGGCTCAAGTTGGACAGGAAGGACAGATGCCTCAAGGTATGAGGTCAGCTTCATCCATGTTTGCTTTATTCTGACATGGCAACTTCTTTTTCTTCATCCTTGTCGTTTGAGTGACAGATGGATGGCACATGGATAAAAAAAATAAAATGCTGGGTCTGCAGCTGTACTCAAGCAACATACGAAGTGCGGTTGCTGATGCATTGCCAAGGGATTTGATCTCTGCTCTTCTGCTGATGCACTCTTTCCCCTTCCAATACCCACGAGAAGATGCAGTCGCGCTGAACATCGATTCATTTTTATTTATTTTCTTGTGATGACAGACTTGTCACCAAACAATTTGGATGCAGAAAAGAAGGTTCCTTTGGAAAGAGGCCGGGGGCGGATTTTTTATTTTAATCTTACTTATTTTATTTTATTTTTTATTTTATTTTATTTTATTTTATTTTATTTTTATTTTATTTTTATTTTATTTTTATTTTTATTTTTATTTTTATTTTTATTTTTTTCGGACTTATGCACGCAATGGGGCCTTGACAACCAACACCTACAATACATGCTGCACTCTTCATGTCGATGGGCTGAAGAAGGCGTGACAAACACATGCACACACCAATCCGTAGACACCTGGAGCGGCAATGAAGAAAAGTGGCCTGCATGGACGATCGTCTTGGAAAAGAGAAAAGAAGACGGGAACGGAATAGGTGCGGGGTTGAACGTCTCTTGCACTTGACTCTCCAACAACACACGATCTCTGTCTGTTTATCGGATCCGAGTGCGAATTCGGCCACGCCGAACGGCATCATCAAATCGTCCTGGTCGGCTACTGAAAATGGCATTCGAAACATCATGGCAAATCACATAGGCACAGGTAGGGACAACTCGACAGTGCGCGGCTTTCGCTGAGTAAAGGAAAGACAAGAGGGAAAGTCAATATTCAATAAAGTGGCTTTTCCACACGCCACGATTTGCACTCCTTTCTTCGCCCTCTGACTGTGTTTCATGTGTGAAGAACGAGCAGCGTTGACAAGGGTGCTTTTGCCACGAGGAGCTACAACCGCTGCCTGTATGCGTCTCTCTCTTTCGCCCACTGCACGCCACTCGGTCCGTTCAGTCGGATCTTCCTTAAAAAAAACAAAAAAACGGTATTGATGGTTCTGGTCAAGCGAATCGAGCCGAGACATGCACTCGAACTGCTGCCCTCTCTGTGATGCCGCCATCATTGATTCGGCGAGGTCGCAGCCGGCCATCTTCAGCAGCCAGCGATGAACTTGAACAAGCGTCTCGTTTGTCCCACGACATCCTAAATGAGGAACCACCAGCAAAGGGCTCAAGGGCTAGACCAAGCAGCTGAAACTTACCCACGGTAAAATTAGCCTAATTTGATTCGCTCTTCTCTTTTGCTTGGAGTCGAGGTCGAGGTCAGTGCTAGTAGCTTCTACTGTAGCGGAAGAGCCGAAAAGCTGAAAAGCCGAGGGTCATGGCGGTGCACAATTTTTCTCAAACATTTTACCCTGGAAAATCAAAAAGGAAATCAATTTCCCCCATGTCAAAAGGGATCGTCTGGAAAAACTCAGCTCTCCCTCTCTCTCTCTCTTCCAGGATTTTCGGATTGGCATACGAATCCTGGACAGCTGACAGTCAGAGTCAACTTGAAAGTCAGCTCAGATCAGCTGACACGGCCCAAGAGGGACGGACTATGCAGATTCGGAACCAGAAAGCGGGTGAATATCGATCCAGTATCGTTGACAATCATAGCGCCCAAGTCGGACTTCGGAGACATTCGCACTTCTCTTGGCTCTTGGACGGGGGCCGTCTCGTCCTCTTTGACTTGAGGGTACAGCATGGCGCGGAGAAGCATGCAAAGAGCTAGTGCAAAGAGCTAGTGCAAAAAGGATCGACAGTTTGATCGGCAAAAAGGACCGACAGTTTGATCGGCGACCAACTTTCCACTCGAATCCTGCTCTGCTTCTCTGTATCGCCAATCAAGTCCAAGTCGAAGAGCATGTTTCCATTCTTGTCTCGCTCGTGGATGCGACGCAATGCATCGTAGATCGCAACAGAACACGCTTTACCAATTCACCGCGCTACGGCAGCAAATTCGAACTGAAAGCGATCGTGTCTCGGCGACTTGGCTTGCATTCAATGCGGATCGCTCTTTGTCGTTTTCAGAGCTTCTTCCCGCACCTCACAGCAATGTCAACCAAGGTGAAGCGATGCTAGAAGTGCCATCGACACAGGCGTTGGCTTCTTGCCCCTTGCTCCTTGCTCCTTGCTCCTTGCTCCAAATCGAGTTGATCGCCATGGCTGAGAATCAAAGCGTTCCTTTTACGTTCTCTTGCCGCTCGCGATCCTCGCCTGCGCACGCGCGACCGCCGGCGATCCCGTGAGAACAACGACGACATCAGGATGCAAGGTAGATCCTCTTTCCAAGCATGGGCGCAGATCCTGCAAGTGCAAGTAGAAGCATGGGATCGTCGCTAACTTAACTCTACCGTGGGGCGTACACATTCCAGGGGTCCGTTTGTTCTGCAAAGAAGCTTCACTAAAGCGCTTGCCGATGCAGGTCGACCAACGCCCCACTACACCCAACTGCATGCTCAAAGTAAGCCCTGCTTGCCAGTCTACTGTATCCGAGGTCAACATCCATAATACGGCCTCCTCGCGTGGGAGTCGCGAATGATGCATGGCGAACAACTCGGCTGGAGAGAGAGAAAACAAAAGAAAGAAAGACAGAAAGACGGAAAGAAAGGGGCTCTCAAATTCACACACCACAAAAACAAGGGTTGCAAATCCACTCACACCATCGACGACCGGATGATGCTCGTTCCGAAGGAAATCATACCCAGCATTGAACATGCTCACGGGGCCATGCAAAGCATGTCGGCGTACCGCGCGCCGCAGACGAGCAGCAACAAGCGAGGGTCGATCTTCCAACTTTTCGTATAGAAAGCGATTATGGGTCATTCAAGCATCGGTCAATGCCGTGGGCTAAGGTCATGAGCGATCAAGTGACAAGCCCGCCTAACATTACAGAAAGGGTGGAAAGGATAGCCGAGCACTGCCACGTTCTTTTAGGCCATAGCGTGGGAGCCCACGCTCCTCTACACCACCACTTTCTCCCTTCGCAAAGCTCGTCTAAGGTGAGTTCTGGGTCTAGGACATCATACCTCTAGGAACGCGGCCTTTCTTGTTTCGGCTATCCTAGCTCGAGGCGAGACTCGTTTGTCAAATATCACAAGTTTTGCATCGCCACGTTACCTTTTTATCGCCGGCATCGTTTACCTGCGGTCGCCAGCAGTTGGAGCGGCGGAAAATACATGCTCTCTACGCTTATGTCAGATTGGTGTTTTTGACGTCGTGGCGCTCTATGGTCGTGAGAACGAAGGATGCTGGTTTGCAATTTACCTCATTGTTTGCGCGATAAGACCTGACATGCGACTCGGCCAGGAAAAAGATTCGAGTCGGGCCACGGCTCATCTTTTCGTCCGAAGCACCGATACTCTCTTCGATCGTTTGCTTCGGATCCGGTCTGGACGGCGCTGAGAGGCTACTGACAGTGGTTACGATGGCATGCACATACTCAGATGTTGAGGGATCAGTCGATGTCAATGAGAACGATTGAGTTGATGATTCAAAGTAAAGGTAAACACAAGAAATAGAGCGAACATATATAGCCAATTGACCTTAGCAAATCTGTGTAGAAGCCAAAGACTCTGTGTTTGGCGAGTAGGAACTGGACGAAGAAAGGTCGTCGATCGAAGCGTGGGAAATGTGAGGCTTAAGGAACTACGGTGATCGGAGGCATGGCAAGGTTGCGTCGAGAGCGTGGGAGTGTGGAAATCGAGAAGAAAAAGGAGCGTGAGAAAATTCGAGAGAAATGGAACAACCGAGACTGATAGCGAATAAAATGAAAGTGAGTACTGTTAGAGTTTAACTTCGGACACCGAAGCAAATGAAACATCGACTCAATCCAGACCAAAACAATAAAAAGACATACCTGTTAGTTCGGCGATTTTTCTAATTCATTTCGAAACCAGTTCTTGACAGAGTGGATCGTCCAAGACACAGCCTCCAGAAGAGTTTGCATGGACAATTTGAAAATCGAATTGCATCGCGATCCTCACTCCGATCGGCAGTCGGGATCGGGAAGGGGTGCTTTCGGCCGACACTCATTCGCTTCCGCCTTGATGCCGTATATCTCGCAAGCCGTTTGGCGGGCAGATGAAAGATCGTCGTTTGCACGAAACCTGGCGATCTTCAGCAGCTTGATTTCAAATCCTCCATTTGGCTTCTCGTTTGTGCCGCACGAGACCGTATCCTTGCCTTGTCAACTGCATTCAAGTCATGCCCGCCCATCTCCCTCTGTGCAACACTGTAGAGTGAGGAAGAGAGTGGGAAAGAGGGGCTGAAGCGTGGGCATTTGGCTTATGAATAGAGATCCGCAAGCTGTGTACAAGTCAGAGCGTGTGTGTAGGCAAAATTGCCCAACTTGGGAATTGGCTTTCTGTCAGGGTCCAACTCCCCTGTGCCACCTTACGGCCGACGGTCTCTGCTCATACCGAGAGACTGGACGGTCGACACCTCCCTTCTTACCTCTGCTCATCTATATACTTTATCCGCAGCTTACCAACACGTTGCGAAATACGCAAAGGCAGTGCATAGGGCTTGCGCTGCACTACGGTCAAAGCGGGGCCGTCGGCATCGCTGTCGTATGCAACTTTGACAGATTCGATAAGCCAAGCTCTCCATCTTTCGGCTACTAGTCCTGCTGTTGCCTCTCTCTCACACATCGACGAGCCTCATACACCACCGGCGGCTCAATATTGAGCAGCGTTCCATAGCACCCGGTTGTTCGATGTTGCAACTCTAGCAAGCTGTACTCATCACCAAGGCATCACCCATCGCCCATCGCCCATCGCCCATCATGCCGACCATCACCTTTGTCACTCCTCCTGGCAGGCCTTCTGTTCTTCGAGCTCACACCATCCAACCTGCACTCCCCCAAGACGATCAGCCGCAAGCATCAACATCCAAACTACCCTCACAAACCATGCCAGTTCCCACAACCAACAAAGAAGACGAACGATCGAAACCCACGCCGCTGGTATTCCAAAAACGTATCCTACCACAACTCACCACATCGCCCGAACCAGCACAAGAATCGTTCGGAACCCCACAACCACGCCCTCGTGTCTCCCTAGACGAATCTAGATCGCCAACAGGCGAGAAGAAGAAACCTTCACTTCTATCAACTGCAATCTCTGGCTCATCGCGACTTCCACCCCGCAGTGCCTCAACTACCAACCTCGGCATACTTCGGAGGGCAGAATTGGACGATGCACATTCCTCCAGCACCGAACTGCCTAGACCGCGATTGCACTTTGTCGAACCGCACAAGCAAGCCGCGCCTGTGATGTCGGCTAAGCCAGAACCGACCGCTGAGCAGCAAAGCACATCATCAACACAGGCAGCATCAGAACAGCCTCGGAAGCGCAGTTTGGTGATTCAAGAGCATGCAGATGTGTTAGAGCGCGCGGCTGAACGAGCTGCGAGAAACAACCTCAGTACGCAAGCGTTGGAGCAGCATGGAAGGTCGAGACAACACTGCACGTCTTCTGGTGGAGAAGAGACTGCGTCAACGAGGTCAAGTTGGGCGTTGAGAAGCAGTTCCAGGGGTTCGAGCATTGCTACTTCCCCAACCTATGCTTCTGAGAGGTCGGATGGTGAAGTTGGCAAGTCACAGGCAGAAGAGACACATGTTGTTTCGATCTTCAACCACAATACCACAGCTGCAAGTGAAGCGGCACCTTCGCGCAAGTTGACATTTATTGATCCAGCTCCATCGCGCAAACGCGGTCCACCTAGGCCGTCGAGAGCGCTCTCCCCCACTAGCCATTCTTCCCCATCCGACAGGAAACCTAGCGATGAAGAGACGCACAGAGAGCCATCTCATCGAGTGCTCGCATTCGCAGCTTGTCCCAAACCAGAACGCGCTCGTGCGGCGAGGAAACAGAAAGCAAAACTTTCGGCCAGTCCAGCACCACATAAACTAGCCTATCCGCAAAGGTTGAGGGGGATTAGAGGGACGCATCCGATCCGATCGCCTGCGCCGGAGTTTGCGGCTTTGCAGATGGGGCAGAATTGGGATTTCAGGGGAGAGGATGTGGATGAGGAAGGCTCTGGATATAGTGAGGATGAAGAGGATAGTGATGAGGAGGAGGATGAGGAGGATGAGGCGAGTAGTGAGGGGGGCAAGTCCGATATTCAGAGCTTGCAGCAGAGCGACGAGGAAGAGGACGCGGTTGATATGCAGCTGACTGGCCAGGACTTGCGGAGCACTTCGACTGCACCCAACGACGTCAAGCTAGCGCCGAATCAGAGACGCGCGAGTACACCTGGCCTCACCATTACCAACACTGCTTTCTCCACCCAACGATCTCCACCACGCACCCAAATCCAGTCTCCTCGCTCAACCCAAACCTCCCCTCTCTCTGCTCCCTCGACACGCAAGCTCAAACCTAAAGAATTCTTCTCCTCTCACCCCATGTGTTTCCTCCCTGACGCATTCGAAGATTCAGCACCACCCACCCCGACCGAACCCGATTCTGAAGGCTACGAGCCTCCCCGCGTCACCCTCTTATCAGGTTGGCTTTCCGAAGGCGGCGGTGGTGGGGGTAGTGGAGCCAGTTCACGCCGCACAAGTTGGCAGCATCCGCATCCAAACCCCTCTCTACGCTCTCCAGTTGGAGAAGAAGGCTTAGCAATGCCAATTACGCTTCCTCCCTTCCGTCGCACCCGAGAACGTACACCGCAATACGGCGTAACAAGCGACGGAGAACAAAGTAGTAGGAGCTTGGGTGGAAATGTTGCCTTCATTCGTGAATCTGCTGGGTTTGGGCGATCACCCAACTGGGGTGCTTCCCCCTCGCAGCATCTTGGGATCAGCGTTCCGATCAACCCCAACCCTACTCAGCACGATCGACCTTCAACAGCCTTAGCTGGATACAGAAGAGCGAGCCATTCGGTAGAACCGCAGAGAAAGGTGAATAGTGCATTTACTAGTCCGATAGGATCTTATTCCCACCAACAACCTGGTCGACGGCCTGGGATGGGAAAACAGAGACCCGTATCGACTTGCTCGCATATCCGATCTTTTGCTTCGGTCAAGACGAGTATGAATGGAGATGTAGTGATGGCAACATCTCCACCAAGAGAAGCGGGTAGTGCGCTGGAATGTTTGAAACATCAATTGGAGGCTCATTCGCCCAAGTGTAGGTCGGGGCGCACTACTCCCGGGTGGCTTTCGGATGGTCCAGGGTTGGGTGCGGGTAAGTATCGGAGTGAGAGATTGAGTTCGTTAGCACAAGCTATGTCGGTTGGGGGAGCTAAAGCGACAGGTTTTGTGGATGGGGATGGGGGTGAGGCGCATCGTCGATCGAAAAGTGTTCCTTTGCAAATTGCTCCCTCACCAGTACCTCCAGTAGAGGTGGAGGGCACTCTCGAGTTGGTGAAGCCAACCCCAATCGCGATCACACCAACAACAGCTAACAGCGAAACAACAGCTAACAACAAATGGACAGCTGAGCGAGATGGAGAAACTCTCCCACCTCCGCCCTCCAGCACGAAAAAGGGGGATGAGGAAGAAGAGGAGGAGGAAGAAGAGAAACCGTTTCAATTTGCCAAACAAGAACTAGGAGAAGATGGCAAATTGAGGATGGTTGTTATACATACTTCTTCCGAGCGGAAGGCGTAGAGCGATCAGTGGATGGAGGAATAGCATTGTGGATATCGTGACTAGCATACTAATGTTACATTGTTAACGATCATGCTGATCACGTGTGGGTTTTGAGCTTGGCTGTGAGGGCGAGTGAATGGCGCAGCCGAAATCAAGTCACTGGACAAAGCTCTGGAACCTGTTGAGGAATGCACAAGCGAGAGGCAACAAAGTAAATAGCAATCATTGTTATTAGGAAAGCGGCTAAGTACAAAGCAATGTATATGTCTCTACCTATGGCTAGTGCGTGTGTGTGAAATAAGGTGACACGTAGGATTGCACACTGTCGTGATAGGGGTAAAGGGGTGGCGGTGGGCGATGATGAGCGTTGATGAGCGTTGGTGGGTGGTGATGAGTGGCGACGGTGAGCGAAGTTGGCGGACATGTTAGAGCGTGAGTGCTAGGTCATGTGATTTCACTGCTTTGACACTAACCTTCCTTCCTGCTCCCCTTAAAATTAACCCTAGTGCCCTCAGCATCCGCCTTTAACCCTCAAGCACCACATCTCCGGCCCAACGATGAGAAAAATAAGCGGGCATCAACGAATTCAAGCCCCCACCCTCCTCCAAGCTGGCCACTCGACTCACGCAATCGCTGCTCAACTCTGCATCTCCCAATCTCTCGTTTCTCGTCGAGGTTCGTGTGTCGGGATAGAGGGGTGGGAGACCGAGTAGGCGGGAGAGGGAGGTGATGGAGTGGGAGCAGCAAGGAGGGGTGGATGAGGAGGAATCGGAGGGGGAGGGAGATCGAGAGGGTGAGAAGACGAGTTTGGAGAGGCAGTCGAAGAAGCGCAAGCCTGGGAAGTGATGCAGAGCGACACAGTACCTCGCTCACAGACTAGTCTCGCAAACATGTTGCAGAGCACCAACTTGACCCTCAGCCATGCATTCCATTCTAAGTGACAGTGTTTGATAATTCAATCGCTGCTGCTCTTATCCTTTCTGTGGCGTGAAGGAAGAATGGTGTCGACAAGCAAGACCGTTTTTATCAGACTTGCACCGACCGTATTCTGCTGTGGTGCGCACAAACCAGAACACAACCTTTTGCTAAGATGATCGTGTTCGCCAAAACATTCCTTTGCCACTGCAACCGAGAAGTTCAACAAGCGACTGTGCCTGAGTTGAAGATATGTCGGAAAATATCCAAGGGTTATCCAGAATGCCGACAGGACGAAGCTCGTGAAAGCATACGCCGCTTATTCACGAGCTTACTCAGGCTCGTGAAAACGCACGAAGGATGACATGGCAACGGCTCAGGAGCTCTGCAGGAGAGACACCCAGGAGAGACGCTCAACTCATCCAAGGTAGCACGATGTTCTCAAAGGTAGTGTCAGGATATATATACTCTCGAATATGATAAGCATTATAATTGCTACACACCTATACGGAGGGAGCCTGATCGTGGCCCCCACGAAGTGGTACCTCTATTTTCAACTGTCTGCGCAGTATGAAAGGTGACGATGCGCGAGTCTTGCCTTTGCTAACCCGCTTGCTACAACCTTGATCATCGCACACACCATCAAAGTTGCTGCTATAACTAGAAAGCAAAAGGATGGCTCGACTATCACACAAGAACAAACCCAACGATCAGCCAAACGGCGAGCAGCCTTACTCCCAACGCGCTGCCTCATCTAGCAAAACAATCAAGACCGAACCGAACCCTCAACCTCCCCTCCTCCTCAACACAGAATCCCCCGGCCTTCCCAAATTCGAGAAACAAGATCTTCCTCCTCCGCTGCTAACCCCAATCAACCTTCCACACATGAACGAGCCTCAACCGCACGGCAGAAGTGCATTTCTCGACCTATGAAGACAACCTTCCCGCGAACACAAGCGAATAAACAGAGGTAAACTACAAGCTTTAAAATCACCAAGTGGACGAGCACGATCGAAAGGTTTACCGAGAGAAGAGGTGAACGCTCATAAAGCGAAGATGAGGAGGAAGCAATGAGCTGTTGTCAGAGCGCTGGCTGCTGCAGTGGGGGAGGTGGGGCTTAGGAACTTTCGATCGCACTCTAACGCACACATTCATAGCGAACGTGTGAGTGATGAGTGGTATATGATTTCATTGAACCCTTCTGCTCTACATTCCCATCAATCAATAGCCACCGGTCTGCCATCAACTTCCACCCCCTCCACCAATTCTTCTTCCTCCTCAACCTTCACATTCAACTTCTCCTTCAACAATTCCGCCTTCCCCTCCTTCCCCAGCTCAAACTTAAACTCTTCCTCCGCCACATCCCTCATTCTCCTACCGAAAACCTTTGCAAAATGCTCCCTATAATCCCTCGCAACACTCTCCACTCCTTCCTCCCTATCCCCCTTTCCGTCCCTTAGCTGCTTGTTATACTTCGCAAATAGACCCTCCGGATCCAATCTATCCTGTAAACAAGTCATGTTCCTCCCAACAATCCCACACGCTATAATATGTCTAAATCCCGCCATAGCCCGTTTCTCCACATTAACCGCAAACCCATGACTGGAGATCCTATGACGAACTTGAATGCCGATGCTTGCAATTTTGTGGTATTCATCTGCCCATACTCCCGTGTGGTTCTCCGGCGGCTCTACCGTCTCCACCCCTCGATCGGCAAGCAGGGAAATGAGCGAGTCTTGAATTTTGTCGACATAGCATCGGCTAGCGAGATTCATAGAGGCAAGGTTTAGGATTGGATATCCGACCAACTGTCCTGGTCCGTGATAGGTGATTTGACCACCACGTTTGGTGAGGTAGTAATCGGCACCGAGCGAACGGAGGTGGGAGGAGACGAGTTCGTTTTCGGAATCGTGTCGACGACCTTCTGTGTACACGGGGCGGTGTTGGAGTAGAAGGAGCGTGTCTTGTGCTGCTTGTGCTCGAAGGGAAGCTTCAGAGGCGGAAGGTGAGATGGTGCTCAGTCCAGCAAGAGTGGAAGCCGAGTTGGATGAAGATTCGGAGAGAGATCGTAGGGCAGAACGTGCATCAGCTCGTTGCTTAACTAGATGTTCCTGAAGCGCCAGACCAATGTGATAAGGCACAAAGCCAGGGATGTAGACCGTTCGAACAGGGTCTACGTGCGTAAAGTCCCCTTTTGCGACTGAGGCAAGATCGCAACTCTTCCCATTAGCACCTTCGTCTCTTCTGATAGCTGAGGTGGAGAAATTCCGATCACCAAATTTGCTCTGTACCGACGAAGAAGCTTCAAACCCCCTTCTACGAGGGGAAATTGTTGGAGCAGACCCCAACAATGGCGCCTTAACCGTCGACTTGACCCCGCTGTTCTTCGCTCTCTCCTCCTTATTCTTCCCCAACAGCTCATCCTGCGCTTTATAAACATAAAACTTCAACTTCTTCGCCACTTTCTCATCCGACATCATCCTTCCCTCTCCCTCTCCCTCTACCTCCCCTATTGCCACCTTTCCCAACCACTCGGGCCCCTCCCTCCCCTCATCCTCAACCTTTCCCCTGATTTCAGCAGCACAAACCCGATTCAACACCCTCACCAAATACTGCGTCTGCCTCAACGTTGTCGAGAGCTGAGCTGAAAACACCAATGTCTCACTGCTTCCCTCAGGCAATTTCGCCAACGACTTCCTTATTCTTTCTGCCTGCTTGCCGTTTCCTTCCCTTGCCATACTCTGTAGGGTTGCTTCCAGATTGAGCATGCTAACCGAAGCTGTCTCTCCTGCATCTGCAGAGATCGCGAGGTAATGACCTTGCGCTACCAACGCATCGAGAACAATGCAGTAAGTGGTGTGGGAAGGGGTGATGCGCCAATGCTCGAACAAGTTGAGGACGACGATAGAGGCTGGGTAGTCTCGGTCTGCTAGTGCGGTGGCGAGGGCTGTATTGAGGGTGCCGCGACTTCGACATGTGGCGAGGTTTTTGCGTGAGGTGGAGAGTTCGCCTTCGCCGATCTGGACTAGTTTGCGGATGAGAGCGCGGGTTGATGAAATGACTGAAGTCTGGAGAGAAGAGGTGCGCTGAGCAACAGCCCTCCGCATATCCAACAATGCCTTTATTAGGTTGGCATCACTGAGCGCATCAGTGGTGATAAGGCTACTAAGCTCTTCAACGAGCAAAGTTCCTTCATTGACGTTACCCACACTCGCCTCGAACCCAATCATGAACGCAAGCACCGAACTTTCGATCGGCACGTGATCAGCCACCATCAAGCGCACCACACCGTGAAAGCCCGACATCATCTGTTGTCTTGCTGCTTTTTCGATCGCCCTTGTCGAAGGATCTCGCGTGGAGAGTTTATCCCGAATACCAGCCATATACGTCAAATAAGGATCAGCCTTAATCGGCGGAGGCATCGTTGCCCCTTCCACCACCTCCCCCTTTGCCGCCATCCTATACCGATCCAACCAGACCCTCGCACCCACCATATCCTTCCCATCCATTCTTGCCTTCACCAACGATTGCCAAATCACAACATTATTCCCCCACCCCGCCAAATCCACCACCTCGCCATTCTCCCCCGCATCCAACCAACCCTTATCCTTCGGAAACCCTTCCACCCTCTGCGCCGCCGCCCATCTCGCCAACAAGGCCTCCCCCTTCTTCGGCTTCCCCACCCTCCCATACGCATGAATGAACGTCGCTAACGCCCTATGATTGATCTTCCTCAAATTCCCTTCCTCTCCCTCCTTATCCTCACTCGGGATCAAATGCCCTAACGCATAATTCGCAGCCTGATGCAACTGTTTCGTCCCCAATAGTCCAATAAAACTAGCCAGCGTGGCAGAAACCATCCTCGCAGTCGGCTGAAACTTGTGCTCGATACAAACGTCGTAGATCATAGCAATCGCATACATGCACTGTGCTGGGATCGACAGAGCTTTTGCTGGGATACTGGGATCCAGTTGAGCTGGTCTCCAAAGGTCGGGTGCGATGTCTGTGTTGACTTTCTTGGGAGCTGGTTGGGTCGTGGCGTGCCGTTTGGTTTGGATCCGCATGGAGACGATGAAATCTTCGAGTTGTTTGGCGGTGAAGGGGACTCGCCGGGTGTCTTGGACATCGGAGACGAAGGATGACATGGCGGAGAGGATGCGGTTGAGTCGAATGAGACGGATGATGAGTTGCGCTCGATTGTCGTACAGCTCGTTCTCGCTTTCGCTTTCGTGTGTGCGGGCAAGGTCGGGGTTGACGTGTGCTGGAGGAGATGGTTTGGGTTTCGATGATTCTGGGAGTTGTGCCCACTCTTCTTTGTCGAACACGGCTTTTGTTGAGGCTTGCGGTGCAGGTTGTAGTAGGGTGGATTTGAGGAAGGCTGGTTTGAGTGCTCGATTGACCAGATCTTGTAGCATGACTGGTAGTAAGGGCTGAGCAGCCGCATGCGAATGTGTGGAATGCGATCGTTGTGCTAGAGTACGGGCGCCGCTACTCGGTCCTGCTAGATTGCAATCGAGCGTCGCCGCTCTGATGCTAAAGCGAGGCGTCCTCATCTTTCCCTCGCTGTCACTGTTGCTTCAGAAGATGGTGGTGGATGGTGATGATGACCACAAACGAAGAATGAGAAAGGAAATTCATTAAGCAGCCAATTTAGCCGTCCAAAAAGCCGCAGATTTCTGTCGGCCGGTAAGAAGAAATTCTCGCCCAACACGCACTACACGCACAACACGCAGAAACCCTTCACGTCAAAAAGAAAAGTTAGAGTCTGTGCACTCTTTCGCCTTTGCCTTCACACCCTCACACACACATCGCACTCCATATAGATTAGATCGAAAATGGAGTCAAACAGTCTCGCGGATAGACTTGGAATGCAGAACGGCTCCAACGGAGGACGAGGTCGCGGCCGCGGCGGTAACCGAGGTGGTCGCGGACGAGGCGGTCATCGTGGTCGTGGCAGAGGCGGTCGTGGTGGATCCGCCAACCAAGCTACCACCAACTCCAACCCTGCTCCCATGGACATTGACAGCCCCGTTGTCGCTACCCCTGATGAAACTCCGCTTCCGTCCGGCGCCGCTACCCCAACCTGGACACCCAAACCCATAGCCGCTGGCACAGACGCAGCCGTCTACCTCACTGAAAACCGTTTCGCAGATCTTCGAGGTTCCATCGACGACCGTCTTCTCTCCGCCATCCCTTTCCCCACCATGTCTGCTGTTCAAGCAGCTACCCTCTCCACGGCGCTATCTGGGAAGGATGTTCTCGCACAAGCCAAGACAGGTACTGGAAAGACGTTGGCTTTCCTCATTCCTTCGATTCAGAAACTTTGTGCGCTGCCTAAACCTCCGCCCCAAAGGTCTATTTCGGTGCTTGTGCTGTCTCCTACTAGGGAGTTGGCGCTGCAGATCGAAAAGGAGGCTCAGATGTTGCTCGCTAACTTGCAGGGAACGTTTGCGGTGCAGCATGTTGTGGGAGGAACGAACATTGGTGCGGAGAGGAAGAGGCTGCAGAGGGATAGGAAAGATCTGTTGATTGCTACTCCAGGACGTCTTCTGGACCATTTCGCAAGCGATGCTCCAGGACTGGACCTGAGGAAAGCATGCCAAAATCTAAAAGTGCTGGTGCTGGACGAAGCAGATCGAATGCTAGACATGGGATTCCGTAACGAGCTCGAAAAGATCCTAAAAATGCTTCCGGACCCCATCTCCTCCAACCGTCAATCGCTATTCTTCTCCGCCACCATTCCATCTTTCGTTCACGAGGTCGCAAAGCTCCGCCCTGATCACGCATTCATCTCGACCTTGACGGAACAGGATTCGAATACGCACGAACACGTTCCTCAAGAATCCCTCATCTGCGCACTCCGAGACTGCCTCCCACATGCGCTCCAAGTTGTGCTATCCGAAGCGATCCGATATCCCACCAACCATAAGATCCTTGTCTTCCTTCCCACCGCAAGATCAACCTCCCTCGCAGCAGCTCTCTTCTCCTCACTCCGGAGCCAGAAAGGTTCGATGTACTCGAAATTCAGCCCTATCTTCGAAATTCACTCGCGCAAAGCCCAAGCAATACGAACAAGGACAATGGAAACATTCCAAACCAGCCCCAGTGGCATCTTGTTCTCCTCCGACGTTACAGCTCGAGGTATCGACATTCCCGGAATCTCGCTTGTTCTGCAACTTGGACTCCCCAGTTCGCTGGAGCAATATATCCACCGATTGGGGAGAACTGCTAGGGCGGGTAAGGAGGGAAGAGGAGTGCTCATCCTCGCTGAGTTCGAGAAGTTTTTCCTGCAACAGGCTGATGTGAAGAAGCTACCGATTACACCGCTCGATCTGGGTAGGGTGGAAAAGGAAAGTGGAGTGGGGTTGGAAGACGTAGCGAGGGATGTTGAGCAGGCGATGCGAGGGATTGATGCAACGACAAGGAGTCAAGCCTATCAAGCGCACTTGGGTTTCTACAAGAGTTATTTGAAACAGTTGAAATGGAAACCGGAAGAGTTGATTAGTAGTACGAATGAGTATGCGAGAGATATTTTGCAGTGGGGTTCGGATGGGCAAGGGAGTGGCAATGGTGGGGGGTGGGTGGGACCACCGTTGTTGCAAAAGACAGTGTCGATGATGGGATTGAAGGGTAAGAGTGGGTTAAATGTTGTTAGGGAGCTGCCTGGCAAAGGCAACGGCGGTGGGAGAGTGAAGAGGCAAGGCCAGAGTCAGGGTGGGAGGGACCGAATGAGCGCTAGGGCCACAACAACACATTGATCAATAGATAGCTTGTGGTTTGATTCGGATCAATGTTTGTGCTGCGCTTGTGATGTGAATGCATGTGAGTTTCATTTATTGGCTGAACGATGAGGTTGCAAACCGAGTGTGTGGGAAAAGTAGTGATCGTGGGAAGACCTACCATGGCGAGAATTGCGAGTTGTCGTCGTTCGGCATCGCTGGAAAGCATAAACCCGATGGTCTTTGCGATGTTTCAGAAGCATGACAGTGAAACCTGCGCAATCACAGTGATGCTTAGGAGAGAGTAACACGGACGCCCGAAACGATTGGGTTCAGCACCCGACTCAACCCATCTTGTGCTCACTTTGGCTCCATTCGGTGGAGACGATGTTGCATGAACAACACCGAGAAGAATGACCTCAGCGGTGAATCTGTCCCTGCTTAATTGAGAGGAGATGAAACGTGCGGTAGGACGATCCACTGTGTTGCTCTGGAAAGTTTTGCGAACGTGACGAGCTCTTGCCCACCTCTCCCTTCATACCGGCTGGCACAACTTTTTGAAGATATAAAGCATTACCCTCCAAGCCACGCCTTCCCTCTTCCCCCTCAAACGCCTCTTTCCAAACCTCTCTAGAGCTCACTTTCGTAAGCATCCTCAACCCGAACAGAAAAATTGTGTCTACTCATAGCGACTAACCCTAGTCACTTCTCCCTTTCCCCTCTTCATCTGTAGAGAATGCGTGTCACCACCTCCCTCACCACTCTCCTCCTCTTGGCCTTCGCTGCCACCCACACCGCCTCGGCCTCTTCCAGCCCTCGCGCCGAAGAAGAGCACAAATTCATCAAACGTTCCCACCGAAGCCACGGTGGAGGATCTGGATGGGGTAAAACCATTGCCGGCGGTACCCTTCTCGCCGCAACGGGTGGTTTCGCCGCTACAGGTGGTAGTATTGCTGCTCATCACCTCTTTGATGACCATGACGAGAGAGATAGTAGAAGGAGCGAAGGCGGCAATGAAGGAGGTAGGGGCAGAAACATGCCGGAGGGTGCTACTGTTTATACTCAGCAGCCTATTGCTCAGCGGCCTATTGTTCAGCAGCCTATTGTTCAGCAGCCTATTGTTCAGCAGACTAGCAGCGGTGGTGGTGGTGGAAATGGGGAAGCTCCTTTCCCTATTGGTATTTTAATGTCGAACGGCGCTACTGTGCCTGTTCCCCAGAAGTTGCTGCAGAGCGCTTTTGCGCAGCAGCAGGCTCAGAGCACTGGTGGCGGTGGTGTTGTTTTCCCCCAGTACTAAACGACATATATAGCTGCGCTGATATTCTGTTGAAAGTCACACTCTCGTTCCTTTGGCAATACAGTCCATTCTTTCTTTCGTGCTTTATTTGACGTCACATGATGAGTTTTATTAGCAAGATGGAGTGGGTGGGGGGTTAGAACTTCAACCGAATCCCTCTCACCGCCAGTAACCTCGCCAACGCACAACAAACTCCAGTATAACCCAGCAACACCGTCATCGCAACTGCATCCCTCGTGTATATTGTCTTTACCAAAACATTCACCAACCCTGTCAGCAGGTTTGCTGCCAGAAACACCGTCAGCGAGTGTCGATTCAGATCTTCCAATATCATCGGTGTCACTGCATCCTTCACTCTTTCTCCGACTCCCCTGTCCGCTGATTGCTGCTCTACTTGCTCCACCGGCTGCAGCACCCATAAATACACCAACACGTATCCCAACAAGAAACTCGTGTTAAACGCAACCACCCAAAGCACGTATCCCAGATTCGCCAACCTCCTACTCACTCCCATCCCCACCAACCTCACCACCGTAAACCCTAACCACCATAAGATCGCCAAACTTGCAAGCACCATAGCTAGCTTGTCCGTCCTCGACTTACTTCTCCTCTTCCTCAGTTTTCTATACGCAAAATACGGGTCTAGCGGTAGAACATAATGTCCTAGATCCAAGCCGATGTAGAAAATGGCTAGATAGCCAACCATACTTGTCACTCCTTCCTTGTTCTGCCGTAACAACGTATCCCTTCTACCCTCGTTCGATAGTGCCCATTCTTGCCAATTTGTCCGCGTAAGCAACACCTCGTGAATCACAGAAAGGGAAAGACCCAATACGCTGTACCGAATAGACCTACTGAAAGGTCTACTCAGCGTTGCCGCAAACGGCAGAACCGCAAGAGTGTAAAAGAAGTTCCAATGAACTCCGTACTCGGTAACATGCTCTGGGTATTCCACCCCTTTAACCATCAGCACTCGTACCGAACCGAGTAGTAAAAGGGGGAGAGATTTGCGAAAATCGGAAACCACCTGTTGTCGTAGCGGGCGAAACCGATTTTGTGGGCTCTTAAGGAATGGTAAAGCAGAGATTAAGCCGAGGGAAAAAACGAATGACCCAACACCCATATCCATCCAACTTGTCCCCCAAGATTCAGTTTTGGACAGAGAGCGGGGGAATACGGGGAAATCTACGGCAAGGATGGAGATGATAGTGACTAGCATCATGTGTGCTCGATAGACTGTGAGGAAGGGTTGCGGACGGACGAACATTGATCTTTCCTCTCTTTCGACTCGTTGTGATGAAATGACACTTGGTGGTGGGTGGAGATGTTGTGGAGAAGATGTCGATTCGTCATTGCCGACGGCGGTAGAGGAAGCGTGATTGAGGGAAGAGGGAGTTTTAGTGCGATTCCAAGGATCAACAACGCTCCTCGCGAGCGGGGACATGGCAGAGGAGGCGGATACGACTGATTGTCCATCTGATCCGTCTCTTGAATGCGGCAGATTCGCCTTTGGTGTTGCCAATTCGACTGGACGGGCTGTGGAGGAAAAACTCGAGGTTGATGCCATGTCGGGTGATAAAAGTGCCTCAGTACTACGAGGTGGATGCGATGAGCTGGCAGAGTTGAGTAGAGGAGACTGTGGAGCAGTAGCAAGATTCGTATCGACAGACAAATCCGCATCGCGGTAAGACGATCCTGGACCATCGTAAAAGTTTGGTGGAGCTGCTGCTGCGTGTGCTGCATCTGCAGCTGAGTCGATCGATACTCGGAATGGTAGTTCTGCCTGCGCAGCAGCTATGTTCGGAGTAGGTGCGGATCTGCTTTCATTCGCATTGTTGTCTTCATTAAGGTCTTCGTCGTCTTCGTCCTCAGAGTGCTTTTTCGACCAGTGACGTTTATCCCTCTTGCTTTGCTCTTTTTCCGCCTTCTTCAGCATCGGCGGTCCACTTGCTGCCAGCACGAGCAGTATAGCGACGAGTGCCGCATTCGTAAGCAAAAGATGTTGAGCTAGGACAGTATGCGCACCCACAGCAGGTACGATCAAAACCAAATACTCCAACTGCCAATCTGACAGCCTCCCCGCTATCCTAAACAGCGAAACCAATATTGGATTCCGCAAATCTTGCACTGGCCTTCGGGCTTGCAATCGTACAAAACGTAGTCGTTTAGCTCTAATCACTGCCCAGATGGCGTAGGTGGCGAGCATGACGAGACCGAGCGTGTTGACAAGGTGGATCGAGCTTCCTGTTTGGTCTGCTATCCATGCTTCTTTGAGCTGTTTATATGAGGCTTCGTCCCCTAGTGCCGGGGTGTGGGATGCGGGAGAGGGAGGGTGATCTGGTGGAACGCGGTGATGGTTGGACTGTGGTGGTTGATGGCTCTTGTGACGATGGATGGCATCGATTGGTGCTAGAGGCTCGGTTTGGCGGCTAGCCCCGAGAGGGTCCATCTCGTATAGGTACAGGAGCCGGAAGAATGGGATTTGCTATGATCTGTGCATGGCTGAAAGAGCCGGTTTGCTGTTGTGTCGAAGAGATGGTGAGTGAAGAGATGGCGGTGTTGGTCTGTGTAACGGAAGCCTTTGTGGTCGCTTTTCTCTTGGGTCGAATCTATTTTTTGACAGGTTGTTCTTGGAGCACGTCCCACATGGCTTCCTCGCTAACACGATTCAGGGTCAAAGGGAACATGCTTTCAACCCCACCACCAACCTCATCTCTCCTCTCCTCTTGACCAACGCTTCTTTCCCCCCAAAGCCTACTTCCCTGTTGCTCGTTTTCAAGATGACTGCCTCGCCAGAGCCCTACCTCCTAGCCTCGACTCTCCTTACACCTGAAGAACTCCCCAGACTCGCCCTTATCACTTACGATCCCTCCACCCTTTCCTCCTCTTCCACCTCCGGCTCTACTAGTAAATGTACAGCCCATCCACCACCACCGCATACACAACGAATATTCGTAATAGTCTCCAACGTATCCTTTGGCGTCGAACAATCCTGCATTCTCGTCATCAAACCTCGTCGCAAAGATCCCAACTCCGCATCCCTTCTCACCGCTATCCCCATCCTAGCCGATCTCAAAGTCGAAATTGAACCACAACAAGGACTTACAGCCTCCGCTGCTACACCGCGCAACCATCCACCAGCAGCCACAACGTTGGGTTTATCGAGTTTGCCGCAAACCCTCCCGACGATTCATGCTCTACTAGAAAGTGTAGTGCCAGATTTATTCGGTGGCGGAGAGAAGGGGGAGACGAGTAATGCAGCTTTGAAGCTCAAGTTGAGTCATGGAGGGCAGGGGGCGGAAGGTGTGACTAGTGATGCTAGGGGTTTGAAGGATTTTTTGAGCGTATTGAAGGATCTTTTGAAAGTTGCACAGGAAAATGCTTTTGAGGTGGGTAGTACGCATTCTTGGATGAATGCTTATACTGACGATCTTTCGCATCATGCTCAATCTCAGCACGAAAAGAGAAAGGGAGAGGGAGAGAAGGGAGGCTTGCAATTGGATCCGCCAATATTCTCTCGTCTCTCTTCCAGCTCTTTCTTCCCACACCACTCCTACCACCCTCCTGCGGCGGGAGGGATAGAAAGACCAGCATCACCAACCGCAAACGACCTGCGCATCTCCATAGGCACATTCAACACAAATGGTCAACTCCTAAACGACGACATACCTTCCATCATAGGTCTTAAGAAATGGCTTCGTGCTGAACAAGACCCTGACCTCATCGTCGTTGGGTTTCAAGAAGTAGATGCTTCTTCCGGTGCCTATCTTTATTACTCTCCCACGAGAGAAGATGCTTGGGTACGGAGTATCACCCATGCTCTCGGACGTCGTGCCGATGGATATCGTAAGATGGCATCGAAGCAATTGGTGGGGTTACTCATCATTGTATTCGCAAGGAGAGAGATGGAGGGGGAACTGGAAGAAATAGCAACAGCAAGTGTTGGGGTTGGGCTGGGTGGGTTTGTAGCGAACAAAGGTGCAGTGGCGGTGAGGATGGTAGTGGGGGAAAGGAGTTTGTGTTTTGTAAACTCGCATTTGAGCGCGTATGAAGGATTGCAGGCTATGGAGAGAAGGTGTTGGGATTGGAATGAGATCTATAGGAGGTTGAGGTTCAGGAGGTTGGTGAGTAAGATTGATTTTTGGGAGTCCCCTGGGATCAAACGGAAGGGGGAAGGGATTGAGGGGGATGAAAGTCCGTTCAAGACAAGTAAAGATGCAGAAGTGGAAGCCTCTGTCAACGGTGACCACAAACGAGAACCAGAAGTGGTAGAAGAAGCAATGTCAACCACTCTCCAAGGCACACCTCAAACCGATGGTACAGATGCCCCTACTAGCCCTCTAACCATCACCACTCCCTCCACTTCCACCACTGGCGACGCTGAAGCAACAACGCATATCGAATACCCCATCATGGCACACGACATCATTATTAATTTCGGCGATCTCAACTTTCGTCTCGACCTGTCCCACTCCGAGGCACATAGGCTCATCCGCGAGAGAGATTTTGCAACTCTCTATCGATACGACCAGTTGGAGTCGTTAAGAACTTCGGGGTCACTATTCGACGATTTTGAAGAGGGCAAGATAGATTTCGCACCAACGTACAAATTCGATAAAGGAACGGATAGGTATGATACGAGCGAGAAACAGAGAGTTCCTGCTTGGACCGATCGGATTTTGTGGGCGGTGACGAAAGAGTGGGATCTACCTGAGTTGGAAGGGAAAGAGAGGAAAGATGAGGAGGGGGGGAGTGCAACACAAGACGGAGCCGGAGATGGCCAAGAAAAGAGAAAGAAACAAGGAGTGATACTGCAGAGTTATGAGTCGATAAGTGATTTAAAGTTCAGCGATCATAGACCTGTACGTGCTACATTCCTCGTTCGTATACGCTAGACTTTCACATTCACTATACACTGCTAAGTGCTGGACGATGATAATATAGATCCATCACATTACAATACAGGATGAAAGGGCTGGAGAGATTAGAGTCCCAAACTGCGTAAAATACCCAGCCAACCTCTACCGCCCCACCTTACCCACTCAGCCCCCGACTGTGCCAAACCACCCACTGTTGCAGCGAGGCCTGAATCTCTGGCCCTCACTATCCTTTGAAACAGGGCTTGCGTGTCTTGGATCGAAGTTACGCTAGGTGATGCCGCATGTAGTGTCGCCATTGTGTATGCTAAAGTGAGGCGGGAACGGATGGTGTACCACGAGGGACCATCTGGATCTATCCATCCTGTTTTTCTCTGTGCGATGGGATCCGTGAGGACCATCGAAACAAGCTCAGAGCTGAGGTTGAGGAGCGGTGCTGGATTGGGTAGGTTGGGAAGGGTCGTTCCGTGTGGGAACACCGAATGAAGTCTCGATGCGGTAGGGGAAAGGGTGGAGAGTGCGGAGAGGCCATGCATCATATGTCCTTTCACTTCCCAGCTAAGTCGTAATCGCTCTTCGAGAAGAGCAGTGACTTTTGATAGTGCGCAAGATTGGTCGGCTGAGGTTAGACTGCGTTGCATTCGGATTGGTTTGCCTTCTTGCGCATCGGCTAGGTTGACTCCATCGATGAGAGATGCAAGGATCTGTTCGGGAGGGGTGGAATGGATGATGGAAAGATCGCAAATACGAGACCAGGTTCGGAAGAGTTGACTGTCGAATGCGCTATCCGGACCAGGGAAGAGGGTTGTGAGGATACGAAGGCGTTTGGTGACTTCTTCAGGGTCAAGCGAAGGGGTGGAGCCGAGGTAGGCTTGTTTTGTAAAGCCGTACTCGGGGATGCTGGGGATTGTGTTTAGAAGCAGCAGTGTTGATGCGTCGGGCGGTGTGGAGCGGGATGGACCTTGTTGAGCTCTGCGAATGTTGCTGGTGCTGGGAGAAGAGGAATCAGGATATGATGTCGACTCAGAGTGCGTGTAGGTCGAAGTAACAGGTGCACTTTTGGCGAATTGGCGAGACAATTGTGGGAGGACGAAACGGCTTGTTCGAGCGCCAGCATGTGTGCGGCTGGTGCTGGCAGCAGCCCTGGCTAGTGATGTTGCAAGCGATGCTTTGCTCGACATTTTTGCTGGCACCATTCAACAGGGTCAGAGTGAGGAGGTTCGGCGATGGTGGTTGATAAATCAAGATGGCAAGCCTTCTGAAAGCGCTCAAACCAGCTTGACAAAAAGTTCAACTCCGCGGCACGACTTTAACAGACACTCAAAACGGTTGTGCTTTCAACTAAAGGCCTAGCAGATGCTGTATGGTAATGCTGTATGGTAATGCTCTGGGGTTTGCATTCCAATCGATGGAAGCGCTCTGGAGTGCATAGATAGGGATAGGGGCTTACACCCCATAAAGCACGCTCTTATAATCGCGCAAGATAACACCAACACTCTCTGGACCCGACAAACCAACCTCGCTGGCCACTGCCGAGATGAACCTTGGTGGTGTAACATCGTACAACAAATTGACCACTGCCAGATTCTGCTCGCCTTCCCATTCCCCTACATCAATCAGTCCCTTTCTCCTCTCGTCCTCTTCCCCATCTGTATCGGTTTCGTCCTTCGCCGGAAGCAAAAGATCACGCGGGTTGCCCGCTTCGTTCTGTACAAAACTATCCAACTGCACTCGCTCTGAAAACTTGTACGTCTCGCAGCATACAATCACGGGAATCCCCTTTTCCTTTGCCATCATTGCACAAGTAGCCGTCCCAGCACGGGAGTACAGCGCTCCATTGGCGAGAAGAGCAGATGTACCCAATAGCAAGATATCCGCACGTGGCATCAAGCTCGATAAGCTCGAGATCAAAGCATAGGTGCAAGGAATACCAGCAGCCAACAGCACTGACAGTAGCGCTTTCCCTTCCAACAGCGGTCTTGTGTCGACTAGGATCACTTGAAAGCTCACACCTCTTTCCCACGCAGCGAGCAATGTAGCCTCGACAACGCTAGAGCGAGCAAAAGTCATGACAACATCACCGTCTTTGATCTTGCTACCCGCTTGAGTACGGATGATCTTGGAAGCGTAGACGATGCGATCGCGAACAAAGTGATCAATTCGTTCGAGCAGGTGTTCTTTCGCTTCGTCTTCAGTGAGGTCTGCACTGACAACAGAAATTTCGTACTTGAGGTAACGAACAGCTACACCTTGGGATGTACCCATAGCTCGAGCGTCGACGAGATGGCCTACTTGAGCAGAGACGGTTTTGAGGAGGTCCCGATTGAGCATTTCGCCTCGAGGTGTTGTGTAGTCTCGGATGACGTCAGCCATTGCTCGTAGGAGGGCGATGGCGCGGGTGTCTGCACCCATGAGTTGGAATTGGGCGAGTTGGGAGGAAAGACGGAGAATGGAAGGGTGAATGTTGGATCGGAAAGAGGCGCTCACTTGAGCTGCGATGTGTGCATTGTGCGGTTTGCCAGAGGATACGTTGCCGAAGAGAGCTACGCTGGGATGCTGAGGGAGGACTTCTTGTGCACCGGCGCCGGCTTTCCTTGCGCCTGAGATGGAAGCGGATGCTGCCATTGAAGCACTTGCTCCTGGAACGTGACTACCTGATGCGACTGCTGCACCTCCTAACCTTGCGTTGGCGGGATTGGCAGAGGAAGAGCCAGGTCGCTTGCTGTTGGGAGGTCCATCACGACTTTGTTGCTGAGCACGGTCGGCTGCACCACCTTTCTGAGCAGCAGGAGGGCGACCATCATCGCCAGGAGCTCGCTCTGCTACCTTGGCAGCTCTTCTTGCTGCCTTGAGTTCTTTAGCTGACTTCTTGTCGTTTCCGCCTTCTTTCGTGAGTTTGGGTTGCTGCGGCTGTTTGGATGTCTTGGGCGCCGCTGGGTCTGATGCAGATGCGCTAGGTGCAGCTGCAGAACTGGCTCTGGGTCTTGACGATGGCGAGGGGGCAGCCGGTGCTGCTGCTGGGTCGGACATGTTGTTTTCTGATCGAATGCGAGTTGATGGGAGAAAGATGTAGTTGTCAAGTCTTGGTTGAAAGGGTTTGATAGCAAGCCAAGACTTGAGCTTTCCAACCTTTTTTCTTTTTTTTTTTTTTTTTTTTTTTTTTTTTTTTTTTTTCTTTCGGTCCCGCGAGCTATGTAACAGGCAGCATGATTCTCGAGCCATGTGTGTTGCGTTGATCGATGTAACACTCACAAGGTTATAGAAGCAATCGGCGATTTCTTTTGTGTATGACTCGGTCCGCTGCAAGCATTCCTGTGGAAGGGCGACACCTGAAAGTGGAGCTTTACACGAAAAGCAGCGCGCGCTCTTCTCTCACACAGACGCCAAGCTTATCATCGTCGTCAGCCTGTTGTCCGCTGTGATCCAGCTTGTCGTTGATAGAGGCAAAGAGTATGTTCTTCTAGACTGACACTAAGCTCTGGGGAAAATCATTGTGCTCGTGAGCGATCACACATTCCACCTCGAGGTGAGTTGAAGATGGCTCCGTGTCCCCTTTCCGGTGGGATGGTAGGAATATCAGTGTGGTGTGCTTCGCAATGAGTCTTCGTGTGACCTGTGACAAAAGGTGCAAGATTGGTGTGACAGGGTGACACAAGAACGAAGAAAAGAAGCCTCGGCTGAGCAGAGAGTAGAAGCATCCATGCTGCTTTCCCGCTCCGCCCACAGAGAAAGAAGGTGCTTTACAATTGTCTCGCTGAGTATGATATCGGATAGCACTTTCCTCTCAGCCTTTTGCCTGATCACGTTCCAGTCTAGCTGTGTGTCTGTTCTGGCTGAACCCTTCCGCCCTCGTCCTCGCCCTCGTCCTCGTCCTTGTCTGGTCCTGTCATGCCGGCCTTCGGCTGACCCGTCGGCTTAGCTGTCGTCGCATTGCCTCATTTTCTTCACTCGGCCCTATCACTCCACCTCTCTTCCTATCATCACCACCCTTTCACTCCTTATCGCTGGAGGTCTGGTTTGCGACCTGTCCGCAGTCGCTTGCTCAGCATTCGGTCTCTTTCCGACGTCGAACTCAGCCATCGCCAGCCTTCTTCTGCTTTCCATCACCACAGCGCACAGCTTCGACTCGATGCTCAGCTAGTCTCCCAACTCAGCTTCACACCATCACCTCCTGCGCTCGCTCGCGCCACACAACCTCGTCGACGCTGACCAGCATGGTGTCTTCGCCCTACCGCTCCTCCCACAGCGGCAGAGACAACCAACCAGGCCCCAGCAAACACGCAAAACCATCCGCATCGAAAAGCAGAACACCTTGGCCTCTCGACACGTTCTGGTCCAGCTCGAGCAGGAAAGTTGCCTCCCAGACCAAGTCACGTTCACCCGTCTCCCCCGTCCTAGGCGCCTCGTATGAGAGCTCTACCGGGCTCGACTCGGATCAGAACTTTGACTCTGGCGACTTGCCACTTACTCCTCCTGATTCAGGTGCTTCTGCGTTTGAGTTGCATGCCGCACCCAGAGATGCACAGTCCACGTCAAGGTCGGCACAAGATGCCACCTCCTTGTTGCTTTCAACAGCACCAACGTCGACGGCCATCCTGCATGGAGGTGATGATGAAGCAAAGTCGCCACAAAAAGGCAGAAGCAAGAATGATATCTTCAAATCGCCCATTGCTTGCATCACACCGCCACCAGCTTCCCATCCACCAGCACCGCCATCGCGCAACTCGCTCTTCTTCTCTTCGTTTGGAAGCAGTTCGCCTACTCCTCCTTCTCCGCCACCTCCACGTATCTCGTCTGTTCGAAGCACCAGTGCGAACTCCTCGCTACCGCCAACACCACACTTTGAACTCCTTCCAGCCGCTTTACCCCAGCCACCACCACCAGCGTCAGATCGCAAAAAAGGTCACTCTCGAAACTCCTCCCTCGGACGCGCAAGCTCCGAAGAATGCCTCGAAGAAGAGGCCAGAATCCGCGCTACCAAACACGTCGATTTCCGCTTGTGCCCAACTAACGAGTTCTTGCTAGGTGAAGGTCGACATTGTTCAGTCTACCTAGGCAGCTATCGGACTCGAGCTGATGCAGTTGCAACCGGCACAACAAGCTCATCTTTACCGGGGCAATGGCAGTTGTGTGCGATCAAGAGATTGCATGCGGATCGACAGAGTCAGCTGCTGGGTCTGGAAGAAGCATTCGCCCTGCGGAGGTTGGGCTTGCATCCCAATATTATTCAGTTGATTGATATAAGGGATGAGGTCGAGTTTGCTTCGCCCCAGCCAACGCCTCAACCCCGGGAGAGGCAGCTTGAATCGATATCTTGCTCAGCAGGGTTGGGTCTCGGTTTAGGCCTGCCACGGAATGAAGGTCCAAGTCCATCCCCCGATGCATCCAGCCATTCAAGATCAACAAGCGACATGACGGGTCGAGACGAGCTCCTTGAAGAAACCCAATCTCACAAAAGAGCCCTAGCATACGAGAAAAAGCACGAAGCTGCACTTACTCGTGGAATCATTCATGATCCACCACAAAGTCGTACCAGAATGTCATCTACAGCTGAACAATCCCTTCCAACGCCAACATTCCTGGAACCAGGTTTGGATGGCGATTCCGTAGGGTCTCCCACCCCAGAATACAGCCTCGTCCCACGCACGCCCGGTCTCCCCCACGATACCCCTCAACTCTTGATTCTGTTGGAACTGCTACCGAACAACCTCGCTCTATTCGCACGCAAGCACGCAGACCGTATCGACCTTCAGCGGTGGTTCGATTGGGCGCTGCAGATGACCGAAGCGATTCTCTTCCTCCACGAGAAAGGGTGTGTGCATGCAGATATTAAGAAAGAAAACATGCTTCTCACTGAAGACCTCGATATCAAACTCTGCGACTTTAACTCTGCTGTGTTTCCCAACCCCAACGACCCACCGCGGGATGGATTGGGTTTGGGGACGCCGGCGTATTGCGCACCCGAGTTGAGTCGCGCTACTGGTGGACCGGGGGCTACGACTTTTTCGTACCCGATCGATATTTTTTCATTGGGTGTAGTGCTTTACTCTCTGGCGACGGGGTATGAGCCGTTTAGTAAGGCTAGGAGCGTGGTGGAGATGTTGCATAGGAAAAGGCTGTTTTTTGAGAGTGAGGAGAATGATAGGGCGTCTAGGTTGGCGGTTGAAGCGGGAAGCAACCCGAACAGTGCCCCTGCTTCCCGTAGTGGTAGTTTGCGCGGGAGACACTCACACCCGCACCCCCATCCCTCCACTGCTAACGAAGGCCAAGCTTCACCCACACAACTCGCTTCCTCACTAAACCGACTTGTCCAGCAAAATCAGGGAACGGGAAGGAGGGATGCAAGTAGCGACAGCTTGGAAAGTGTAGCTTCCAGTATCACGACCATCTCGGGAAGAAAGACTACTTCGATGGCCGTATCGCGATTGCTAGAGCCCAGTGATGCGAGAGGATTGTTAATAGACCCCATCATGGGACAAGGGGGATATGGGAAGCAGGGAGGATTGTTAAGAGACTTGACGACAGCGAAGGTTGATCTTAGGAGAGCTGCTTCTATGGGCGGTAAGAAAGCCGTCGGCACTCGAACTGACGCGGTTGGCGGGACTTTGCGTAGTGCTCCACCTATCGACGCGTCGCATGAATCATCAACGAGTAAGGTGGCGATGAAGGGCTCTCCGGCGGTAACTAGAGTAGCGATTGATTCTAGACCGGATTGGTTACGTAGGCGATCGTCCTACGGAGATGAACTCACCTCCACCACCACCACCACCACCACTATCTTCGACTACACCACGACCGAAGCGGACCCCAGCAGTACACCCTCAAAACCAAGTCGTTTACGTCCAATGTTTTCCCCTGCATCCACAACCTTGCCTCACTCCTCCAACTCTAGCTCCTCTACCGAAAGACGCGTATCTCCACACCCATCTCTTCCCTCCAACACGACCCAAGAAGGCAAGGCATACGCAGATGGCCATCCACCAATAAACCTTGCTGGTGGAGGAAGGTTACCTGATTGGGCAAGAGATCTGTTGCGGTCAATGTTGCAAGCTTCTCCCTCTGCTAGACCGACAGCTGTGCAGGTTAGGGAAAGGATGTTGGCTCATTTGAACTGCATTTGAGCTTTTGTTTTTACATATACCCCTTTATTCTGCAATACTTGATTCATTGCGGACAGATACTGAAACGAACCCGAGGCAAGTGGAATTGAAATGTGGTGCGTGCCTACGAAAAAGTCTGTGGAATGCTAATCATGGTATATACCGTCGACCGCGGCAGTGTGGGAGGGACTTAGATCCACTTCAACCAAGCTTGTTTTGTATCTGAAGAGATTTTTTCTACAATCACTTTGATCGTTCTCTTTGAGTCTGTGTCATCGCTGTCGGTTTTGGTGATTGCTTGAGGATGTGGAGTATGTGGTGTGAAAGCGATTGGTCTTGATCCTTCCGCTCCTTCTCCCTCGTTTTTCTGAGTCCTATCTTCTGAATCGCCTTGTTCTAGCACCGCTTGAATAGTGGGTATATCTCTCCGACTCATACCCTGACCCACACTTTGATCTTGCTCTTGCTCTTCTTCCTCCGACAACACTTCTCCTTGACTAAGCAGGTCATAAAGCGATCCAATTATCCCCTCACCTTGCCGCGAAACCGACTTCGATCGAGGCCATCGTGAAGAAGCAAACCCAGGGTCTGAAACGATCGAGCTCGAGAGATCATAGCTCCTTTCACCACCTGCTGCTCGTCTAGCTATGCGGCTTCGACCCGCGTCTTCAGAGGCTTGTCTTGACCTGTGTATTGCTTTGCCGTCTTCGGTGCGATCGGTGGAGACGGTGCTGGATCGTTGTCGAGGTCGGAAAAAGTTAACCTTGTTTTGTCGTCGACGTTCTTTATCTAGTCCTTCGAGGATTTCAATGCCTGTCCTGCCGAGGATGCTGTCGTGTCCATCTGCGCCTTTGAAGTTGTTGCTGGTGAATGCACCGCGTTGAGGATGACGAGAATAGGTGCTAACGTCGTGTGCTGAGGCAATACGGTGATGGCGGCCTCGTGATAACATTTTCGAATTGGTTGGCTCTGGTTGAGCAGCTACTGAAGATACCACATCGTCACGCATCTTGTCTTTCAGAATAGAGGTGTGTGGTAGCGAGCTAGAAACTCGGCGGTCAATCGCCGCCGAGGCTACGTCAGGTACCAGCTCGTCACCCGCCTCTGCATCCGCTTCATCGTTGGATATCGCCTCCGTACTGGCTGCCTGCAAAAGCGCCTTTCTGTACGACTCAGAAGCTCGCATCCCGATCGGCCTCCTTTCTGTTTCCAGCACACCTGACGAGATGGTACGGGTAATAGGTGGTTTGCCAGCTTCCGATCCTTGCGTTTCCACCATTTCCGGAGGCGAGATCGCCTGCCCATCTGAATCTAAGGCCACCTTGACCCCTTCAAGCTTCTCAAGCTTCTCCGGCGAAAGCTCCTGGACCTCTTGTCGAATAAGCTTCTTTCCTCGTGCGCAAAGATCTAGAGGTCCCTCATCCGGCGCTCGCAGGCTCTGAACCAGATTCCAACCCTGACCTCGCATGACACTCATCTGCCTTTCGAATTTGGCCTCGTCAAAGTATGGGTCCTGTTCGAAGATCCTTCGAAGGCCTTGCACTGTATGCTGCCACCATACTGGATCGTTCAGAATCGGCAAGACTTGCTCGCGGGTTTCGTCTGAGAATGGCAATCCGATGAGATCACTGGGCAAAAAGAGCCACCCAAACGGATATTGACGAATCTCGTTAGGATGCTTGATAGGGAAAGAGAGTGAGTTGTCGATGGCACCGATCTTGATCTCGTCCTTGTCAGCATCGTGCTTGATCATGAAGTTATCGAGGCCACGGTCGGTATTGCGCATGAGAAAGTCGAGGACTACGAGTCGCTCGAGCTGCAGACGGAACCGCTGCATTCGTTTGGGTGTCCAGTGGAAGCCATCTGGTTCAGGAGACGATGTTGAGGCCTGTCTGCCGTTCTCAATATCGCTACGGACAGGAGCCCCGTCGGCATAAAGATCCTCCCATGATGGACGACAAAGTAACGCTCGCTTTATGGCAACTCCACAGTTGCGAAGACGAGCAGGTTCCTTCTTTCGACTGACCTTGTGGGCCCGGCTCTCATCTTCCATATCGCGCATGAGCAAAGTCTTGCTGCGTGTACGTGAAGGCCAGGGATGCTTTCGTAAGAAGTCAGATGCGTTGATGTAGCCTTTCAAGAAGGTTTGATAGCTTCCGATCTTATCTGGAAGCGGAACGCGGTCCTTCTCGTGAGCCATGCGGTCATTGAATGCATAGTGAAAGGTTGGCGAGGAGAGGTTGACAAGTTCCGTTCGGGGGACCATCTGAAGCGCAAGCCGCGAGTCGAGGTAGGATGCGCCGACTTCTGAGAGATAGGAGAAGTTGGGGATGAGACAAGGTCGACCCATGGCCCACCATAGATACTTGCGTGCGAATTGACGCTTTGGGTTCAAGTTGCCATATGGCTCTTCGTCCTTGGGTTTGAAGACAGCGACTGTGGTGAGAGGAGCCTGTGATAGTGGTGGTGGTGGTAATGGTGTTGAGTTGGAGTGGGATGTATGAGATGAGGAAGGGTCTGCGATGATGCGGACAAAGTAGGAGCCGCTCGAGCCGGTGGTGATCATCTTTGGATAGACGCCCTTGCTGATTGCGTGCTTGACCTGCTCGACCTGTTGCCTGAATTCTGCCGAGGTCATCGAGGTGACTTCATGTTGTTGCTGGTGAAGAGCGGAAGCACGCTTGGCATTGAGAAGAGACTGGGAACGACCTAGTCCGTCGAAATGGGTGATCAAGAGGGAAGGCTTGGCTTGACGCTGTGCTTTTCCGCGAAACTTGCGAGCGACGGCAGCTTTCCACTTGCGAAACCTGGCATCAAAGTCGAAGTCGTCTTGGTCGTTTTGCTGCTGGGACGCTCGTATGCTACCGCTGCTGCGGTTGGGTTGCGAAGCGAGCAAAGACGTCCGCTCCTCGTCATGATGTGGAGCCATGGTGCTACGCAAGATGGCTGGATCGAATGTGCTGCCTTGGTAAGCACGGCTGTTGCTGGTGTTCAGCCGAGATTGGATCGTAGAGTCGACGAACGCGTCCTCATGCTGCAGTGGCTTCGGTCAGATGAGGATCAAGGGGTTATGGACGATGTCGGAAAGGTAGGAGGGGAAGCCTTGGAAGTAGTTGCAACCCATGGCTAAGCCAAGTCAGCGGTGAATCGGGTTGCACGCTTCGAAAAGGGAAAAGGGGCGTGGCCCAAGCACAGCGCAACCTTGAGGTGGGTCGTTTGCAACGACACCTTTTGGCACTTTGCTCACCAGCTTGTTGCCTTCCGAACACATCACAGCCACAGCCGCAGTCACAGCCGCAGTCACAGTCACAGTCACAGTCACAGTCACAGTCACAGTCACAGTCACAGTCACGGCCACGGCCACAGATCGAACGCTCGTGAGGCCATGTCGTCGGGCCTTCCGACCACGCCCAACAGCTCGCATCTGCGATCGGGTTTGCCGACACCTTCAGGAGCCAGATCAAGACCTTCCCTCGCGCCTCGTTCCAGCATCAGCCCAGCAGCGGATAGTCCCGATACGAGATTCAAGAAGCAGACACTGGCAGAAGCCATCTCTAAGAACGATCCGGCAAAGTATCGTCTCTCCACCATTGGCGGCATTGCTGCTGCTTCTGCTTTGTCGCCTGGCGCCTCTTCACCCATCGGCAAAGACGACAGCGATGTCGATAGCAACTCTCCTCTGCTACAGGCAGGTCGTTTGCCTCGAGCTTCCTTCCTCTCGCGCAAGTCGCACTCATCACTTCGATCCGAACCACGGCCGACAAGAGCAACGCCACCTGCACGCGTTTCGCCTTCAGCTTCCGACCTCTCCCCTGGCTCAGCCAGCTCGTTTCCATCAGCAGTCGCCAGCACATCACGCTCTGTAGCAACTCCCAAGAGATACTCCGACATCCATGCTCGCAGCAGCTACACGCCCTCCATGGTCAGCAGAACTCCATCTCATACCTCCCATGCATCATCAACCGCAGCCTCGTGTGCAAGACAAGACATTCGTCGAGGACGCCAACTCGAGATTGGCGACTTGGTCCACATGGAAACATCCCAGCTCGTCGGTGTCCTTCGTCATCTCGGTCCTGTCCAGTTCAAAGCTGGCTTCTATGCTGGTCTCGAGCTTACTGGCGACAGCGTCGGCAAGGGTAAGAACGACGGCAGCGTTCAAGGAACTCAGTACTTTGCATGTGCTCCAGGCAACGGCCTTTTTTGTCCCGCTTCCAAAGTCGTCGCTATCAACGATGTACCTCCTACCGATGCCGTACCTCGTCCAGCTTCGTCAATGTCGAATCGACCATCCTCTCGCGCCTCGGACCTTCATGATCGCTCAGGTGCCATCACACCCTCTCGACGACGAGCAAGCACCGTCTCACGGCCACCCTCCGAGACACCATCCCGCACCTCATCTCGTCTCAGCGTTCGTCCACCTTCCGTAACCCCTGGCAGCAGACCAGCCTCGGTCCTCTCCGCTTCTCGCCCTGCCAGTCGACTCACCGCACGCAAGAGTCTCGCCGCACCGCCTACCCGGCGCGATGATCAACGAGATACAACCATGCGCCAACCAAGCTTGAGCAACGTCAACCAGACGAGCCCTGTACGAGGCGCTGGAGCCGCGACATCTGCATCCTCCATCGCAGCAAGGACTCCCAGGTCCTCGATCGCAGGCGTACGTGCTGCATCTAGCCTCCTTCAGAGCACGCCGAGTCTCGCCAAGAAGAGACAAAGTCTTGGCGGTATTCCTACTCCTAGAGCTACAAAGGGACGTGCTTCCATGTTTGCACCACCAGCTGGTCTTGCCACTACATCCGATGCCAGTATGCCTCCACCTCCCAGCCCTACAAAGGATGGCCGTGTTGGCGAGCGCGCATCCAGCGTCCTCTCCTTCCGCTCCAGCAGCCGACTCGCTCGTGATCCGTTTGACATGGAAGCCTCGCCCGTCGCTAAGCAAGACACAATGTCCACCACAGACTCCAACTTGGACAAGAACCTCTCGCTGCTCGAACAGATGGATCTGACGCCTCGCAAGTCTGCTCAACTCCCTGCTCCTTGGCAGTCCAGAGCAGAGGTTCGTGCAGGTCAGACAGAAGTTCTCACACAAGACTTTGTCGCTGAAGCCGTTGTGCCTCTTTCACTTTACGAGGAGCAAGTGGCAGAGTTCGAACAACTTCGTGTGCAAGTTCAGGAACTCGAGAAGCAGAATGCAGAACTTGGGCGCGCTCAGGAAGCCAGGAAGGCGAGGGTATCGGAAGCTCGATCCAATCAAGCCATCTTGGAAGCAGAACGTGCCAAGATGCGAGCTGAAGCGCGCGACAGACAGGCCGAGATGGAGGAAGAACGTCGTATCGAACGCAATGACGAGGTCCGCCGACGCAAGGAGATCGAGGATCGCGAAAAGGAGCTCAAGGAGAAGCTTGCTGAAGCGCACCAGCAGCTTAGCAAGACAGCCGACCACCACGAGCGATACCAGAAGGAAGCAGAGAACCGTCAGAAGAATCTGCAACTCAAGTTGCAGTCCAGCGAGCAGCTCGTCACCGAGATGAAGAACCGTATCCACCAAGAGTCGGAGCAGCAACACCACGGCGAAGCGCTCGAGACGCAACTCAAGCTCAAGGATGCCGAGATCGACAGCCTCAAATCGTCCTTGAAACGTCTCGAAGAGGAAGCGCAGACCGCTCGCGACGACTTGACCCGCCAAATCGATGAGCTCAAGGACGCCGGCCGCGAGACCATCAGCTTGTACGAGCAAAGGATCGAGGAGATCGACACTGAACGGGTTGAGGTGCTCGACAACATGCAGTTGCTGCAGGACAAAGCGCAAGAAGCTATCCGAGCAGCAGAAGCCCGCGTCGAGGAGCTGCAGGCTGCTCACGCATCATCGCAGACTCGCAATGCACCCGAAGCAGGTTCGGCTGCAGCTATCGACAACGAGGCTCTGCGAGAGCAAGTGGCTCACTTGCAGGACAAGCTCGGCAAGTACGAAGATCAACTCGCCGAAGCAGCGCTTGCCTTGGAGAAGGAGAAGGAGTATGCGCAGAAGAGGCGAGACAAGTCGCACGAGGTGGAGAACAGCTTGAAGAACGAGCTCAAGCGTGTCAAGGGCGAACTTGAGAAGGCGCAGAGGGCAAGCAAGGAGCAACTTGCTCTACTGGAGGAGACTCGACATGCTCTGCAGGAAAGCCAGTTGGCACTGGAGCGTGAGAGAGCCGAGCTGGAAGGCTTGCGAGCCGATGCCGAGAACTTTAACGCACTCAAGAGCGGTCATGATGGTAGCTTCACCAGTGCGACCCAACGCTTGCAAGGCGAGAAGCTGGAGCTGGAGACTGAGCTCGTCCGACAGAAGCAGCAATCGGAGAAGGAACTGAAAGCCAAGGAAGCAGAGCTGCGACAGTTGCGGCTGCGATTGGACCAGGTCACTGACACGACACGCGGCTCAGATGATGCGGAACCAGGCAGCGCTGCATTAGATGCATCGCTTCGATCGCCTAACGACACTAAGCGCAAAGACGCCCACCGTCTTTCGGCCATGTCAAATAGCAGTGTCAGCAGCAACCTCAAGTCTTCGCACCGTGTCTCCTCCAACGGCGCATATGCAGCCAGCGACGTCTCGGCGATCTCCTCTGCGAACCAGATGTCTGGTCTCAGCTACCTCGTACGTCAGCTCAGCGACGAGAACAACGAAATGAAGACCAAGCACAAGCTGTTGGAGTCTGACCTCGAAGCTCGCGCCCAGGAAGCCAAGACCAAGTCGCGTGCTTTGGAGCTCACAGTGCAGTCACTCGGAAAGCAGCTCGAGGCTGACGAAGGCGTCTCTGGCACTGCATCCACTTGGGAGCTAGCCGAAAAGCTTGCTGACAACGAAGCACAATTGCATAGCAGCCAGAGCATCATTGCCGACCTCAAGTGTACACTCGAAGCAACCAAGATGGAAGGACGCGAGACGACCGATTCGCTGCGGAAGGAAGTGTCGCATCTCGAAGCCCTTGTGGAAGCACGTATCTTCCGAGAGGAGGAATTGGTGGCTGAAGTGGAACGTCTATCGCGAAAGTTGGATGAGCGCAGTCCTTCTCGTAGCTTGTCCAAGTCTTGGACAGTGGACAAGCAGGACGGCAGGAGCGTGGCGAGTATCGCTGTAGACCAGCCCAAGCAGGAAGCAGCAGCAGCGGCTTGGAGGCTGAGTTCAGAGAAGCCAAAGACGACTGCTGTCGAAGCCGAGGAGGAGGAAGAGGAACTCGACTTTTGCGGATTGTGCTCTCAGCGAGGTCATGCGTTGGAGAATTGCGATAAGCTACTGAACGGGAACAGACCGGAAGCACAGAAGGCTCAACCCAGCAACGGTGATGGTAGTGGCAATGGTGCACAGGGGGAGAATGAGCCTTGCGACGATTGTGGCGAGGTTGGACATCGATTTGAGGATTGTCCTTACGCAGCGGAGATCTTCTGAGCTGCCATGAGGCTGTCAATCTTGTCCTTGGCTGGAATACAATCATCTGCAATGGAGCCTGGGACTCGTTGGTTCATTTTCAGAACGCTTTTCCGTGCCTCTATTTGGACTGTGTTTTGGATGAGTAATTGAGTAATTTCTTCGGACGAAGTGAAACGGCAGAGGCGGACTGAACTGAAGCTTGTAAGCTAGATAAGCAGCAGCCTCCGACTTTGCTTGATCGGGATGTACAACAGAAGGCTAGAAGATAGGCAAGCTTCTCTGCCTGAATTGACTGTATCATCTGCGATATGGCCTTAGCTTGGATCGGTTACCAAGAATCCAGAGAGAAGTGGCAGTAGAATCGAAAGTCTGTTAGGAGCAGCTAAGGGAATGGGACACGTGACTGAACGCGACCCGACGCGGACGTCTTCTTGTCAAGTGAGACGCGAGGCGACCTCAATTTCCCGAAAAAAAAAAAAGGGGAAAATTGAAAAGAAAAAGAAAAAGAAAAAGGAAAAAAAAAAAAAAAAAAAAAAAAAAAAAAAAAAAAACGGTGCGAGGAGAGAAATGAAAGAAGAAAGGGGACGAGGTTCGGATCGACTGTGCTGGTAATCCCTTGGATAGATGATTGCATGTTCAGCTCCCCTTAGCATGGCAGTGATCCATGAGGAGAATTGCTGGGAATCAGGGCATGGGGCTTGAGACAAGGTGCCAAAAAAAACAAGCAAAAGCAGACTTTTCATTGTGGAGAGATCTGAGACAAAGAAAGAAGATGAAGCTACACCTCGCGCTACATTGTTGTGCATCCCTAAACCGAAGAATGGGAAGAGGTGAGCAGACGTCGGCGAGGAGTCGTAGCATAGCTTTTGCATCGTGGCTTTCTGACGCCACCATCTTTCTTGCCTCCTCTTGTCCCGGTTCTTCTCAATCTCGCTTCCATTCTTGAAACAGCCCGCAGTAGTGAGGGTTAGGACGAGCATGCAATGTATCACGGGGACTGAGTATGATAACTTTTTATTGTGTGCAGGCCGAATGAGTGTGGACCACACGCATGTCTGCGGCAACAGCAGCAGCTGTCAGGGTCTGGATAATCCCCTTTCTTTCCAACACGCCAGGAGGTGGCGTCTTTTTTGGTCGTTGCGGGCGTGTGTGAGGAAGTGGGTGTGTGTCTGTGTGTGTGTTTTTTTTTCTCCTGAAAAAGGAAAGGAAATCGCCAAATGTGCGACGCGCTGTGCTCTCTTCGCGTTGGCCAAGAAAAAAAGGGGAAAGAAATGCTGCATTTTCCACCTTTTTTTTTTTTTTTCTCTTTTTCTTTTTTCTTTTTCTTTTCTTTTCTTTTTTTTCTTTCTTTTTTTTTTTTTCTTTTTTTCTTTTTTCTTTTCTTTTCTTTTCTTTTCGCCTTCCCCCTTCCTTCGCGTCTTCTCCTGCCTGTTGCGTGGCCAAAAATGGCTCAGTTCGAGTTGGGCAAGTACGACTCCACGGCGCGCTAATTTTCGCTCGGAGAAATCTCAAGGAAACTCGACGCATCTTTTAGCGGACTGAGTGAGCTGCTGCTGTGCCGATTTCTCACTCTGTCTCTGGCCTCGGCCAACGAAATTGATCCGCTGCGACTGCCAATTACGCGCTGACAGTTGACACTCACACATAGCTATCTCTCCCTCTTTCCCTCCCTCTTTCTCTCTCTCTCTCTCTCTTGCATCCGCCGCCAAACTGTGCTCGACCTTTGCTTTTCCCTTTCCATTAGTTGGTCGACCGTCTTCCATCACCACCGTTCCTCACTTCTCTCGCTTGACCATCTTATCTTTCATCACCAACACCATTTCTAGCAGTACTTCGTCACGTATTCACTATCACCATCTTCCGTCTTTACAGTGTCACGCACCATTGTCGCAGATACCCGCATCTTTCGACATTGCGACTAAGCATCCAATCTACGCGCTAGCCAAACTCGCCTCATCTACATCCGCATATCGACAACCACCTTTAGAACAACTCATCCATCCGTTTACCACCATTTCAGCACAGAATCAACTCCATTCTAGTCGTGCTTTAGACAGTCATACCGCGTACATCCACATTTAGCAGCGGATAGCAGCACTGCCTTGGACTTCCGACCGCGTCGAGTTAACTTCTCCCTCCATCTTCATATCAGTGCACTTGCACCATCACAAAGGCAAATATCGTCAAGGATCATTTCAGTCGACCTCCATCAACCATAACAATTTCATGCTGTAAAGAGCCAGCTTCAATGATCTAAGCGAGTGCGTGCATCATCTCAACCACCAAACGATACCCGTATGCACACTAGCTTTTGCACCTCTCTATTCTCCGCCTCAGCGATCAAAACACAGGCTCGTTCGATCCGACTCAGCACGCTTTCAGCCCTCTGCATACAAAACATCTCCTCACTCTCTCGCCAACGCCGCCCGGAGGCCTCCGAGGTCGTGTTGATAGGACACAATGAATCACAACCACGACTCTTCCATCTCGCCAAACAAGGCCTCTCATCCACCACGCAACGTGGACTTGCACCTTCAATCGCAGGCCATCATGACGCCTCCACCTAGCTTTGGCTCTCACGCCTTCCATAAATCGCCTTTTGCTTCTTGGATGGACCAACTTCCCTCCGTTCCAGCAACTGAACTGCGACCACAGACCGTCTCCATCCCACGCTCGCATGCCTTTTCCTCGTTGGCACCACTCGCCAAGCTATCACCCACAGAAGAGTCTCACAACATTGACATGCATGCGGACCAGCACGATCATCAGTTACCCTTCGGCAGCATCAAGAGGACCGTCCCTCTTCAGCATCTCCAGTCCTTCGGCAGCCCTGAAGAACACACAAGTCCATTGCCAGCTCACGCTGAGCATCATCTCTGGCATCATCGCGGCGTCAGCAATGGCTCTGGCTCTGATGTCAGCTCTGCTTCCGCCAATGCTGGCATCGAGCCGAACGCTCTTGCTGGTCCTTCGTCTCAACCCATGCTGAGAGCTGGATCGCGCGACTCTGACCAGGGCTCACAAGCATGCCGACTCTCACGCACGCTCTTTGGCTCTTCAGACTCGCACCAACGCTTGGATGATATCGAGATGGACATTGACTCGGATGAGGGCCATCTCGACACACTACCTCCAGCTTCTCCTTCGCCATTGTACGAACAGCAAGATCTTTTGGATCCCGGTTCCGCATTCAACCTCGATCTTGGCGAACCTATGTTGCAACCGGGTAGCCGACCAACACATCGCCTCAGTCGCAAATCATCATCCTCGAGCACAACCCACACACTGGCGAGCTCATCCGCACAAAGCATCACCAGCGCCTCCCAACCTTTGGCTCGCCAAGCGAGATCCCGTCAGCCTTCTCAGACCAGCCCACCTCTCTCTGGTCATCCATCACAGCAACTCTGTACACCAGCACGTCAACGGTCTACAACGGGCGGTGGTATGGAACTCGACGAGCCCGCCGCACACAGCAATCGCTTCGGTCCCGCAATGGGCGCTCCCTACACTCAACCACGAGCACCGCATCGCACTCGAGCTTCCTCTTCTGCAGCATCGCATCGTCCACTTTCCGAGTTCCTCACGCCACGCAGCATCAGTGCCTCCGCTGGTCTTGGCGAGAAGCTTCCAGGTGTAGCCAACCTGTTCGAGTTTGCAACCCAGCCTCGTCCTTCCATGCACGCCCCCGATCGAGATTCCGAGATGAGACCCTTGCGCGAGGCTAGACGCAGCAGGCCTGCCAACCTTTCCACGAGCTCCTTCCCGACTGCCAAGCTGTTCGAGGACGAGATTGAAGCAGTAGCAAAAGCTTCAGCTCCGACACAGACCGAGTCGAGCACAGTCGCCACAACAGACATGACCTCTGACCAGCTTGATCTCGTCTGCACTCCAGCACGGCGGAAAAGCGCTCCTTTACGAGGTTTCGGTTGCGAAGCATCACCAAGTTACATGGAGACGACACCGCAGTTTGCTACACCGCACAGTCTTTTTGGCAACGTTCTCCAGGCCAACACTCCCGCCGACGACAGTGGTGTTGCGTTTGGTGATGGAGAGCAAAGCATCAAGAGCAATCGCAAGAGGATGGGTTCCGCCTTGACACCCGCATCGAAGGACTCGCCTATGCCGTCCACATCGGTACTCGGAAATGTACTCGACGACCTCTCTTCGCCTTTGCAAGATGCGCTTCGACGTCACGAGACCAGCTTCCATCGTGACTCGCCTGCTCCACGCCCAGTGAGTCGAACGATTATACATTCTTTCGGACCCAAGGAGAGGTCATCGCTCATGCACCAGACACGCTTCAACTCGAGCGAGAATGGTTCTGCCAACTCATCTCCCGACCCTATCCCGCGTGTGCGATCCAGAACCAGCACCAGCGCAGCTAGCCCCGCACGATTGGCTCGCGAACGCAGGCCGACATCCGAGTCTATCGACGCTACCAGCCAGTATCTCACACCGCAGAACTTCAAGAGCGTCAAGCCGTTGCAAGCTGCTTTCATGTCGACCGGTCTCGTCTCGAAGCGAAACCGTGCACGCGAGAACTCGGAGGGTGCAGATGGCGGTTCGGACGCCTTGCCACTTCCGCCCAAGCCTCCCAACTTCGGACATGCGCTTGGTCTGCGTGAAGTCGTGGCAGCTGCGACGGCACATGCTTCTGCAACAGCAGATCGATCTACGAACGCCATGCCGGATACGCCAGTCAAGAAGGCAACTTCCACTCCACTGGTGCCGTTCCCTAAGCTTGCGTCTGGTCTTCGAGGTCAGATGAGCGGCGCTCATCCGAATGGGCTCGGTCGATCGCCATTGGGTGTCAACTCGCCTGCCAAGGATCCCGCTGTTTCGAATGGCGTAAGCACAGGATCGCCTGTGTTGCCAGATTCGTGCGACAGCCCGACCTTGAATCTCATCAACCTTGGCGTTCCGAATGCTAGCACACCATCTACGCTCTCTGCTCGCCATGGAGTTGCTTTCGGCTACTTACCACGCAGTCGCCGCTCTCCTCATCCGGATGCTCATGGCTTCCAGACTCTCAACGCAGGCGACAGTACAGAGGACGACGAGAACCTCTCGGATGTGCCCAACAGTCCCAGCGTCCAGTCTGGCCGCATTCGTGATGTCAACAGGCTTCAAAAGGGTAAACGAACCATCACCACTCTTTCCTCCAGTGGGACACATGCACCTTGCCGTAAGATGCTTTCCGTGGACACTTGCAAAGCTGCTGGTGCACCCAAGACGCTTCGTGTTCGGTCTGCTGGCCTAGGCAAGCGCACTATCAGCCGAAACGCAAGCTTCATTCGAGATGCACAGGCCGTGGCTGCTGCTGCTGCTGCTGGCACTGGCACTGATACCAACGGCGAATTGCTGCCTCCTTCGACACCTCTCACGACCACAATGACGTTGCACCCCGGCGGGGAGGATTTGGAACCAATGACACCAACACGCAACGCAGCACAGATCAAGTGGTTTGAAGCAGCTCAAGTTCTCACCACGCCATCGCCATCGACTCGACGTCAGAATGCAAAGTTGCGAGCTCATCGACTTGAACTCATGGGACCACACCGCAAATCGAGCTTGTCGGAAACATCGACTTGTCAAGAAACGCCACAGAAGGCTTCAGCTTCCACGGCTGACTCTGACTGTACCACAACGAAGCATGGTCATCTGGAGACGGCATTCACGGTTGAAGAAACCATCGGATCTGGAGAGTTCAGCGAAGTGGTCAAAGCCGTCTCCCGATCCACTGGCTACGCGTACGCTGTGAAGCGAATGAAGAAAGCCTATCTCGGTCCCAGAGATCGTCTGCGAAGACTAGAAGAAGTCGATGTTTTAAGAGCTCTGTCCAAATCGGGTAAGTCCCATGTGAACATTGTCTCGCTTCTCGGCGCGTGGGAGGAAGAAGGGCATCTTTTTTTGCAGTTAGAACTGTGTCCGCTTGGTTCGCTTGCTTTCTTTTTAGAAGAGTACGGACAACAAGTGGGGGCGTTGGAAGAACCGAGATTATGGAAGGTTCTAGCTGAACTTTCTAGTGGAGTGGAATATATTCATGGACATGGGATTTTGCATTTGGATTTGAAACCGGCGAATGTTTTGATTACCGAACATGGAACCTTGAAGATTGGAGATTTTGGAATGGCTACAAGATGGCCGCTTGTGGATGCGGAGATGACGTTGAGGGGTGCTGGCTTGGGTGCTGGCTTGGGTGCTGGCTTGGGTGATGAGACGGGGCAGTGTGCAGGGGTGGAGTTTGGGGTGGCTGAGAGGGGGAGAGGGTTGGAGAGGGAGGGTGATAGGGTTTATTTAGCGCCAGAGGTGATTTTTCATGGAGAGTATGGCAAGGCGGCGGATGTGTTTAGTTTAGGATTGATCATTTTGGAGGCGGCGGGGAATGTGGAGTTGCCGGATAACGGGGAAGCGTGGCAGAAGTTGAGGAGGGATGATTTTTCGGATGTTGATCTAAGTGCGCTTAGTGGACCGATGCTCCGCGTTCTCACACGACTTTTGAACTCTGATCCGGAGGAAAGGGCAACGATGGAGGAGATAGTCAATTTGCCTACGATGGCTTGTGTAAGGGCAATCATGGCCAGAGGGTTGTCGGTGAGTGAGATGGATCAGTTGCCCGAATTCACCGATTCTTCCACCTCGGGCAGTTTGGTTGGCTTGGCGGATAGTTCGAGCTTGGCGTCGATACAGAGCGATGCTTCGACCAGAACGTTGGGTTTATCTGGTTCAGAGGCTGGTTCGAGTGCTGCCGAGTTCTCAGAAGCAGATTCAGCAGGGTTGGGAGCAAGGTCGATTTCGAACCATACCATTTCGACCAGTATCAGTTCTTTCTCCTCAAGCACAACAGTTATCAGGGTTAGGGGAGCTTTGATTCAAGAGCCTGAGGAAGAGTTTATGCGCCAAGTGTTGGCGAGCGATCCGTTGGAAGAGGGATGTGGCAGTAAGGATGGAGGAAGGTGGATTGCGAGCGCGAGTGGGAGGGAGGTGTTGGCGAATGTTGAGCCAATGCAAGGGGAGGGTTGCGGGATGCAAGTCGATGCCTGATATCGGCGCTTTTGAGGTTATTCGCAATTTTTAGATCGCTCTCAGCGATGCTTGCTACTTGTTTGATCGTTGTTTGTCATGTGTGTTCGTATCCAGATACCGTGTGGCGTTAGCATGCAGTGAAGGTGGTTCCCGATGAAGAGCAAACATTGTATCGGGGGAAAGGTGGTCACAGAGTAGATCAAGCCGATCCTGATCTACAGCTGCACCTTGCCGATCGACAAACACCCGCGTGAGATATGAAGAAAGATGGCAATTTTAAGCCCCGACCATCAGGACCGGCTTGGTTTGGTAGAATGGATCTCTGCTGGGCCATCAACACAGGCATGGAATCAGTGTCCTTGACCCGTTTCGGCATGGGCGTGGGCACGGGCAACGACAGGCAACGGATTTCCGGGGCGGCTACGAGCCCCGAGAGAGGTTGGGAGCAGAGGCTATCTCCCTTCTGCCGAATTCAGACCAAAAACAATAGATTCAAAAAAGGTGAGCAACGTTAAGCTCGCTTAGCGAAAGACAGACATGAAGCCACTTTTCTTCTCTCTGCCTCTGCCCCCTTCCTTTCTGCCTCTTTTCCTCTCTGCCTCTCTCTTCTTATGACCTTTGAGACTCTGCTCGATGCTGCTACCGATCTTGAAAGCCGTTTTTGGGCAGAAGAAAATGTGTATCTCTCTCAGCTTGGTGCGATTGCGATGAGAAAGGCTTCCGATTTGAGACTACACTTGATCGAGATGCAGGGTAGAAGGGCTTTGGGCGGTGCCGAGGTTGCCAAGTCCACTTTGTACAAGACCGTTCTCTCGACTCTTTTGCCGCTTTTGTCAAGATAGGATCGGCAAGCAAAGCAAAAATACATGTCCATCTGTTGCTCCTGGCCCTGCCTAGGTCTGCCTCGACCAAGCTTCAACAAGTCTTGGCTTGCTTGCTTTCCTTTGCGTCTCATCTAACTCATTCCCTTCATCCATCCGTTCCAGCGCAATTCGCTCGATGGCAGTTGCATTGCACACCGCAACGATGCCAGCCCATATCCTTCACCCGCGCGCAGTTTCAGATGTTATCAAGCTCAATGGCCTTCCCATAGGCTTCATCCCCGATGTCGGCTCGGATGGAGGTAGCGTCCAATCGATGGTCGCCATCAACGGCTTACTCGCAGGTCGGGGCCAATCTTATACGTATGGATTCTATGATCAAACTACCTATGGAACCATCTATAACGGCGCCAAGCTGCTCGCCCATGCTCCGGACATTTACGCCTCTGGTGCTATTCTTGAAGCATCCATCATGCCTGTTGGTTCATGGGGTGGCTTTACCGCAACAGACAACTCGCAAGCTCGGGCTGTATGCCAGGTGTTGAAACGGTTTACAGACGCTGGAGTTGAGGTTAGGTTAAGGTTTGCTCACGAGGTAAACTACTATGTCACAACGGGAGAGTATGCTCCAATGAACGATATGGGTGTATCTGAGTTCAAAACTGCTTGGGCACAGGTTTCGGCCGCTTGTAAAACTATCGCACCCTCGGTCAAGATGTTTTACTGTCCCAATGCCGCTAATCTTGAAGTTTACGAACAATACATGCCAGATAACTTCAACTCCACAGTCCAAATGATCGGTGTCGATTACTACCCACCGACAAACAACCTCGCTACCGCAGCAAACTATATCCAAACGGTCAAACCTTTCCACGACAAGTATTCCTCCAGCTCCGTCCCCTTTGTCATTGCAGAGGCCGGGACTCATCAGAGGGACAGCACCATTCAAGACCGCATCAGTTGGTTACAGGTACTTACTTCTGATCAGGTGAAAGAACAACTGCCTAACTTGGAGTCGGTCACTTGGTACAACGCACTTAGAAAGACGGATGTATTGTCGACAGGCGTTGGTGGCGAGTTTAGGATCTTGGATCCTGCAAACTCTACTTTTCCCAACCAGAACGCTGTGCAGCTCTTCCCTACCGTGACCAACGCGCAGGCAAGTATCAGTGCCCTTAGTGTAGCTACCGCTGCGACGGCGACGGCGACGGCGACAGGTGCCGGCGTCCAGAGTTTGCCGCCTAGTTTGCGGACTCCAGCGAACAGTTCAGCCGCCAGCAAGAGGAGTGCTAGTTGGGGTGCCAGCGCAGTGACTGCTTTGGCGATCATTTCTGCTCTGCGTTATCTCTAGATGCCCTGCATGCCGATGCTTGTAGATGCCCCTTTCCTGCTTCGTTATGGGTTCCTTTTGTCTCGCTCGTTCGTATTACTTCCAACCTCCCTCTGCGTTTAGTATCCCTTTTCACCGATTTCCAATGCATATTTTATCACTTTATCACTTGATCATCATTGCCATGTGCCCTCACAGTGAACAGATGTGCGCCCGTAGCAGGAGTTGCAGAGATTGAAAGCAGTTCTCGTTGCAAAGGCTCACCTCTGTTTTGCTGAATGCAGTTGCCGAATGCACTTACTCAAGCCCATTTCTCACGATCAACGTGTGCATTGCGCCTGCTTGTACAGAAGCAAACAAGGCCGTAGGAATCCATTTCTTTCACGGCAATTCATCGTCTAAGATTCTTGCAGCTCAAAGACCATCAGCAGAGTTCTCTCAAAATATCAATGTGTCTCGTAAGGAAAAGTGTCCATTGCTAACAGCGAAAAGATTACATCAACGAATCGAACAACGTAAGGATCGACAACCAGAACAAGACTTTACAAATCGAAAAGAGTGAGTGTGTGTGATTACCAAGGCACCTTAGTCAAACCCAACTTGGCCATCGGATTACCCAGACTCGGAATCGGCAGCAAATAGCCCGAGTTCCTAGCCTTATTCACATGCTGCAACGAAACACTGCTCAATTGCTGCATATCATCCTGCCCATAGAAAAATATTAGTGTCGCCCTACCCAGCAGCTCACTTGGAATCTCAATCATCACCCTAAACACCGTGCTCAACGCCAATGTAATAATCAACGTCAGAGCCCAAATACCAGCGAGGTTCGTCGCAGCACCTGAAGTGATCGAAGAATCCGCCGTCATGGGGAAGATCTTGGGCATGATCGACCAGAGTACGATAGCGTGCATCGCTACAATAGCTGCTCCGATCTGTTGGCCTGCCATGCAGAGGGGCGTGATGGAGAGCACTTTTTGGGAGAGAGGCGAGAGTTCTAGGAGGGTGAGAAGGAGCAAGGAGCAAATGACATCGGTGAATTTGATGACAGAGTAGATGTTGGCTCCGTTACGGTTGGTGGGTCGGATCACTTGGAGGTGCGAAAGTCCCGTGTTGATTGCGTCTCGCACTTGGGGTACAAGGAGGAAAACGAGCAGGACGGCGGTGCAGAATCCCTGAATGACCCAGGTTGCTACTTTGTGTTTGCGAAGACGAGCGAAGTGGCCCGAAATGTCGAGTTCAGCTACTAGCAGACCGAGGAGTGCGGGAGCGAGGTACGAAAGAGTGCACCAATTGAGCAGGCCCATAATGAGCAAGAATGCTACTCGGGTGTCTCGCTGCAGGATGCTGACAATCATGCTAAGACCGTAGAGGTAGTAGCTGTTCTGGAAGAACCAGGGGAGGTAGAAGAGGGGTCCAGCTTCACTGCGAAGTTCTGTGGGGCGGTCTTCCGAGGTGAAAAGGTTGGTAGCGGTAATGATCCATTGAGAGGCATTCCTGAAGCACCATCCCGGTCGGGTTCCGATCAGGCTTTCGAAGTTAGGGTTGTTTGGGTACAAACCGGTGGCTTGGCAGAAACCGTATTGAACACCGGTCACAAAAAGGATAGGAAGGAGGAATCGGAAGGGACGAGAAATCATGGCCATTCCGTAGAGCTTGAAGTCAGGAGTGTTGATCTCGGACTCTGCCTTGTTTCCTTGGACTGGTTGAGGGGTTGCTTTTTCGTCAAGAGCCTTGGGAGCAGCATTAGCCTTGGCAGCTTTAGCGGCTTTGGCTTTGGCTGCAGCATCGTTGAAGCTCTTACATGCGTCTTTGCGGTTGATCAGCCAAGGAAGTGCCAAAGCTCGGCCTTGAATCGCAAGGAAGAGAGTGAGAGCAAAATCAGAGCCGAAGGGATAGAGAATGCTCTTTCCAACAGCCCACTTTGTGTTCTGTGTTCCGATCACAGTGGAAGTGAGCGCAACAATGGCAGCAAGGAAACGCAAACCATCGATGTACCTCAAACGACCGTACTTCATCTTCTTGACAGCTTCAGGCGTGATTTCGGGGAGAACTTGTCCCATTTCAGCATGGTTTTCCCAGGATCGACTGTCCCGAAGAGGACTTTTCTTGGTAGTTGTGTCAAACTTGCCGCCCTTTTGCGAGTCGGTCTCGGAAGAATAGTCGGTGGGAGTGCCAGGGTTGACCAGTGTTGCGCGTCGAGAGTCATCCATGATGGAGTAGGAGCTGAAACGACCCGAAGTGTGGACGTAGCTCATGGAACGGAGGTAGGCCATGCCGTCTTCGTTCTCGCTCGATCCGAGGGGGGTTTCAACACCGGCAGCAACATCGCTGGGTGTGAAGGAGGGAGATTCAGACATTGCTGAGCCCCTTCGCCATGTCGCTGGGATGGGTTTCGACATTGTGGTTGTTGGTTTGGTGATATCTGGTCTTGATGTCTTGACGATCTTGCTCTAGCTTTGCAGCAAGTAGAAGCTACCGTATTGTGAAGCGGCGAGGATGAGGAGCTTGACGATGGATGATGAGATGAGGAAGGAGGGAGAGAGGATGGGGATGGGGATGAAGATGGGGATGAAGATGAGGATGAAGATGAGGATGAGGATGAAGATGAGGATGAAGATGAAGATGAGGATAGCAGAGCGAGGGTGGAGAGCGGATCGATCGACCCTTGTCTATCAGAGCTACAGAAAAAGAGAAGCAGGGACGGCGGCAGAGAAGGCAAAGGCTTGTCGATGTCGATGAAGCAATGGCTTGACCTGTGACTTGGCGAGACAAGGATATCACACAAGCGGTGATAGAGAAGCGCCTAAACGTGACTTGCGCCAAGAGGGTCTTCTCAAATTTCACACGAGCCGGCCGTCACAGTGTCAAAGGATCAGAGGCTGCTGCACACTTTGGGTTTGACGACGAGGAGGAGAGCGGAACTCCCCTCACAGGGTTCATGCCATAATGCTACTCAAGAGAGAGGAGAGAGCGAGAACGGAAGTGTCTTAATCGAGGGTTCGTCCCATTAGCCGAAGAAAAGGTTCAGATCAATCAGACTCGTCGAACGAATTCCGACGCCTCTACGCTCAAGCCACAAGCGAGAGAGAGAGAGAATGAGAGAGAGAGAGAGAGAGATAGAGAGAGACAGAGACAGACAGAGCAGGCCCCTCGATGACAAGGGTGCAGAGAAGATTTAGAGAGGTGCTCGCGGGCTCTGTGTAGCTAGTCAGGCGATTGATTGTACACGAGGACAAACCATGATTCGAGTCCCGGCACACTGGCAAGTGGCTTGCACTGGCTAAATTGGCAACCATTGACTGAGGCAAGGGCGTATTCTCACGAGACTCCTTTTGCGAGGTACAGTGCAAGATGGCTTGAGCCATGATGACATTCATATCGACGACGATTTCGAAAGAAAGGGTAGATATGGAATGGGACATCTAATTATTTTTTTTCTTCTCTCGTCGTCGTGAAGAAGAATGCGGCGTGGAGAAGGCTGGTAGACGCCGGCACACCGCGGCACTCTCCGACATTTCTTCGACTTGACGTAGGCGTTTGCGTATCCTTAGCGTAGAAGGCAGGTTAGGCAAAATACCCCCGACGAATATCACAAAGAATTAAAGAATAAAGGGGACAAAAAAAGCCCTCTGACATGCATTTCAATCGCTCGACCGCGCATTTCTGGTAATCACGTGACAAATGTCATGTGATGTGATCCGTGGTTAGGGATTTTGCCAAGTCATCACGCAGCTACAGAATGCTCTCTCTCCAATCACCACCATTCTCGTAGCTGCTCGCTTAGAAAATCTCGCCGTTCTCTAGTGTTTTCCCCACTCTGTATTCCCCCCCCCCCCCTTTGTCTTCACGCTCTCTTGAGCTCATCCGGCCCCCGTACGGGGAAGCCTCTCGAGCCTGTGAGCACACTCACGCTCATCCCGCAATCTTAATCTTCTTTTATGCTCCCGTATTGTTCACGCTATGTTACGAATTGATGGTTCGGACGACGATGCTTTGACTACAAAGTGTCTTCACGCCATGAAACCGTTTCAAAACTTGATGAGGAATGGGAATACAACCCAATCGAACCGTAGGGAAGGTTGAATGGGATTTGAGACGAGACAGTCGCAGATCAGCTACTCGCTTGCAAATTTCGACAGTCTTCCACTCTTCCCCTCTTTTTTTCTTTCTCTCTGATGAGCCAGAGCCGATCGTCTTCCAAGAAAGCAACGACGATTGCCCTCGCACCGGGTAACACCAATGCCAAGTCGTCATCATCAACAGAGGTTTTCACCGCAACGTTCGACCCTCGATTTCCAGCTTTCGCCTTGGCTTTGCCCTCCTCCCTCTTCGCGCTCCACACCGTAAGCTAGCCAATGAGCGAGCAAGCAAAGATGATTCACTTCGATTTCAGACAGTTTTCATTTGTTCAGTCCAGATCGTGATCCAAGATCGTACTTCTTTGCCGACCCTGTAGCTGACAATCTCGCAAGAGCTTACCTCACACACTGCTCCTCACAGAGCCGCAACCGCATTGACGCCCTCCAAGCGCTATTGGCTAGCACCTGCAATTGGGTCTAGCAAAGTTTCAGGGCTTTCATTTAGCTCTGTGTTGCTGATCGCGAGCTCTTCTTTAGATTGATGCTTGTGCGTCTGATGTTTGGTGCCTTGCACTAACTGAGGCACGCCAATGGTCGCGGTTGATCGCGGCAACCTGCAGCCTCACTTTACGCGAAGGAAAAGGTCGTACCATTCAGGAGCACAGCCAGGTTTCCCTCCATGGCATAAACCGTCGCTCCTCGTTGTCGAGATGCAGTACTGATGGTTTTAAGTTGGTGGCTTTCCCACAAAGAGGCTTGTACCCTGATCTTTGCGTGCCCACAGCAAAGGAGAGATATACTGTCAGGGCCACCGCGAGGTGAGATGCTGGCCGCGGACTCCCGATGGAATCAAATCATGCGGCTCAACGACGATATCAGAGCCAAGACGATTTCGATCAGCCACAGCTTGGTTTTGAGTTTTGCGTTTGGGCGACTCTCCTTGGCCGCAGGTACAAGGTGGCTTCTTGTCGTGTGGCCCTGAGGAACCCTACTTTTATTCGCTTAGGCCATTGCATCTGTGAGAGGGAAGTAGTGTGCGATCAAGAAGGCCTGGGAAAATTGAGTTCGGCAAACCACTTCCATCAGGAACCAGGATGCGATTGGCTCGCTAGGCGTTTAGGAATTCTCGTTGACAGTCATCTGCTTAGCCCCTTCCGATCCTGACACGGGACAAGGCGAGGAAAGAGTCAAAAATTAGGCATAAATGTATTGCGGGCGGAGCTGCAGGGCTGTGAGGCTCCAAGGCTACCGTAAGTACAGGATGAAACAGCGAGGATGCGCAAACCAAAGGAGGGAAGAAGGGTGGGCAAATGCGAAGACGAGCTAAGCGAGCTAAGTGATGGCGGAAGTGAGACATGGGTGTGATCGGGCCCACCTGTGCGATCAGGGCCACGGATTTATTCAGAAGAAATCACGTGACTGCCACATACCACCTCGCTCAACCCCTTTTCTTCCAAAAAATTCTCCTTTCTTGAGAGGCGACGAATTTCGTTAGAATTTCTTTGTCTGACATGGGCCAATTGTGCCGTCCAAGCTGAGAACCAAAATTCTAACCTGCAGATGACTTGCGGTTTGAGACAAGCGTAGAACTCAGCGAGCTTTCTAGGCGTAAAAATCACGTCGATCCTTGTTGATCAAACCAGCAAACTGACGACAATCGCACGCAGCTGAGTTTAGAAAAGTCGCCGTTCCATATCCTTGCTTGACCGCAGAGAAGCGGTAGCAGTAATTAGCAAACAAGTTTCTGTGCTTTGTAAGGGTGAGGAACGGTTTCCTTTCCGAACCAGCTTCAACATTCGTCTGATCGAACCTTAGCTGGAGCTCAATCGTGCCGCTGCCGGTGCTCTGACCGTCTCATGGTCAAAAGTTGCAGCCGGCGGGAGAAAGCGACCTCTCTACAGATTCGTTATCAGAGCCCGACCAGAGACAGTCTGACTCAAAGATAAGGTCAAGATCTGTGATTCTCACGCCGTGCTACACAGTGGTGCTAGAATTAGAATCAATAGTTCGAACGGCAACATAGAGGAAGAGGTGTCTTCGTCGTTGTCGTTGTCGTCGATGGACAAGCGGGTGAATCACTCTAGCATCGTATCACGGCACCGTGGAAATAAAGAGGCGCTAGGATGCAGCCAACCAACTTTAGATGGCTAATTTCACGGCTGTTGCGGCGAACCTGCGACCACACAGAAAAAACTGAGATGCAGGTCAAGAGCCGCTCTATTGTTACGGCGACCTCACTCTCTGGCCCATGAAGTTTGGTGCAAAACTCGATCTGGTTTGTTGTCTGCATCGAGGCGAGTAATCATTCAAGGTAAACAAATTCCGCTGCTGAACATGACCTCATATCATCGCGCTTCTTCAGTCGACAAGTGCAACTCGACTTTCAACTTGTGGTGTCAATTTGCGCTACCTCGACAGTCGTCCCGCATTAGCAAGAAAAATAAAACTAAAGAAAAGAATTAAGAGAGTCGCCCATCGAAGATCGCATCGCAGAAGTTTTCACTTAGGCTGACACAAACAGTTTTGGTTCTCTCAATGAGCAGCTCACGGCTCTCGCCTTGCAAGTGAGACAAGTAGGATTATCGAATCGCTAGGGTCCTATTTTTAACCGATCGTGACAGGCGTAAAACCTACGCACAAACTACACACAAATGTTTTTCTGAGTCTGTCAAAACCATGTAAGACATTTTCTCGTTTCTTTTCTTTTCTTTTCTTTTCTTTTCTTTTTCTTGCAAGCGAGAGCGGAGCACCGCGGCAGCACCCATGAAACCATTTTCAGTATACCGGGCGGAATTCAACGACAACTGTCAGTCATCAGCGCTGCAAGCCTCTGCCACTTCGATAGCCATGCGCAGCTGAGAATTGGCTGACAATCTGGACGACCAGTTCGACCCTATGAACCCTTGAATCTCACCGTCTCCCTGTCTCTCAACCCTCAAGGCGCCCCTTCTAATTTCTGTCCAAACTTTTCGGAAAAGTGTAGCTTCAAAGTGGGGTTCAGCACAGTGTGACAGCGACGCCCTTTGTCTATATTCATCGCCTCGAGGCAGGAACTTATCCGTGCAGTATCGTCTGGCTTCGATCATCATTCTCAAACTGGAGCCGGATGCCCGTGGTCCTCGTCAGGGTCCATTCTCGCTCTGCTATGGCAATGATTGAATTCAGGCTTGTGAAACTCGGTTTTCCTCTTCTCTTTTTTCGGGTAAGTTATCCTTTTCATCTGTTCAGCCCTCCTGCTGTGATCCTTCCATGTCGACAACCGAGACCGCGCTGCGGTCACAAACAGATACGGCCAAGCAACCCTTCTGACCCTAACCATGTCGTTCTTGTTCCGTCGTCTTGATTTGAGAAAGAAGGCTTCGCGGACCGTTGCTAATCACAGCTGCCTCTGCAGATCCGATCGTCAGTCTTTGCAACAAAACTTCTTCCGCTTCTGCGGCACAGCAGTGTTTGGCGTAGCTGTCATATGTGCCTTTCGAATAATGAGCAGCTGCCTGTCACAATCAACTTGCAGAAAGTGTTCTCGCAATAACTTAGCTTCCAGAGATGGCTTACCTGCAGCTGTCACACTCGAATCTCCATTTCCGTCCCGTATTCGCACTCGCTCATCGTCCAAGTCTTGTTCTTTGCTTAACCTTCCTTTCCCCTCATCCTCCCTCCTCCTCATCATCAACTCCGTTATCGTCTTCACAAAAGAGCTTTCCGCAAGAACTCAGAAGCGAGCAACCCTTCCATTTCCTCACCACCTACCCTACCCTCCACTCTCATTTCCAGCTGCCTTTTCGAGCACCTCTCATCTCGGATCGTGACGAGCGCAGCTATTCCCTAAAAGCTCCCTCAGAGCATCCCAAAGGCTAATTATCTTCACTCTCGAACGAGTTGCTGGAAAAGTAGCACTTTTGACGTGCAAGTTGCGACAATGTCATCGCCTTCAAGGCAAAACGAGAAACGCCAGAGCAACAGCTCGAGCGAACGTCATCACTCTTCCTCAAGCGAAATTGACGATCAAATCCTACCCGCTGGGCAGATGCCATACCCAAACTACCTTGGTTACGAATCCCGTAAGTGTACTCGTCCCTGTAACCCTGAAAAGCAATCTTCTTCTGAGCGTATCCAGCTGACCCGTACCGTTTCTGCATTCTTGCACCCCTCCTCTTGCTCCCGTAGGCTCGAGTACCTTGACACCTCACGAGCGAGAATCGCTCGTCTACGCACCCGGAAGCTCTGGTAGCGAAATTCCCGGTCTTTACGGCCCAACAGCAGTCGCAACCCCCGTCGAAGATGAAAGGTCTCGCAGCGTTGCCGAGTTCAAGGCCGCAAAGGACTCTGCTGGTGCGATTGGCACTGGTTTGGTCGCCGAAGAGAAGAAGCCACGTGCTGATGTTCCCGCCAAGACAGCAGCAAATGGCTATCTCGACTATGCAGACGGTCTTCGTGGTATTGCCATGATCATGGTCTTTAACGGTCATTTTATTGACAACACGTTCATCCAAACCCACCCGAGGACCATCGAAAACGGTACTCCCGTCGGTATTCTCCGAAGTCCCATCGGTTTAATTCTCTTCTACATGCTTTCCGGTCGCCTCAACGCCACTTCGTACTTCCGTAACAAGGCGCTCGGTCGCCCTATTCGTTGGACCGTCCTTCCCGAAGCCATGATCCGTCGATCGCTGCGTTTGCTCATCGTTGGTGGTCTTTGGGTCATCATTCAGAAGGTCGAGTGTGGTACACATGCTTTTGACCAGACCGTCATCGCTGAAGGTTGGTTGCAGAGCGGAAATCTCGGTTACCCACTCTGGTGTAACGTTGACAACAACAACCCTTCCCCCTACGCTTCGGATTGGAACATCTCGACCAGTATTGGTGACATCGTAGTCGGTCTTCTCCGAATGGCAACGAACCGTGACTACTTGCAGCAGCTGTTGAACCAGTCAATGCTCTGGTCCATCGTACCTCAGCTCTGGGGTATGCTTTCAGTTCTCATGCTTCTCCCGATTCTGATGCACTTGCGACCCTCGCGACGATTCACACTCTACGCTCTGCTCCTGATCTTCCAAGGCTACACCTACAACCAGAACATTCCCTTCACCGTTGGTGCTATTGCTGCCGACCTCAAGGCCTCAGGATACATCAAAAAGTTCAACCAGAAGTCTCGCATCGCTTTCCTCCTTACAGAAGTAGCTATGGCCGCTTTCTTTGTTGCTGCTTACTGCTACAACCCCATCTTTGTCAACATTGATCGCGGGCTCGAGCAGATCACCGACCGTGACGGTGTCCTTGGCTATGATATCACTATGTTCACAGCCGGTCGTATGCCAAGCTACCTCATTATGGCCGGTGTCCTGTACTACTGGCTCGAGATGAGCGCTGTTCTCCAGTGGCTCATTGGAAACTTTGCTTTCAAGGCTCTTGGTCGTGTTGCTCTCGGATTCTACGTGTGCCAGATGTCTATCATCTACGGTATCATGCCTTATCTGGTCATCTACTTCCGTGACCGAGGTTACAGCTTCTGGAGCAACATGTGGAGCACTTGGTGCATCACCTTCTTTTCCGCTTACATCGTTGCCTGGTTGATTGCTCACACAATTGACAAATGGGCCATGATCTTCTCGGACTGGTTCGCGAGTACGATCGTGCGTCACGATACCTTGACTACGCTTCGTATGGCTACTTTCAACACTGCCAAAGGGCTTGTCTACGGTCCTCCCGCGTTCGCCAAGGCTACTCCGGGATGGCTTGCTGCAAAGTGGGCCAAGACGAAGCACGTTGTCTGGACCATCTTCCACTGGAGGACCATGGTTGCTGTTCCTGCACCTCCTTCTCACCCAATGGAAGTTGGATTGCAGATGGATCAAGTTCACTCCACTTTGTTCGACGCCGATATCTCGGACGACGAGCAGGCTGTGAGGACAAGATGGATGCTTCGTGCTTTGTCCTACATGGGTCCTATTCAGGTCGGCATCATTTTGGGTCTCGGTTTCATTTGGATGTGGTTCAACCCTTGGGCTGACTACATTCTGGATGGCTTTGCGAACTTCTCGACTGTCTGGCGTCTGCTCTGGGCTTTGGCGCTTCCTTACTGTATCATCACTACGCTTGGTTTTGCCACTCCAGACATCACAAGGACTCCCGAACAGCTCAAGAAGAAGCCCGTGATCCGCGAGCACATTCACCGTCTTTTCATCGTTTCCGTCACCCGTGGTTCCAACCCCGAGACCACCCGTCGTGCCCACTTGCACCTGAAGAAACTCGAAAAGTATCACCCTGCCGTTCGCGCTATCGTCCTCACTGACGAGCCTTACTACTACCCGGATCTGGACAACGTCATGACACCCAAAGCCTACAAGTCTCCCCTCGGTAAAGCTAAGCACAAAGCCAAAGCCCTCGACTACTTCCGTTCCTCCATGAACCTCACCCCTTACGATTGGGTGTTGCACATGGACGAAGAGTCGACCATGGACGCCGAATCTCTCCGTGGATGCCTCGATTTCATCCGCTACAACGACGCACACATTGGTCAAGGCATTATCATCTACAACGGTAAACGCGAGACCTACTGGAAGAACTGGTTCTTCGCCGTCGCCGATTGCATCCGTGTCGGTGACGAACTCGCTCGATTTTCACTCCAAGGCAACATCATCAAACGCCCTGTCTTCGGTGTCCACGGTTCCTTCCTAATGATCAACGGCGACGTCGAAAACAAAGTCACCTGGGATTTCGGCTCACTCGCTGAAGATTTCGAATTCTCGCAAGCCGCCTGGTCGAAAGGCTTCACCCTCGGTCGGATCCACGGTGTTGTCCGCGAACAATCCCCTGAAGGCTGGATGGATTTCATCAAACAACGTCGTCGATGGTACATGGGTATTCGAGGTATCAACGGTTTGTTCTTCTTGCCTCAGATTGCGATCAAACTTTGGACTGCGGGTATTTTCTGTCTTGTAGCAACCCTGATTAACATTCCTTTCTCGTTATTGTTGGAATGGTCGGGTCCTACACCGAGATGGTTGTACGTTATCTCGTGTTTCTGTTTCGGAAACTTTTACTGGTTGTACTACTCGGGGTTGTTCTTTTCGGAGATTGACTACGGGTACAAGTGGAGTCAGGCTTGGCAGGTTCCGGTGCATGCGGTTGCCTTGTTGATTTTGCAGCCGATCATGGCGTTTGTTGAGGGGTGTGCGGTGATTTATGCGATGAGTACGGAGGATGGTGAGGTTGGGTTCCAGGTTATCAAGAAGTAAGCGTGGAAGGAGGAAGGGGGAGCAAAGGTGCTCAAGAACGATTAATCGTAGAGCGTCTGCTTTGGACAGCTCGCACTCACACACACACTTTCTCTCTTATCATGTTTAATGGTCTTTTCGTCTTGGACAATCCGTAATTTGATTTGTGTAACAAGATCTTATCTGTGTGTGCTGAGCGAATGAGGTTGTCGAGACTTGCGAGTGAATCTGACTAGCAGAGCGTCCTTTCTATGCTCCACACTGCTCTTGAGTTGAAGTCCGTGTCTGGACGGCGCTCTCGAGAAACCGGTCGCTTCTTCCTCGAGATTACACATGGCACATGCTGCATACGAGGTCGCGTCTCCGTTCTGAACCGAGACTCGATCACATTATTGAATGTCCTGGCTAAACTCGCGAATTGTTATGACAGACTCAGAGTCTCTCTCATTGGAGCGCTCGAGTGTTGGAGTCTACAAAACGCAAGCAGCTCTCGAGATGCCAAGTTGCACAGGGGTGTCGGCTTCGAAGGCCAACTATTCCAAAAAGATCTTCTAAGGTGAATACGAACAACAGACACTACTTCAGGACGAGGGAAAGAATCAAGCGATCTTGTTGTGCGACCCCTGAATCCAGCCCCTCGTAATCGGCTGCCAAACCCCCCTAGTCCTGTAAACCCCCACACTAGCCCCGGTCATGATGGCTACCACCATGGTCAATAACGCCTTTGCAATGAGTTTCTGCTGTCTCCTTTCCGTTTGAACGACCTGTGAATACGGCAGATTACTGAAGGTAGTCATGGTATAAAGACTGCTCCACATGCTACTTGGCAAAATTGCCATCAGCAGGCTGTCGAGTTTCTTCCTTAGCAGGTAAGGCCAAGAGACGACGCTATGGGCCATTTCGCGATAGTTCTGTTCGGCCAACTGCAAAATCGACACGAGATCCGGATGTCTCTGCTTGGTGTAACTCTCCAGCGCTTGCTCCAAATGCTCGTTCGAATCGATAATGTCAAAGAGCACCCGAACATCCTCAAAACCGCAATTGAGCCCCTGACCATAGAAAGGCAACATAGCATGAGCAGCATCGCCAATCAAAATTGCTCTATCCTTGTAATGGTACGGATCGCACTGAACCGATCCTAACGCAGATGCTCGACGACTAGTCAAACACTCCACCAACTTATCCTCCCCAATCAAGGGCAGTGCGTCAGGGAAGTGCTCCTCGAAAAACGCGACGATGCCCTGCCTTGTGCTTAGTTGAGAGGCGAACATCTTAAACGGAGCAAAAAGAGTGCATGTGAACGACCCATCGAGGTTGGGGAGTGCAATGAGCATGAACGAATGTTTCGGCCAAATGTGGAGATGGTTTGGGTCGAGATGGAAGGCCTCGTGTCCGTGAGGTTTGCCATCGGTTCCGCCGGACCCGCGGGTGCATGAGCCGGAAGAGAGCGAGGTGCGGGGTGGGATGGAAAGTTCGACGTAACCTGTGTCGATGTAGTTGTGCGTGTAGTGCATGCGGATCAGTGAGCCCATGGCGGAACGGATGGAGGAGTGGGCGCCATCGCAGCCGACGACGAGGGATGCTTGGTGGCTGATGGATGATTTCGGGATGGATTGGTTCGTGGAGTGAATGTCAAAGTCTAACTTCACCCTATCACCAGACCCAGCCGCGTTAGGTGTCGCCTTAATCAGCAGCTGCTGATTCTGTGCAGCAGACGCAATGTTGCGCTTACCCTTCTTCCCACCCCGACGAGCTCCTTCATCTACAAAGGATTCTCCACCAGTGATCGTCTTCTTGCTAGCCCCGTTGGCCGCAGGCAAAGCCCCACGCTTCGACCTCGAATCATGATCAAAGTCAACACTCTGCAGCTTATGCTCGAAATGCACAGCCACATTAGGATGCATCAGTGCATGATCCAGCAGGATGTTGTTCAACCTACCACGATCAACAGAGTTGATGCACTCTCCCTTATTGCTATAGAGCTGACTCTGTTCCTTGACCTCTGCTTTCTGATCCTTAGTCGCGCGCCTGGTGACGATGTGAATCATCCTAGCTCGCATCGGGACCGAATCTTCCAGCACGAGATCAGCGAGGTCTTTGTCTGTGGAACCGAGGCCGACGAGGCTGACACTGCGCAGACCGGTGATGCCACGAGTGGAGAGAGCGAGGTTGATACTGCGCTGTGAAGAACGAGTGATGGCTTCGTGCGTTCGTGGGTCGGGACGAGATTCGAAGATGTCGACTTTGCAACCTCGCTGCGCGAAGGCAAGGGCTGCGAGACAACCGACGGGACCAGCACCAATGATGGCAATTCGCTCGGGCAGAGCACACTTGGTGGGGATCTTAGCAGGTGCAAGGGCCTTGGTAGCAGGCGCGGCGGTTTGCTTGCGAACAAGAGCAGCTGCGCTTTTGTTCAAGCTGAACAGACCTTCCTTCTTCTTCGGTGAGGGTGCAACGGGCGTAGCCTCGACCTCGGACAGTTCATCAGCAGAACCGAGGTTAGCTTTGACGACAGCTTTTGAGGCCGCAACATCATCACGCACCTCAGTGACCTTATTGTTGAGCTGTTCAACGTTCAGATCCTTCAACTTGCCAAGCGCCTCGTTGACCTGCTTTTGAATCGCCAGGACCGTCTCCCCTGTACCTTTGAGCGACTCGCTCTGCTCCTCAACCAGTGTCTTCCGAACATTCGTGATCTCGGAAACTATCGCTCGCTCGACCCGATCAGACAGCTGCATCATCACATCCTCAAAGTGAGGAGCGAGGACGCGGCTGACCACCTCCATAGCTGTACGCTGCACGGCAGGCAGGATGGTCTGTGCGATGTTGCGGGTGAGCTCAGCCTTGAGCTCGGTCGAGGTGATGAGCCGTTCGACTTCCTTGGGGATGGCAGTCTCGATGGAGTGCTGGAAACTGGACTCGATGTTGGCCGAGACAGCTTCGTGCACTGCATTGACGACAGTGTCGGAGAGAGCGGCGTTGACAACCTCGGCGGAGGCGGTGAGGGTGACTGGCTTTTCGATGATCGTCTCCTTGACCGGAGACGGTTCAGGTGCAGGAGGTGAAGCGAGAGCAGGAGTGGGGCCAAGCACGGCAATCTTAGGGATAAAGTCCGAGATATCGGTCTTGCTCTCTTTGGGCTCCTCGCGCGCAACAGGTTCTTCTTCTTGCTGCGGCTCAGGAGCTGGAGCAGCGGGCTCGGGAATTTCAGCGGGCGCTGCAGGCTCGTCGACCTGAGGCTGTGCGGCAGCAGCAGCCTTCTTCTTCTTGTTCTTCTTCTTGGCGCTCTTGCTGGGAGTAGACTGTGCCTCGACTGCCTCGGGATCGGCGGTTGGCTCCGGCGTTGCCTTATCGGCCTTCGCATCCAGAATTGAATCCTCGCCCGGCTTCTCTTCAACAGGAGGCCTAGGTTCCGAGAGACGAACGACACTGATGCCCTCAGGGAAAGTGACGAACAGTCTCGAGGGCTCCTCATCGTCGCTAGCAGCTGCACTGAGTGAGACCGATGTGCAAGGGTCCTGCAGAGCAAATTCCTTGATCGGGTACGAAAGCTGAATGCTCCATGGCAGCAGACCGTCCTGGCCGCGCGCCTGTAGCGACTGCAACTCAAGCGGAATGGCAAATACAGACGATCGGAAGCTGTTGCAAACCAACAGCGAGCTGCTTGCAGTGTCGAGACGGATCAGGTTGAAGTGCTCCTCAACACCTGGATGGGCTTGAGCTGGGCCTTCGAACTGCCAGACATGCTTCCAAGTGCGTGAAGCCATGTCATAGAGACCGATAATGGTGTTGCATCTGAAACCGACGATGACGCCACGGATGGCATGGAAGTCGGTGTCATTCGATTCGCCATCCTTGTCCTCAGTACTTGGTCCGTAGATGAAGGAGAGGTGACTAATGATCATAGGCTGCTGGAGCGGCGACTTGATCATGTAAGTCGAGTCACTTTCGGGAGAATGAGAGCTGCCATCGAGCTGCTTGAAACTCAAGATCCAGGAGACATCGCCCTCGAGTGGAGCCGAGAGGGTAGCTAGCATGGAGCCATCTGGCGAGAAGGCAAAGCCACATAACTTGTGTTTGGGGTCAACATCACTCTCAGAAAGCGATCGGACCTTGCTGGATGGCGAAGAGGGCTCTGTCTGGTAGAGAAGCTGCTGGGCAATGTCAACCACCATGACGTTGCTGTCGCTGGTGGCGATGGCAATCTTGGGCTTATTAGGGTGGAAGGCGATGGCGGTGAAGCGGTAGATGAAAGGGCTCTTGTAAGGGTCAGCAGTGATGCGACCGTGCAAGGTCGGACTTTCGTCTTCGGTGCCCTGCTGCACAAAAGAGGCAGGGATTCGCCAGAAGACGACGGCTTCATCTTGCGCCTCCTTGGATCGCTCAGTCAGAGCAGCAAGCAAGTAGGTGCCATCGTCCTCGTAAGACTCAAAGGCTACGATGGATCGAACACCAGCCTTGCTTGGGGTCTGGACTAGCGACCTTGCGCCCGTGCCTACGTGAATGAGCCTGACCTTGCCCTTGGACATGGCGTAGCATGCTACATCGTGGCCGAGGTTAGCAATTCGGGAGGCTGGGAGCAGACCTGCTGCTGATACGTTGCATGGGAATTGGAATGGCGATTTAATGAGAGCAACACCGGAAGTCTCAACCTTGGTGTTTTTCAAACTGGAGAGACCGCCTGGCTGCTGTGCTGCGAGCTCGAGAGTTGCAATGCTGGGTGCACTAGTGGATCGCGAAGGCGAGAGGATCGAGAGGCCTGATGACTTAGGCTCGTCGAAAGCATCATCCTTCTTGAGTACAGCGACGTGACGCGAAGCGTGGAACTGCTTGTCGGGAGCATCTAGCACGGAAGGCTGAGTTGGAAGCCTGCGGGAAGTGGGACGCTTGGGCGACGAGCGAGATGCTGCCGACTTGGACGAGCTCGAGGACGAAGTCTCGGCACGAGGTCGCTGTGTTTGAGCATCGGACTCTTCGGCGTTGGTGAAATTGAATGGTCCAGCGTCGGCAGAGGCTGGCTCTGTAGGTTTGGACGGCAAGCTGGGCTTCTGTTGCTTCTTGTTAGCAGCAGAAAGCTTCTGCATCAAACTTGAGATACCAGCGTCAGCTGCCTCGTAGCCCGCAACACGTCCGCTGGACTGCTGTTCCGAACGAGACGGTGATTCTGCCTGAGGCTGAGTCTGAGGCGGAGTGGGCTGCGGTGTTGACTCTTCATCACGCTTGGAGAGCATGTCGAATGGGCTGACAAAGTCGAAGGGCGTCTTGAGCGGTGGGGTTGGTGCAGAGGCGGCGGATGCTGCTGCTCTAGGTCGAGCGGCGCGAAAGTCGTTGGTCAAGCCAAGTTCGCTACCACGCGAAGGCGGTATGCTTGTGACGGGCGAGTCGATAGCAGAGGAGATGTGACGAGCCCCGCTGCCAGAAGCGCTGCTGACGGAACTTGGAGGAGATGGCGGCAGCTGCAAAGCCTTGTTGGTGAGGGCGGGCTGTGACTGCTTATCCGACTCTTTCTTGTTGACTGTGAGTTGCATAGGATCCTTGTTCTCCGCTGACTTTGAGTTGGGAGAAAAAATGACGAGTGGAGAGGTGGGAGCCATAAACTGCTGCATGAGATGGCTCACATCCTTCTGTTGGAAACTGTTAGACATGATGGTTGAGGTGTCAGCATCGATACTTGTCGAAGGACTAGTGGCGGATGCTGCAGTGATGGTGGTTGCAGATGAAGAGGATGGCGTCGGAGATGAGAGCAATTGGGGTTGCTTGGACGGAGTTAACGTGGGAACCGTGGCTGTGGCTGTGGCTGTGGCTGTGGCTGTGGCTGTGGACGTGGACACCGGAGCGGAGGTCGGCAAAGTGATGCGAGCGGGGGCTCCAGCGAGCAGGTCCAGGAGCGAGCTGGAGGACGAGAGAGATGACATGCTAGGCTTGGCCGAGTCAGAAGCCTGTGCGGAGGTCTCGGGACGGGCAGGAGGAGGCGACATCTTTGTGAGGAGGGTTGTAGTTTGAGTGTGGCAAGCCTCGAAGAATCCGTGGGGCGTCGTATCTCTGCTTTCTTGTGGTATCCAGGGGTGTATTTTGGGATGGAAAGGAAGTGACCGGCGCGCAACGATGAGGTTGCCGGTGATGATGATGATGACGGTAAATGTGCTGCTTGCTGAGCAGAGCTGGATGGAATCGGAAAGGAGAAGGTGAAGGTGAGGCAAGTTTCAGCCTTTCCCCAGGGTTTGCTTTCTTGGCTTGTTCGCGAGACTGAGTTGTCTTCTCGAATGTCACACACTCATCTCCTTTTTTTTTTTTTCCGCCACTGTCACATGAACTTGTCACGCACTCTCGACATCAGTCTAGCTTCATCACGGCAGGCAAGAGTCTTTTGGAGCGGCTTCCCATGGCAGAGGAGCAGAGAAATTCTAAGCTCTTCTTCTCAGGATTTTCCTCAATCCACGCACGTTTGCCTTTTTCGAAATCTTCCGAAAGAGGCTCAAATGAGCAAAAGTCGCGTTCTGCTGTTGCTTGAGTAAGAGCCAAATTTGGCGTGTCTCTGAGGTCATATTTGCTGGAGATAACGATCCAGCAGAGCACGATCTGATCGGAGATCGGGCAGGCGGATATGATGGAGATCGAGGACCGTTGGATCCCGTCCGTTGTCATACTTCCTCATTAGGTGGGATGCTCCCACAGTCAGCCACAAACCACAAAGGTATATAGATAATGAGCGGAGAGCTCGAGGCTAGCGCTACCTTCTTCCCTCATGTCAATATAGTATAGTGTCTTTCAAAAGCTTGAACACCGCACTTAGACTGATATCTCCCGATAAGTGTCGATCAGAGTCAAATCTTCCAACGATATTTGCTAAAAAAAACAAAACAATAACAAAAAAACCCCGATTGCCGAGCCACAGCTTTTCCCTCTCCTCCCACGGACGCCGCCTTTCATACACGTGGATAGATCTAATGCTGAGCCAGATCTCGATTCCCCGTTCGAGAAGGAGCATAGCCTCAAATCTCATACCCGAGCTAGTGTATTCTAAGATTAGACTCCCTGTCCACGTGTTCGACTGTCGACGTCAGATGAGCGTCGTCTGGGGTTAAGCGCACAAGGTTAGGTAGAACACCGTGGCAAGCAACAAGCTCAGTCCCTCTTCATGCCGACGATCGGCAGAAAAAGTCAAATCGATGTTAGGGTGAAAGGATTGACATTGTAATTTCTGATTGATGACCCCCCGCCCAACCATGTCATCAAAGTGACAACGGACGAAACACTTGGAGAGCATGTGGGCAATGGACGGTGGCATATGCAGAACAAGTCAGTTGCAGGTGAAAGGGATGGGATCAGCATGGAACAGTTCTCAGCGCCACTTGTGGCACACCTTGTGCATCTTCTTGTGACCGTCTGGGACAACTGCCGCGCCACCGTTGTTAGCGTCAGTGGTATCGTCGTTCTGACCTTTGACCTGAGGCTGACCATCGGAAGTGCGGGAAGGAGTAGCGGAACGATCACCAGACGGGGAAGGGGCGCCAGTACTACCATCTCCGCCGCCAGTACCGTAGCCTTCAGGCCGACTGCCTTTCGCGCTGGAGTCCAAACCGGGGTTGAGGCCAGAGTTGGAGCCAGCGCCGTTGTCGCCCCCAGTACTCTCGTTATCTTTCTCAGAACCATAACCATCTGGATTGCCCTTGCTGCCGCTGTTGCTGCCACCACCAAGACAAACACTTCGGTCACGCTTGTACCTAGCCTCAGCAGCTTTGTTCTGAGCATCTGTCTGTCCCTGATAAGCACTCACCGAGTTGTCATCCTTCCTCTGGCAACCCGACCTATCAATCAGACTCTTCGGGCACTTGACCCTCTTCGGGCTACCCTTCATCTCTGGGTTATCACCCCAGCTGCTGAACCTCCACTTGCAACCCGCCTGCAGAGGCTCAGGTAAGTCCTTGCACTGACTGGCCTCCTTCACACCACCATACGTCTCACCCCACTGAGAAGCAGGAGTCTTCCATTGGGCAGGGCAAGCTTGAGTGAAAGCACCCAATCCACCACCAGGGATCTGGAGGTCGAGGTTCTGGGACGCAACATCGCCGCCGATGTTCGTGACCTGGAAAAGGAGCTTGTTGCGCTTCATCGGCTTGCCTTGACCATCGTGGGCAAATTCGGCGATGTAACAAGCACAGTCGGTTTCTTCTTCGCTGCCAGCAGTGAAGGCGGCGAATCCAAGCGCAAGGGTGGGGTCTGTGGAGTCGTCGAATGGTTGCATGCAGCTACACATGAACTGGTCTCCACCGTTGCAGCCGCTCTGACCAGACTCGGCTTTCGAAGCGTCAATGAGAGTTTCTCCGTCCGCTTTGCAGATGTCGACCGGGGCGTAGACTGGAGCCTTTTTGCCTTTCACAACGCAAAAAAAAAAAAGGGGAAGAAAGGGAGTGAAGGACAAGTCAGTGCGTTGTTCAGAGTTTTAATAGGAACCACTTTGCAGCCGAGAGTCCTCATCCTTTGGGCTCGCTGCAGCCCAGCGGCTCAGTTGTGATTTGTTTCGAAAATTTACCCCATGAAGCAGATGGTTTGCAGCAATCCCAGTATCGAGTGGCCGTTCCGGCGCTGACACCATCGAGGTTGATCAGCGAAAGCGAAAGAGAAAGGGCCAGAAGGCCGACGTTGAGCTTGAATGCCATTGTAGCGAAAAATGAAAAGGAAAAACTTGTCCAGAAGTTCCAATGTTTGTGAGAAGCAGAATGTTCTTGACCGGCAAGAAGAAGTAGGCGTGAAGACGAAGCAAAAGTTGAGAACGAGGATGGTGGATGAAGAGGAGCGGGAGTAGGGTTGGGGGGTGAGCTGCTTATGTACTTTCGTGTCGGACCATCTTCTCTGACTGATTGACCAAGCAGAACAACCTACTTTTGCCTGCTAGGACAGGGAGAAAGCGAGGAGAAAGGCTGAAGGATGACTGAAGGAAAACTGAAGAGCACATGTCCGGCGAATGTGTGGGTTGGTCTCCTACGCCCTTGTCCCCACAGATGAATGAGGCACAGTAAAAGTGTGCAGGGGTACTGCTTCTGTAGCTGAGATGAGGTCACTCCCACTCAACCGACGGGAGTATCACCTCAGAGCGCATGGTGGTCGTTGATACTGTGCTGCCCTGCGGCAATCAGGTACACTTACATGATCCCACCTCAGGGTCGCTATGATATCATGAAAACGAACCCATTTCACCTCGCCCTTTCCCTGTTCTCTGCAACTCAAAGCTCAGATCTTCGAGGTCGATCTCACGATGAGTGAGCGATGAAGAAGCTGGTCCTTCCAAAGAGTGCTTGATAAGAGAAGAACAAAAGGGAGCAAGATAAAGTCGTTGTAAACTCAGCCAGTGCAGAGAGGAAGACTGTATTCTGAACGCCGCCTCACAATCATCTCAACAATTGAGCTATCTCGATGAGGCACAGATGAAGCTGGTTGTTGCAACCAATTCAGCCAGCCCACATCGTCGAAAGCTCTTTTCGCAACGCATATAAGCATGGTGACACGTCTGTTGCCGCTTTCTTTTCTTTCTGTGCTGGAGGCTGCGTTTCTTGACAACTGGACTCAAACGCTCCGACGCTCCGTTTTGACTACCCGAAAACCAAATTCTCATGATAGAAAGCCGCGAACCTACGTCACTTTGAAAAGAAAGCTTGAGCTACACAGAAGCCGAAAGCTTGAATGATCAGGCTTTCCGATCCGATGCGGAGCATGATCAACGTTGACACGATGGTGACTGAAGTCGTAGGTGAAAGGTGGGAAGGGGTAAAGAGGGAGGGGAGTCGATATGAAGTGTGGGATGGATCAGGATTCGTCGGCGAGATTGGAGGTCGGATTCGAATGCAACAACGCATCTTTCGTCGGTGGGGACAGATACAACTCACAATCACCTCACCATCGATCCTTCGGACAGTCAGACAACGCTACTCACTCAGGACCACAGATGCCTTTGTACAGTTACCATAGATGCATTGCAATACAACAACGTACCCGAGATGACAGAGCCTGAGATCAACGGTTGCAATGCCCACTTCAAACCTCATCATTGGCATCCTCCCTCTCTCCGCCGTTCTCGCCCTCTTCATCCTCCTCGTCATTGTCATCATCAACGATGGTATCAATCCAACCATTCTTCAGCTTCCGACCAAACTCATCCGTCTTCCCACCATAATACTGACAACTTTCCGCATTGACCGGACCTGTATCATCGCAAAAGTCGAACACCGGGCAATGACCACACGGCGTCTCTGTCCATCCCACTTTCACGGCGTGCGGTCGGATTGCACGGTAGACGAAGGGCACCAGATCACCGCCCCCAGCCGCTGAATTGCGATTTGCTGAGGACGATTTGCCATTGGAACGCCTCTTCTTTTTGCTGTTTGACTTCCTGCGGCTGTGAGTTGAAGAGGAAGTAGAGGAGTCGGAGGCTTCCGATTCTGACCCACTTTCGCTGTCGGAGGACGAAGCGGCTCTAGACCGCGAACGTGACCGTGAGCGAGATCTTGACGAGGACCGTGAGGAAGACTTCTTCGATTTGCTCTTGGAGGAAGAGGACTTGCTCGATTTGCTCTTCTTCCGCGAAGATGACTTGCTGGAGGATCGCTTGCGCTTGCCGCCGATCACCGGTCCATCGTCGTCATCGCTCCCTTTGTCGTCGCTTTTGCGTTCTTTCTTGGCCTTGCTCTTCTTTTTAGTGCCAGCGTCGCTATCTGAGCCTGTTTCTTCCGCTTCTGATTTACTGTCTGATCCACTTTCGCTGTCACTATCTGATCCGCTTCCACCAGAGGATGTACCCGAGTCTGTGTAATCTTCATCATCCTCGTCGAAACCATTCATGCCTCGGCCCCCCAACGAGAACGGCAGAACTGGGATCTTCTCGATCTGCTCGTCATACACCAAGATATCCAGTAGCGATACAACATGCTCCACCTCAAGCTGAGTCTCTGTTAGTCCCGAATTGCGCAAGTACGAGTGAACGGCATTAGCCGAAGGAAGCTGTGAAGTGTGGCTGGTGGGGAACAACGCTCTCGATTGTCCATTCTTGGGGAACGACTTCGATCGGATAAAGTTGAGGATAGCCATCGAGAGCTCATTGATAAAGCCCGTATCCAATTCGTTATCCGTATACCAAGGTCCACCAGAAAGTTCGATCGACGGCGTCAATCCGTAAAGCATGTAGATCTTCCTGGTCGGGTACTTAACAGACTTGACGGCCTTCACCAGCTGCTTCTGCTCCAACGACTTCAGACACCTGTTGATGATGGTCTGATGCAATCCAGTGCGAACTTTCAACTGTTTAGTCCAGATACCTTCGTTACGTGAATCTTTGATGTGCTGATAAACCATAGTCTCGTTCTCGTCGAGCTTGCCCATCATGCTAGCCTCCGCCTTGGCGGTTGCTGCGAACTGGATCGAGCCATTGAGGGTCTGGGCGGTGAAGAGGCTCTTCTTGAGTAGGCCGTTGATTGCTTGTAGTTGATCATCGAGCTGCTCGGTCTTGAACTGTTCCGAGATCTGGTCTTGGGTAATGACACCTCCAGGGGAAGACTGTGCTGCACGGTAGAGGGCGGATTCAAGCTTGGTGAGCTTGGCCCCGCCAGCAGCCGAAGAGGATGAAGCCCTGGCACTGGGCATCTGAGACGTGGAAGCAACCTTTTACGCCTGTGCTTGAGGCGGTGTATGGGACTGAAGTATATGCGAAGGAGGGTGAGGTGAGGGAAGAATGGAAGAAGATTGGAGGCTCGCAGCACAACAATTCACGATTTGGTTAAGCTACGTTGAACTTTTTCTGTTTCAGAGTGTGCTGCATCAAAATTGACCGAGTTCCGGACCCTGAAAATCGGGCAGAAGACAGTGAATCGGGTGCTACTTATTGTGTGACGTTGTTGTCGAGTCAAATGACACCATATCTGTGGTATGACATTCTTGCTTTGACCAACACAAACAACACCCGAGCTTGATCCTGCTTCTCTACTGGCCACATTCCAGTCCCGAATATCAGTCACTGTAGAACCGGCACGCCGATCGACTTCATCTGTATCTTCCGCTCAGCTTACAGACGAGTTTCTCAGGACCGTTGCTTTCTCCTTGAGGCTCAAAGTGGTGCAACAACTTCGTCTTGGTCCCCACCTACCCACCACCTCATCGAAGTTTCCTGGACGACAACCGCTTCGTATGTCAATACAGAAGATCCCAGACTCGATCGAATCTCGAGCTGAGGCGACTTTACGATGTGCTCGCCCAACGTGCACTTTGAGCACTTTTTAGGAGGTCCCTCGTCCTCCACCCAGCCCTCCTCATCTCGTCAGCACATCGACTCAGTCCGCAGCCTTGCTCTGGCTCGACTATCTGGCATCTCCTCAATCGCTTCTGGATCTTTTTACGCGCCATCAAACCCCTCAGCCATCGCTTCAGGCAGCGCCCAGCTCAGCCACACAATAAACCACCACTCTTCGGTCCTCTCCCTCGCCGTCGACGAACGCCGCAGCCTCCTCTACTCTGGCTCACAGGAAGGCTTTATCAATGTCTGGGATCTCGACACTTTCCAGTCCACAGCAAGGCTCGCTGGCCATTCTGCCAGCGTTCTGGCACTCGAGCTCGCACCGGAAAAGAACTGGCTGTTCAGCTCGTCGGGCGACAACACAGTACGAGTCTGGGATACTGTTAGCAACGCACCCCTGTTCGTGGTCTACCCGGCAGAGGATATTGTAGGAGATATTTTTGCATTGAAGTGGTGTTCAGGGCTCGAGACTCTGTATCTTGGGTGTCAGTCGACGAGTATTCAGTGGATCTGCTTGGCTGGCTTTGAGAAGGGCAGCGCAAGGAATGGAGCAGTAACGCAAGGAGAGGGAGTAAAGGGGACAAGGCAATTTGGTGAATTGAGTGGTCTGAGTGGGCTGAGTGGCGTGGACAGGAGAGATGCGGGAGCGGATAGTCCAATCATCTCGACACCCGACCTTATGTCCCGACCGCACAAGTTCTTCGATTCGGTTCCCGTTGCTCTCAGTAGATCTGGTATGGGCAGTGCCGGAACTTCAACACCCACTCGTGGCAGACCATCAGCCACTTCTGCGCTCAGCAGCACGAAAGCGTCTTCACACAAAGACAAGCTCGCTCCATTAGCGACTGAGAACAGTCTCGCTTCCATCGGTCCGCTCTCGTCAGCCGGCGCGACAGAGACAGTCCTCAACGCCGCGTCAATGCGTCTTGATAGTCCAGCCTTCCCGAGCACTTCCTCTGAGCCGCAACTCAATGCGGTTGAAGATGGAGTACGAACACTGCTCATTCCGCCTTCGTCCTCCGTGCCCTCGGCTCACTACGGCTACATCTACTCCCTCGCCCTTCTGACGCTCGAGGGCGATTCCCAACACCCCACAGTCCTAGCATCGGGTTCTGGTGATGAGACGATTAAACTCTGGCATGCCACACGGTCTGGTCTGTCCCTCCTAGCTACACTCGAAAGCCCAAACGCGGACGGGAACGCTGTTCTTGCGCTCGCTTCTTGGAAAACCACCCTCTTCTCAGGCTTGCAGGGCGGTGAGGTAGAAGTGTGGGATCTAGAGACATGTACGCTGGTTAGAACGATTAGAGCGCATACGGATGATGTAATCTGTGTTGAAACTTGCGCGGAGAGTGGGTTGTTGTTTACAGCGGGGGCGGATGGGAAGGTGAACACGTGGGACAGAAGCTTTAGGAACGTCGGGAGGGTACAAGCTCATGATGGGATCGTGTTGTCGCTTGCTAAGATTAGCGGTGCGGTGGCAGATGGCGATGGTAGCCCGGATGGACTGAATGGGAGATCATCGACTTGGCCGCAGGCGAGAGTAGTCCAGCTGGTTACTGGGTCGAGTGACAACCTGATCAGGATCTGGGATACGCTACCTTCCATCATCCCTTCCACCTCGGGTAGAGAAGCTGAGTCTCGTAGCCGCGAGCTAGAACGACTCTCGCTCGAAGACCCCGCTTCCGCTCCTCTCGCTACCACACCCATCGCCGCTACCAGCAACGTCAACACCGCTGCTGAAATCGTCAACACAGTTGGCCCTGAAGCCGCATCGATTCTCGCCCCCAACAGCAACAATGCATACGAAGCTTCAGCGCAATGGCCACTCCTCCGGTCGCTCCTACGCAAGTTCATCTCGTTTCCCAGCATCAGTGCGAGCGAAGAGCATCGTGAAGACTGTCGACAAGCAGCGCATTTCCTCAAGACCTGTTTCCAAGAACTCGGCGCAGAAGCACGCATCCTACCCAACCCTGTCGGAACCAACCCTCTCGTGCTGGCTACATTCACGGCCAACGCGAATCGATCCAGACGACGTCATCGCAATGCTGCTGCCACCGATCGATCACGAAGCAGCTCTACTTCCGCTTCAACGGACTCGACGGATTCTTTCCTCAGCAGCAACTTAGATGACGCCGAGAGGGATGGTAAGGATGAAGGTTTGAGCGGGTCGGTAATGTTCAACCGTCTCGGCGACGATAATGACGTCGAAGGGGAGGAGAGGGAATTGAGGGGAAGCAAGAAGAAAAGATGCTTGTTCTACGGTCACTACGATTGCATCGCCGCTGAAGGGTCTTGGACTTCACCACCGTTCACGCTGGATGGTCGGGATGGGTATCTGTACGGTAGAGGTGTTTCGGATAATAAAGGTCCGATCCTTGCTTCTGCTTGTGCAGTACACCATCTTCTTTCGACCCGCAGACTGCATTCGGATGTAGTGTTCCTCATCGAGGGCGAGGAAGAGAATGGTTCGGTGGGTTTCGTTGAAGTTGTGAGGAGGTATAAATCGGAGATTGGACCTATCGATGTTGTGCTACTGAGCAATTCTTACTGGTTGGACGAGGAAACGCCTTGTCTGACCGTTGGGTTGCGTGGGGTGGTCAGGGCGACGGTAAGCGTGGGTAGCGGAGAGAGGGATGTACATTCAGGTGTCGAGGGCGGAGCCATTCGCGAGCCTATGGTTGATATGGTCAAGCTTCTAGCTCAACTCACTGGTGAAGGCGAAAGAGTTGCTCTCCCTGGATTCTATGACTCTGTTCGAGGAACAACCGAATCCGAGCTCCAAGCGTATCGCGATATCGTCCGCATCAAACGGTTGCTCAATGCAGGAGCATCGAAAGAAGGCGAAACGGTGGAATCACTCATGGCCAAATGGAGAAACCCTTCTCTCTCGGTTCACAACATCAGAGTCTCTGGTCCAGGAAACTCTACTGTCATCCCCTCTACTGTCTCTGCACAAGTCTCACTTCGTATTGTACCGGATCAAGATCTTCCTTCTATCGAGGCTTCGTTGCTGGAACACGTCCAATCCACATTCAACTCGCTTTATCCCACTACCTCACCCTCAATGGTGAAGAACAAAGTAAGCGTGACCGTAGACCATCGTGCGGACTGGTGGATGGGCTCCGATTCATCGCAATACTTCTTGCTTCTGCGGGAAGCAGTGAAGAAAGAATGGAACGCAGAACCAATCTCGATTAGAGAAGGTGGTAGCATCCCAGCGATAGCTATTCTGGAGAAGGAGCTGGGTGCGGGAGCGGTGCATCTACCGATGGGTCAAAGTAGCGATAATGCTCATTTGCCGAATGAGAGGTTGAGGCAAAGAAATTTGGTCAAAGGGCAGAACGTTGTTAGGAGGTTTGTACTGGGTTTGGCTGCGATTTGATTCATCTTAAGCAATACAGGAATCGATACAGGAATGGAAGTTGATACAAGCGAAGGTCCGATTTGTGCAACATCGTCGTGTGCCAGAGACGAGTGTTGGTGATGTGAGGTTTAGATTCGAGTGCGTCTGCGTAGGTGAGAGGAAAGAGAGGGAGAGAGCGCTTGTTGTCAGCTCGACGTGCGCCGGCCGGAGGATGCAAAGTCTAGACGATCATGGCTCCGGCTCTTCCCACAAACGTGTGTGCTCACCAGCCTCTCAGTTGTTGCTTTTCAGACGGATCACACACACGCATGCAAAAAGAGCAGACACAAGGAGCAGCTAGCTGCTGGATTGCATTGCTCGGACATTTGCATTCGCGATAGCTGCTTTGCTACTAGGGCGGGATGCTTACTGAGGCCTGGAAGTGGAGATGATCTCGATCCAGTAGTTGTCCTGCAAAAGGAATTGCCGTAGAAACAAAAATTCGTCAGCATCTACTGCTGCACAACTTCGCGCTCCTCTTCACTGCTGGGATAGTCTGTACTTACAGGGTCAAGAATGAAAGCAATGTTCTTCATCTTACCGTCCGTCAACTTCTTCTGGAACTTGACGCCCAGCTTCTCGAATCTCTCACAAGCCTTTTCAATGTCATCTACTGCGATACAGAGATGACCGAAACCTTTGGGCTCGTTGTTACCATTGTGGTAGCTGAAGTTCTCGTCGTTCTCGGTGCCGTGGTTGTGAGTCAGCTCCAAGATGGCTTCCCTCTGGCCACGTTCTTTGACGTCCTTCTGATGCTGGTAGGCGAGGAAGTAGAGGGAAAAATCGGAGGCATCGTGACGGTCGATAAGGTCCATTCCGAGGACGTCTTCGTAGAATTTGAGCGAGACCTTGGGGTCTTTGACGCGGATCATGACACTACACGCAACACAAAGGAGGATTCAGTGGAAGGTTAAAACGTGAGGGCTAGATCAAGGAGGTGGTAGATGGCTTACTGGTTGAAGCGGTAGCTTGCAGTCTCTGCAGTGGGGGGAAGACGAAGATTTGCAGAGGTGTGGAAGGCAGATCGTTGAGGGAAGGAAGCGGCGACAGATGGCAGAGCGGAATTGAGAAAGTTGCCAGAAGATGAATGTAAGGATCGTTGCTGCACAGGAATTGTTCTTACACCTATGCTGGGGAACAGACTGGTGCGAGAGCGCAATGAAGCTCGACACAAAGGGAGGATGTACGAACCTGCGGTAGCGGGCATTTTGACGATCTGTTCCTTCGAAGGTGATAGTCGATGGAAGATGGTGGGAGAGGAAGGGGGAGAAGACGCCGGATATATAACAGTATGGCAGCTTGGTCAGCATCGGCAGCTTGTGCGGAGATACCACTAGAAACCGCTCTGCGTGACAACGAATCGGCGGCTCATCATCAGTCAGACACACAACCCCATCGACACTCTTCCACTCTTCCACTCTTCCACTCTTCCAGCCGAGCTAAGGATGTGACGTTCTCTCCTCATCAACAGCTTCCCTTTTCTTCGTCGTGTCGTGTGTGTATGACTTTTTTTTGCCCGTCCAAACCTCCACTTGAGTGCACGGCCCTCAACTTTCGGATGTAACTTCTATAGATATAACACTGCTTAGTCTGTGCACAGACCAACACCGAACGAAGTTCTAAATTTTGGAAAAGTCTCCGATGTGGCATGGAAGCGCGTGTCAACATCCTTCTTCTCACCATCCAACACACACACAAAGCACCAATAGCATTGTCTCTCGATGTCAATATCTCTCGACATGGAGTCCGCAAAAGCCCGCAAGCAGCCCGCTGCGTCCTCCTCCTCTAACCCATCCTGCTCGGTCATCGTCCCAGCTTTCCGCGAAAACCTCAACATCCGTCCCCTCGTAACACGCTTATTCCAAGCCTTCTCCTCTCACCCTCAATCGTCCGACCTCGGCGAGGTCGAAGTCCTTATCGTCGATGACAATTCTCGCGATGGCTCAGTAGAAACTGTCTCCCAACTTCAATCGGAAGGCTACAAGGTTCGCATTATTGTTCGCACATCGGAACGTGGTCTCTCTTCCGCCGTCGTCCGGGGCTTCAGAGAGGCACGGGGAGAAAGAATGATCTGCATGGACGCCGATCTTCAACACCCACCTGAAGCGGTTCCTTCTCTCTTACTCTCCATTAATGACCGAAAACAGTTCGTGTTGGGTACAAGGTACGGTGAAGGTGTAAGCATGGATAAAGACTGGCCTTTGCATCGACAAATCATCAGCTCGGGTGCGAGATTGCTAGCGAGACCGCTGACATCGGCGTCAGACCCAATGTCTGGCTTCTTTGGCATTTCCAAAAGGGCATTCAGTAATGCCGATCAGAACATCAATGCGCAAGGATTCAAGATTGCTTTGGATTTGCTAGTCAAAAGTGGAGTACCAAATGCAGGGATTGCCGAGGTACCATTCAGTTTCGGTCTGAGACAAGAGGGAGAGAGCAAGTTGGATGGGAAGGTCATGTTGAAGTATTTGGAGCAGTTGGCAGAGTTGTATAGGTACAGATATGGAACAGTGCCGTTGTTGTTCGTTTTCATCGTGCTGTTGGTATTGGCGCTGTATATTTGGGCTCATGTTATTTCACCGCTTTTGTTCGGGTGAGGTTTTGCGGTTGAAATGGAACCAATACGCTCTTTGATACGCATTACGACTGCTGCTCTGCTGTAAGACATTCTCGCTCGTATGGCGATAGGAAGATGGCATCGTGTGCACCAGCAACACATACCTCTGAGCTGAGATGAAAAAGCACTTTCTTTGTGGAAACGAAACAAATAAGATTACAAGAAACGGTCGCAGTCCTGCCGCCTCATTGGAACTTTGACCGCAATTGAGCCAACCTGTCCTCCGCTGCCGAACTCCTAATGCTAGATCCTCTTGGCGATTGGGTGGCGGAAGAAGTCGGACTTCTCTCCATCGATCCATCCCCCGCCGCTCCTCCACCAACCGCAGGAGTCGAGAACCGCCCTGATCTCGGAGTGCTAGGCGTGCTAACCCTGTTCACCTCGCCTGCATCCCCATTCCCACCCGCGTCTTCAGCAGCAGAAGTCGCTGGGCCGTTGATCATGTCAGGATCCTCAGCAGCGTGGTTCGCCAGCGCTCTCTTGATGAACCTCTGGAAGATAGGGCCTGTTTTCTGCAACGAGTTCTGCACGTGTTTCTCGAGATGAGGGTTGCGTTTCTGGAACTCATACAGCTCGCGAATGCCTTGACGAGATTCAGACTTGTTCGAGATACGTTGGAAGATGTCTCGCAGCTCGGCGTGATGTGTGCCCCCAGCTTCCTCCGCTCCGTTATCATTGCCGTTTTGACTACTGGTCCGCTGATGTCCTTCAACGCCGTTGGCAGCGGTGGAGTTAGAACGCGACTTAGCAGCAACCCCGCCACCCGCAGCATCACCATCAACATCTGCAACAGCAGCTTTGTCTGCACCAGCACCTCCTTCAGCTGCAATGTTCAACATCCTGATCAGGTACTTGTAGACATAGCTGTTCTCCGGCTGCGGGATCATATCCAGCATTCCCAACGCTTCCTCGCCAAAATGGTTCGAAGTGTGCGACAAGATGATCTTGACCGTTCGCAGAGGTAGATCGGCCAACGGCACACCATCCTGTGCTCTCTGTCGCCACTCAGAAGGTGCGATAGCTTGCAAGAAGCTCTCTACATCTGCAAACAGTTGTTGCGGCTCCACCTGGTGTTGCGCGAGACTGTCTTCGAGACGCTTGGCGATCTTCCAAAGACACTTGACCAACAATTCAGAGAACTTGGAGCGGGTCTCGAGAACTTCGCCCTCCAACTCGCGCAGATCTTCCGTTGCTTCCGTCAGCATCTGCAGACAGGCGCCGTAGAGAAGGTTGAGGTTGCAAGCCGAGAAACAACGCAGAACGATGACGTTGAGGAACTTGGACTCATTCTGGGCCGTAGGATCGTCCGTACGCGAGGTTGAGTGGATGAGCTGCTGCAACAGCACCGTCAGCAAAGGAATGAGAGCCGAGCGGGATAGGTAAGAGCCGAGGGTGCGACCATCTTCCCAGACTCGATTTTTGTCGAACAAGGATGTGCTGACAACAAGGAGATGCTTCTTGAGTCGCTCGTTGCCATACTCGCCCGATTCGGGAGAGAAAGCACGTTGCATCTGCTTGCTGAGAACGATCGCGAGCTGGTCAACGTGCGAGATGAGTTGAGGCTCTTCTTCGCGGATGAAGGCTTCGACGTGTTTGAGGGCAAGAACGCTCTGTTCAATGTCGTTGCTGACGACAAGGTTGATTGCTTGATCGATAGAGAGCTCCTCGTCTTCTTCTTCGGGGAGCTCGTCGGCGAGTATCCCGTCACGATCCTGGGAGATGACACTGGTGGGACGTGCAGCTGCCTCGGTAGGTGTGCGCAGCATTGAGGCTCGTGGCGGGGGCACGCCTGTAGAAGGTTGAGCAGCACGGGGCAAGCCCATGGCCGATTCACGACGTGCCGCTCCTGGCGCAAGCAAGCGGCTTCTGACGCCTGCTGGTGGTGCTGCAGATGCCGAAGGAAGCATCGAGCCGGGTCGAGCAAGTCTCGACGAAGGAGGACCAGTTGAGAGACGAGCCGGCGAAGAAGACCCTGCAGCAGGAACAAAGGACGCACGTGGAGCAGCACGGCCCACGGCAATTCCGGCTGCCGCTGGTCTTGCTGCTGCTGCTGGAGGTGCCGCAGCACTTGAGAACGACGGAGCGGTTGTACGCTTCAGCCTCTCTTCGAGCATCGACATCTCCTTGCCGGGCAAAGAACCAACGAGCTTGTACACCTCGTCACCGATGATCTTATACGCCTCGCCAATAGCAGACAGAGCAGCAGTGCGCACATTGGCATCGCGATCGCTGATTTGCTTGGCTATTACCGGTAATGTCCTCGAGGGCGAGCAAACCTGCAAACCGTTCTTCGAGAATACATAGCCGACCTCGTTCAGACACTCGGTGCGGACGCGGACATTCTTGGACGGCAAGCCGTTCTCAAGGTAGCTCGTAAGCAGCTTGCTGGGAGGGAAGATGAAAGTCATCTTGCGGAAAATCTCGCGAATGCGGTCGCGGAAAGCGACCTTCGCATCACCAAACTTAGCTGTGAGGCATGGCAGGATGCAGGCAGCCTCGTAGTCGCTCATGTGATATTGCTGGCCGCTGAGCAAAGCTACGAGATGCTCGAGGATGTCGAGACACTTGATCGAAAGACTGGTATTGTTGTCCGTGAGCCGAATCGAGACGTACTTGAAGATGAGATCCGAGTTGGCGAGTGTTCGCTCGACAGTCTCTTCCGGCGACAAACCGTATTGCTCTTCTGCGAAGGTCGGGCTCGAGATGAAGTCGGACAGCAACGTCAAGGCAGCATAGAAGTCCTTCTCTGCCGAGTGACTCTTGCTGAACATCGAGTCAATGACGCCTCGGCTGAGTTGTCCATCACATTGCTGGCGTAGCACTTCGATGAGCTCGGGTCGTGGAGCTCCGTCAGCAGCGATCCAGTTGGAGCCTTTGCCCTCTCGCTTCTCGCGCAGTGCTTTGGCCTTGATGTCTGCTGAGATGAATGGTGCTGAACGGTCCATACTGCCTCCAGCACCGGCAGCAGACGCTGATGCCGTGCGTGAAGAGGTGGCGCCATCGCTGCCATCCGAAGCAAGACGAGACTGGCGGGCAACGGTAGATGAAGGTGCTTTGAGCGATCGACCAACAGCGGAGGGTGGCTTGATCCCACCCGGTCGCGCAATCGTTGACGCTCGTGGAGAAGCTGGCGGTGCCGCCACAGCTGAGCCGGAACCACCGCCGATACCAGCAGGCCTGGGTGAAGCAGTATTAGCTCGTGCACCCGCTGCAACGGCTCGAGGCGCTGCCGCCGCCGGAGCAGGAGCAGCTGCTGAAGCCGGAGCCGCAGTCGCGCGAGCCGCAGCCTGCGCTTGTGCCTTGGCAGCATCGATGAGAGGAATAGCGGTGTTCTTCGAAGCGGTCTTTAGCTGGTTGGTCTGCTCAATGACATGCTTGTATCCTGCACGCATGATGATGAATGGCAAACAGGCCACCGAAGCTTTGCGAACAGCAGCGAGCTTGTCGTCAAGGCATTGAACACAGGGCAGAGCAAGTGGTGCCAGCTCCATACCCTTCTCTGGCGGGTGCGACTCAAACCAGTTGGCGAGCCAGCCAAAGATCTCTTGCTTAAGCATAGGGTTGGCAGCTTTGCTCTCGACAATAGTTGCAATACCTGGCAGCATGGGACCGGCGCCAACTTGCTCAGCAATTGCAGTGAGTGCCGTTGTCGCTGCAGCTCGAACAGGTGCTTTGGCATCGGCAAGGACTTGTGCGACGGGACCGGCAAGAATGCGCGCCTGTGGCTCAAAGTGCTTGTTCATGGCAGTTGCGATTTTGGCGATGGCATCGAGCGCCATGTTCTTGCACATGATGTTGCTGTCGGCACATCGCATCTTGAGCGCGTTGGCGAGCTCGGCCATATTACCCTTCAATCGACTGTTGGCGTTAACGGCGGCAAGCACCTCCTCGAGGCCCTCCTTGCGCTCCTTCCAGTTGGCATCGCCCATACGCGCGATGGCTGTGGCAGGAATGAGACGATCGACATCGACACGAGGCACGAGCTCATCGAGCATGTCCTCATCGACGCCGTTATCCTGTGCAGCTGGGGCGCCTGCTGCACCGCCACCATTGCCACCAGCCCCTGCCTTGCCCGCTGGTGCTTTCGTCTCGTCGCTGAAGCGGATGGGTGCTGGTGGTGGGTTGGATGCCGCCTTTTCGATCTCGGCCTCGATGGTTGTCCTGAGCTGTGGGTTGAGATCAGCGACGAATGCGTTGAGTGCAGTACCGAGGAAGCGGGCCAATGTGCCAATAGCCTTTGTCGCATTGGTACGGACGGCAGCGTTCGCCGACTTGAGACAGGTCACAAGGTAGTCGATCAAGGATCGCACATCAACACCGGCAGTGCCGAACTCGAGCAGTGTTTGGTCAACCCAGAGAATGGAGTCCGCAATTGCCTTGGGAGCCTTGAGCCCGCCAAGTGGACCGAGGGCCTGAGCGAGAAGGAAGCCGAACGACGTCTTCTCAGCAAAGGTGACCAGGGTCTCACCAGCAGGTGTCTTGAGCTTGATGTCGCCGAGCTTGTCACAAAGTGGCTGGACCGAGAGCGCAACGGAGGGACGACCGAAGGTGGGACAGTCGTTGGCAAGTAGCTGAAGTGCCTTGTAGACCTCGGCCATGACCTGGAAATTGCTTTCCTTCCAGCCTGGCTTCTTGCCAAGAGCACGAACGATGATCTCGGACTCGACCGTCTCGGCTTCGACCTTGAGCCAGTCGTTGAACTCGGTCATGCCTTGCAGACGCTCCTTCCATGCACCACTGGCAAGCTGAGCTGCGATGCCGGCAGGTATGAGATCAGCGGCTCGTGCTTCTGCGTCGTCTGGGTGGAAGCGGTACTTGACTGGCTCTGTCGCAGATGCAGCTGCCTTACTGCCACCTGCTGCTGAACGTGCACTCGATGATGCGGCTGAAGCCGCTGCTGGCCTTCTCGCAGGTGCACCTGATGAAGCAGCAGCTGGGCGTGAAACGGCAGCGCGGGCCGCCATACCTGCTGGTGGTCGAGCTAAGGGTCTTGGCGCCTGGTTTTCCATTCCAGCAGCGGAAGAGGCAGCTGCTGGTGGTTTGGCACGCATTGCTGCTGGCGGTGCTGCAGCACGGTTGACTGCCGCAGGCCCAGGAGCTGTACCTGGAGGTCGTCTCGCTGGTGCTGCTGATGCTGATCGTGCAGCGCCGGCTGCTCCTCCCATCTTGATCTTGACCTCTGCCATCTTGTACTCTTCCTGGACCTTGCCCTTCTTGATATCGTCAAGACCATCGAGGAAGATGTTCATTGGTCGCTCACCAATGAGCTTCATGAGGGTACCGAGACCTGCAGCGCCGGCGTCACGTACATCTGGTGAGCCATCTGCCATGGCTGTGACGAGAGCATCGCCGATGGGCTTGATATCGCCTTTTGCAGGAGCCACCTTGGTGGTACGAAGGCAACGAACAAGGAAGCGAATCGATTCTGTCTTGACAGCAGGGTTCTTGTGTTTGATACCGGTGAAGACGTGTTCGAGGACCTCGGAGAAGGAGACGGTCTGGAAGATGGCATCAAGCGCTTTGGCGAGCACCTCGACAGTGGTTGGCTTCTTTTCCTTGAGCTTTTCGATGGTGGGCGGGACGACCTTATCTTTGTACCGAGAGAAGTTGTCACGAAGACCCTTTGCCATTGCTTCGAGGCATTGACACGAGACGAGGACGACATTGATGTTGGCATCCTTGGCAATCTTGAGTGCGAGATGGTCGACAAGGTTATCAAAGCGATTGTCGGGCTGGATCTTGGGCGATGATGTGAGGATCTTGAGGATGGTTTCGAGGGTCTCTTTGCGCTCTTGCCACTTTTTGGAGACAATCATGTCCTCGAAGTTGGCGGGGAAATCTCGACTGCCAAAGACATTGACAGGCTCGGCAAGGTCGTATGGGTCGACGTCATCGTCTTGCTCCTGAGCGTAAGGATTTGCGTCTGCTCCTTGCGCATCATCAGCACCGTCGCCGCCTGCATATGGTGCTGGTGCGGCAGCAGCTTGCATCTTTTCACGCTGGCTGAGAAGGAACCGTGTTGGCGTAGGCTTGGACGTAAGCTGTGCATCGATGTCGGCGAATTGTTGTCGAAGCTCTTTGGCCTGAATGTCTTTGAGCGAGTCGATGGTAGGTTGGAGTGCTGCGCCAATATACTTGTGAAGCTCGTGTGCAAGTAGAGATGCCTCGGCACGGACGTTCTTGTCCGAGTGTGCAAACATGTCTGGGAGACGCTTGAGGATGGGCTTGGGCGCAACCTGCTTGTGACCGAAGTCGCGAACGAGATCCTTGATGGCAGTGATGCAACCAGCGACCACTTTCGGTTGTTTCGCTTTGAGACCGTCGAGCAGATCGCCGAGTAGCGGCTCGCATCCAACAACATCCTCCATCTCTGCATAGAACGAGATGAGCCCGAGCGCGTTCTTCTTTGTGCCTGCACGATTGGAACCGAGACACTTTTCGACGAGTGCGGGAAGGACGACTTCTCTCGTCTTGCCTGCGGGTTGACCACCAAACTCGACAAAGGCGCGGACGGCGTCGACACCCTTCTCCTGTGCAACAGCATTGGTATCGACGACGATGGCTTTCAAGATGTCCGGGTTGCGGGTATATTGGCGGAAGATGGGGTCGCTTTCCGATGATGTTTTTGGGAATGCTTTGGAGAGGTCTTCATAAGCGGAGACGCGTGCTTTCCAGAGCTTGGAAGAGAGGCGCTCCTCTATTGACAGTTTGGTAAAGTCCTCCTCTGTTGCAGCGCCGCCACCCATGATTTCCATGCTCATAATGTTGAAAGATTACGCCAGTGCGGCGATGATGATGGTGCTAGGGCGGAAGTGAGGATGAAGTGTCTGGTGCGGATCCAGATCGAAAGGGCGTTGTAAGCCTGTGGCGCGAGCCGTACGCTGAGGCTGAGTCGGGAAGCAAGAAGAGACGGTGATCTCGAGCGTAAGAAGAAGAAAGTAGGACGTATTATGGAGTGCCAGATAGCATCAAGGCGGTAGTACAGGAGACTCGCGAAAGTAATGAAGTGGGAGCGAGGATTCGCCAACTGCTGACGGAAGAATGGTCCGTCACGCAAGCTGAAGCCAGGCTGCGTATTCGCTGGAGGGGTTGGTCTTGAGGGATGATGATAGTGTAGAGGGTCGGTGTGATCTAGACTAAGTGTTGAGAGAGTGTGTTGGATTGCGTGAGTGATCTGCTCTCTGCAGTTGGCTTGAAACAGTGACGAAATGCTCTTTTGACCCGACCTCACCGCTGACCGCCGCTGCCAACGCTCAGTTCTAAAAAAGGTGTTGCTCTCTCGGTCTCTTTTGCTATGCTGCTAAAAAGGCCAAAACAAAGCAGAAAAGAGACGCGCCTCAAAGTGTTGTTTGTTGCTCTTTTTGATATTTGTTAGCTATGAGAATCTGACACTCGAAACGCAACGCGCCCGCCCTGAAAGTGTTGGTCAGACGCGCGTGCACTCTGAAGTGTTGTTCTCTGCGCCTTTTTTTTTCTCTCTCTCTCTCTCTCTCTTTGTGTGTGTGTGTGTGTGTGTTTATCATCTCTCCTTCTCTTTCCTCTCCATCGACCCTCAAAACTCCTCAAGAAACCTTTCTCGCAACACTGGGCACTGGAGCAATCGCTCCTCCAGCCCTCCCTGAAGATGAACGACGATGCCGTCGAGCTCCGCTTCGACTCTCCCGAGCAGGAGGTCAAGCACTGGAAATCCAAAGTTGCCGACATGCAAGATGCTCTCCGTGAAACCGAGTCTTCTCTCCAAGACTTCATGGAGTCATCCAAGGAGCTCGAAACTGAAATGGAAAAGGAGCTCTCTTCTTCCACCAAGACCATCTCTGATCTCAAACGACGAAACGAACAGCTTACGGGTGATCTTGACGATTGGAAGTCCAAATACTCCCGTGCGCTTCAGGAACACAATGCGACCTTGACAAACTTGCAAAAAGAGCTGGCGGCATTGAGGGAGGCGGTGGATGTGTATAAGGCAAAGTTGAGGGATACAGAGCTGACCAACGACGAGCTCGAGAATGCAGAGAGGATGATCGCATCGAGTCTGGCGGACATGGAGGGGAAGTATAACAAGACGATTGAAAAGACAGCACTCTTGGAAGAGGAGCTGATTGAAAAGACGAGGTTAGAGGAAGAGAATCAGCGATTGAAGGATGAATTAAGGGAAATGACGGAAGAGATGACTGTACTGAGGGATGTTGTGACGAGAAGTAGGGCTGTTTCGAGGGCAGAGACACAGGCTAGTTCGACCTACGATGACCAGCCAGTCTCGAGATCGGATCAGAGCTTCGATAGTTCGCCCAAGAAGCCGAGTGCGGTTGAACGTCCGTCGTCAAGACAAGCGCTCAGCTCACCGAGCCTCAACAGAGTTCCAATCTCAAGAAGGCTAGGTGCAATGGGTCACAACAGACGATTGAGCAGAGACGTCCGTGCCGCCGAGGGATTCCACCTCGCTGCTGTGCAGGACGACAGCTCAGCCCATCCGTCCACCTCTTCACGTACATCGACCCTCGCCCGCGGCACACCCTCCCACAACAGCACGTCCCACACCAATGGTCTCACATCTTCACCCTCCGCACGAGCACAGCTACGAGCATCAGTTCGCGCAGCAGCACGCATCCACGGCCATACTGGTGTTCCCTCCACACCCCGCTCTGCAATTCCTTCGAACGGTGCAAATGCAGCAGGCTCAAAACGTATGATGGCAGAAATGATCTCCAAGATGAAGGCGCTCGAAACACGCATCAACTCTGCCAAGGACTTGTCTCGCGTCGTTGGGCCGAACGATGAAAGTGCGATCCCTCGACCTAGCTCTCGTATGGCTGGAACAGTGTTTGGTTCCCCGACTGCATCTTCTTCCGCTGCTGGGATTGCACAGAACTCGATCCACATGCCCACCTCTATACCCCGAGCGCCACGCGCGAGCATGGACGGGAACCGAACTATCGGCTCTTCCATTCCAGTTGCTTCGAGAGTACGACGATCCAGCTCGAGGATGTTGGAACGAGGGACACCTCCCATGCCTAGTCTTGGCTTGCCCCGTTCACAAACACCAAGTGGCTTACACGCGAGAGGAGGCTCCAGAGGCGGACCCTCTCCCCTTCCTCTAGAGTTCATGGACCACGACCCAGCCAGCACTCTACCTCACGTAGCACGGTACGCAGCAGCACAAGCAGCACTTGCCAACACATCCGTCAGCTCAGCCAGACGGCGAACCTCTATGTCAGGCGCTAGCATGTCTCATTCGGCATCTTACGGCTCACTAGCGAAAGTTCGATCTGGCACTTCAAGCGCACTTCCAAGAGCAACGACTCCTTCCTCCATAGCAGCACCCAGGGTCACCCAAAGCACCATGTCGCACTATGGAGACAGTTCAGGGGTCGCAAGAACTCCGCTTTCGACTAGACTAGCGTCTTCGCACAGGAATGGGAGTAGCGCGAGGGGAAGTGTGAATGGTCCGCCGAGTTCGTGGAAGTCGAGTACGGCAAGGGAGATGGTCGGTTCCGCGTTAACTAGGAGTAGGAGTGGCAGTTTGGGGTCTCAAAATAATGATTTGACATAGTTATGCTGTAATGATAGCGAAATGAAGATGATCATCAGGTCATCAACATATGTATCTCTCTGTGAGAGAGAGATTGAAGGTGCCAGGTTCAGGTTCAGGTTCAGGGCTTCACATTGTATGTGCCAGTGGAGAGATTTTTGACTGCAATTTTGGAGTCTCTATTTTGTGCCGTTTTGATTCAGATTCGACAAGATGAGCACAACCAATTCGATACACTCGCCACTTCTCTTCTCTGTCAGAACACACGCGCGATGAACATCAGCCTTACTCCAATCGCAAAATGCTTGTCTTTGCATTTGCACGAACATGTTCCCTTCTACAGTTTAGCCTTGAATTTGTGAACCTCAACCGGCCGCTCATCACCCTTCCCTTGCTCTCTAACCGCATTGATCAAGCTCCCCAAGCCATTTCCGCCCCACAAATGACACGTATCGCCATCTCTCAACCAAACCTTTGGGTTCCTCTTGAATCCTTCACCTGGAGGAGTTCCCATACTAACCACGCTACCCTTTTCCAACGTTGTACTTTTACTCAACTCTGCCAAAGTTTCAGCTGTTTTCCAAAGCATCTCTGATGTGTTTCCGTCTTGCATGACCCTGTTGTTGAGTTTTGTCATTAGGTGAATATTATCAGGGTTATGAATGCCTTTAGGGTTTGAAGCGGAGACTAGGCATGGTCCAATGGGTAACCAACCATCGAAGGATTTACCTAGACCCCATTGAGGAACTGCGAACATCCGTGCTCGTGCTGAGACGTCGTTGGAAAGTGTGTAGCCGAGAACTGCTTGCATTGCCTCGCTGGGCGAGGCGTCTTTTATGCACTTTCCAAGGACAACGAGTAGTTCAACTTCGTAGTCTGATTCTTCCTTTGCACAAGCGGGAATGATGATTTCACGACCGGGACCAGAGATGGTGGTGTTGGGTTTGTAAAAGAGAATGGGTAAGACAGGGCGGCTTTTGATTGCAACATGGGGATCTTGGTTGGGTTGGATGAAGTTTGCTCCTAAAGCACGAATCGAGGGGATCTCGTGGGGAAGAAGAGGTGGAAGAAGAGTGGATACAGTCTTGATTACACCAGATAGAGGTGCAGGACCGGATAGCGGATGGGTGTAGAGAATGTTCGCGCGGATAGGTGGAGAAGAATTGGCATAGGCAACACCAACATCGAGTGAATCGTCAAGAGGTTGACCGAAGTACGTTTGTCCATCTTCTCGGGCGATGAATCGGATGAGGCGCCACCAGGACGTTGCTGCCGAGGAAGTCATTTTGCGTCGACTTGTGGAGTGATGATGATGGTTTGATGCTGCCCACGCTCACGAGCCAAAAAGAAAAAAGAAAAAAGAAAAGAAAAAAAAAAAAAAGAGAAAAAAAAGAGAAGAAAAAAAAGAGACTGTGCGATGCAGCGGCCAACTCGGTTGACAGGCGCAGTAGAGAGAGCTCGGATTTGCTGGGACATGAGAAAGCGGAATTTGCTTTAGCTCTCGTGCCCATAAAATCGTAAAATCCGCCTCCACTTTGTATTTTTCCGCGCTGCAGTGCACGGGATCAACGGTGAGTTGTCTCACGTGCCTGAAGTCTGTGTCAGAATGAACTTGACAAAGCGCAGCCAGGAGGCTTGCGCAAGAGGAGAGAAGATGATGGACAAGAAGCAACGAGAGCGACAGGAGATGAGATGAGCAATATCAAGTGACACGACTCAGGTCACGTGCCTTCGCCCACCATTGAAACGAGCGCACCTTCCATTCGCACGACTCGACCTTCGAGTGACAGCCTAACTTACCGCGGACTACGACTTTTTCGGGCCATGGGCAAGTGACACAGAAGCAACAAGATATCACCGAGCTCAAGGAACGGTAGCAGAAGCATTGCCGAGCTAGCTCCGACTCCATGGGAAAGATCTATTCTATCGGCGTTACTGTTAGAGGTAGACATGCATGGAAAGTGTGCGTGAGGTGCACTATCGCTGGCCGGTACGCTAGAGGTGCGAGGACGACCGCATGGATGACAAAGTTGACGTCGTTCTGACAGGCGAAACAATGGAAAGGTGCTCTTGCGCAGAGCAGATATGCCTCCACAAAGCACAGAAATCTTCTCTTAGCCGACCTCTTCCAAGGCATCCTGACAAGACTTTGCTTGAGCTCGACTGGCTCACTGGATCTCCCGAGATTCTGAAGTCATTGAGCAGTGTGAGCTTATATGACACTTTGACTTCCTCCGTTCTTCCCTCGCTTGTTTTCACCCCTTCCACCATCAGCCTTTCCATAAGTATCTGATGTCTTTCCGACTCGCTCAACCCCTGCGAACTTCAATCAAAACTATTCAGCAAAGAACATTCGCAACCGCAAGGATCCTTGCCAATATGAAGCCCGTTCAGCTCTATACCGCCGGCACGCCCAATGGGCAGAAGGTCTCGATCATGCTCGAGGAAATCAAAGCACTCAACCCTTCGTTCGAGTACGAGACGCATGCTATCGACATGAGCAAGAACGAGCAGAAGGAACCCTGGTTCCTCAAGATGAACCCTAACGGAAGGATTCCTACCATCCTTGACCCTAACAACACTGCCACTGACGGCAAGGGCTTTGCTGTCATGGAGAGCATGGCTATCATGCTCTATCTCGAGAAGAAGTACGACGATAACCACCTCTTCTCGTGGCCTAGTTCCGACCCCAAAGCAGACAACTATCGCAATCTCGTCTTGCAGTGGATGGGATGGCAAATGGCCGGCCAGGGGGCAAGTTGCACGCTCTAGAACTCCCCGCTATGGTTCAGAGCATAGCTGTTGATGATGCTGAGATGGTGGTGTAACTAACTTGAATTCTTCCTGCCCCTTTTTTGGATTTCTGCTTCGCGATAACAGCCCATGCAAGGTCAAGCCAACCACTTCCGTATGCAAGCCACTGGCGACTCGAAGAACGTCGTTCCCTATGGCATCAAGCGATACCACGATGAGACTGTCCGACTCTACACGGTCCTTGAAGCCGGTCTTGAGGGCCGCGACTACCTAGTTGGTGATGGCAAGGGCAAGTACTCGCTTGCTGATATGATCATCTTCCCTTGGGCTCTCTGGTACCGTTTCGCCGGTGTCAGGAATGATGAGGTCGGACCCAACGTCAAGGCTTGGATCGAGAGAATCAAGCAGCGACCCGCTGTTCAGAAGGGTCTTGAGGTTCCCACCAAGTCTGAGCTCTTGAAGAATCTTGACGACGTAAGTACCTTTCCCATGTCATTGGTCGGTGCGTCGATGCAGAGAAGAGTGGACGAGATGCTGATGATGCTTTATTGTCGATTGATGTTGAACAGCCCAACTGGATGCCTGCTATGCCTGAGATCTAATTTGTTGATGTTTGATGAACATGTTGACCGTAGACGACAGCGTAGCTATCGAGCTCGACGAGATGCAATCCGATCATGCTTACGAAGACCTCTTGTCGTCGGTGTCACAAGCGACTGTGAAAGAAAGAGGGATGATGACGAAGAGAAGGATGATGAGGCTTGGCTGAGCAGACCTTACAGCCTCGCTTGGCTTGGTCAAATTTTTGCTCTGCTGTGGAATCAAGGTGGATGGTATCATGCGAGCTTCTCTAGGATCACATGTGGGCTGCACTGGGATGACAATGAGTGGGACCGTCGATAGCAGATCTTCTGTGTAGTCGCAATATTGCTTCTCTCTCACACACCCTCCAGACGTTCAGATTCTAGATGTGAGATTCGAATGTATAGATTTGCTCCTCTTTACAACTTTCCTAGAGCTCAATTCTCCCGTTGCTTCACAGGAAGACAGTCCAAGTCAATTGCGTGGACAAGCTTAGATACCCTGCTCGAGCAAGGCGTTGAGCTTGTTGACCTTGGAAGCGACCGAAAGGTCAACAGTGTTGCCGGCAAAGTCAACGACGAGACCACCCTGGATGGCGGGGTTGACCTTTTGAACGATGCGGAGCGTCTTGCCATTACCCTTGGAGGCGATCTGCGAACCCTTGAGTGCCGACTCGATGCGCGAGACCATCGACTTGTCCAAAGGAGTAGCCGAGGTGACGGTGACTTCAACCTCACCACGGTATGAGGTCATGAGGTCTTGGAAGCCCTCGATGACCTTTTCGGTCTCTCCGAGACGGCCGTTCTCAGCAAGGACGGTGAAGAGGTTGCTGTGCGAGTAGTGCGTGGAGGAACAGTGTGAAGATCGTCAGCGAATCAGTCCTCGTTCATAAGTAATGTCAACAAGCAACCACCATGGCAAGTCGTTAATTGTAAATTCACAGCAATCATGCTCTGGTCTCCAACGTCCTTCTCTATCGGTCGAGCCTACCCGTCATGCTTCAAATTGTTTCAACACCTGCGGCCGACATGTCCAAATTGGGTATCCTGCTCTCCAGGTCGATGATATCCTATCGGCGTTACAGCTCGGTAGATGCCTGCCGTTGGAAGGATCCCTAAGTGACCGACAAGTTTTGCGCAAAGAAGCGAGCCCCTCGCTTCGTCCAGTGGCCGAATGTTGGTAGCTGACTGGGATTATCTGTGATGCCTTCGCCTGCTTTCGTTTTCCCTTGCATTCCATGCCCAGATCTCCATACGTTGCTTCCACTCCATTCCCACGTGATTGATGCATTGTTGTGCATGACTTCGGTGTTATGGTTGCTGCTGTAGCAAGATTTGAGACTTACTGGGTGATGGGGTCGGCCTTGCCCTTGCCGCCGCCGAGGAGCTGCTCAAGACCCTTGGTTCGGTCAGCACCGCTGAGGGTGGGGTTGGAGATGAAGGTCTTGAGCTTGGCACCCTCGGAACCGGCGAGAGCGGACTGGACGGCTTTGAGATCAGCCTCGACCTTCTCAAGGGTCTTGCTGTCCTTTGAGAGGGCAGCGACGTACGCAGACGAAGCGTACTTGCCTGTGGTTGCAAGAAATGGTCAATCGGTGTGCGAGTGCGTGCCGATTGATTGGGAACGAAAGCGATCGGTGTAGTGTCGGTGTAGTAGAATCGAAGTTGCGTGCGGATCGAGTCGAGTGCGATGAATGGGAAGACGAGGATGGAAGACGATCAGTTGAGGTCACAGTGTGATGCAGGTGATGTGGGATGCGAGAAACCTACCGGCAAGACCGTCAAGCTGACGGGGAGCACGAACGGCGGCCTGAGAGGCGTAGCCTCGGGTAGCCTGCTGTGGGATGGGATGCAACGGATGTGGAACGAGCCGATTCGGGGAGGTTGTTGGATGTACGAGTCAAGCGAGCAAGAAAAGGTGTGTGTCAGTAATCATTGTCGGGATTCTCATGAGTTGAAGGATTGATGTCGTTTCCTGTCTGCGCTTCATGGTCAATGATATGCTCTCGACGGACAAATGCCTCGAAATCCATAAGCGGGGCTCTAGGTCTGTTTTGCGACAATGCAAAGCATGTGATGGACGAAGGCTATTTGTGCGAAGAATCGGATGATGCTCATCGATGCAAGTTTGGCGACGCTATGTGGTTGTGCCGAATTGGATACGAACCTGGAAGAGACGGGGGGTGAATCGGGCGGCCATGGCTGCTGTATGTGTGAGGTGAAAGGAGGGGTGGTGATGTGAAGTTGATGTAGAAAATGGAGTGGAGAAGATCAACAAGTGCGACATCGACGACAACCACGACGACGCCGACGATAATCTCAATCTCGAATCTCCAACATCAGAGTTGGCTCGACTCTCTCCGACGAAAGCTCACGCCAAGCTTCTTGAGATACTGTGTGCTTCTCTGCAATTTTCGCGGTCACACCCGCCTCTCAGCCTCTGTGCCCGCCAAACCGATCGGTTCGGCGAGAGAGTAGGACAGCTTCACTCGGACGACAGCTTCACTCGGACGACAGCTTCACTCGGACGACAGCTTCACTCGGACGACAGCTTCACTCGGACGACAGCAATTCAGGCGAGAAACGAAATATTTCTCTCAACAAGTTTGTTTCGATCTCACACCAGATGCCATATTCCCGTTTTTCCTGCCGTCTGTCCCTCAACGACTGCAGCTTTCGATGCAAGCATGCTTTTTGATATAATGACACCTCAGACCTCGGCCATGCTTCGAGTGTCAGAACTTCGAGAGTCAGAATTGCTCTTCGGTCATCCAAGCAGACGATAGAGACAGCTGGTCAAGAAGCCATGAGCTGCCCTTTGTTTTAACGATATCAGCGACGCGTGTGGTGTGAGTGTGTGAGAAAGCAAGCTGCGGCGTGGAGCGCCAATCAAATGGACTTCTCGCCTGAATACAAAATTTGTACTCTTTTAAGCTCTGCCACAGGGTCGAGTTGAATTCGATGCCTCGAAGCAGAATTCAAATTGGGCTTCCCAACGCGACTTTTTGCGAGGAAATTTGAGAAGGACGAGAAGGACGAGAAGGAAGAAGACAGACAGCGCGAGAAGATGAGAAGAAATCACTCGCTCCCAAGGCACAACAGAGACAGAAGAGACAGAAGGGTCGATGCCGTCCGTGTCCTGTGCCGGTGTGTGTGTGGTGCTGTTCTGCTGCGAAAAATTGTCTGTTGGCTAGCTACAGCAGAGGTCGTCTTCACCATCATCAATCTCGACTTTTCATCCTCCATCACCCTCTATCTCCTTGAAAGTCCTGGCTCTTCGTTTCTTGAGAGCTCATTACTTCCTGGATTCTCTTCACCTTTCGATTTCTAAATCGACGGAAAAGCGGTACTTTCAACCTTCCTTTTTCTCACAGATTCCTCACCACAACTCCAGCCTCGCTCTAGCTTTCCTTGCACGCACGCATTCACAGTACCACCCCCCAACTGCAGAGATAGCATCGACACTTTTGCTTCTCTGCTTTTCAACATAGACAACTTTTAGCCCAACATGTCTGGTTTCTTTCGCAAGGTCGGCGACTCCGACTCTGAGTCCGACATCTCCTCGTCCGAGGAGGAGCTTTCTGAGCTCGAGTCCGGCGACGAGCAGCAGCAGCAAAAGACTACTCAGCCTGCCCCCGGTCGTTCCCGTTTCCTCAAGGTTAGCGATGACGACTCGGACGATGACGATGACTCTGACTCGGACGATGACGATGACGAAGAGTCGCTCGACTCGGACGACGAGCCTCGCCAAGATGGCAAGAAGGCCGCCCCCACTTCTCGCTTCATGAAGGGCGCTGCCGACAGTGATGACAGCGACTCGGAGGAGGAGGTCAAGAAGGTTGTCAAGTCCGCCAAGGACAAGCGTATCGATGACATGCAGACCATCGTCGACCACATCGAATCCGCCAAAAAGTCCGGCGACTGGACCTCGATCAACAAAGATTTCGACAACCTGATGCGCTCCATCGAGCGTCAACGCACCTTGAACGAGTCCATCCCCGCTTTCTTCTACAAGGCCATCTCCCAGCTCGACGAGTTCCTCAACGAGTCCGCTGCAAAGGAGAAGGATGCTAAAAAGAAGATGAAGGCTCCCGTTGCCAAGGCCATGAACGGTATCAAGCAGAAGCTCAAGAAGGTCATCAAGGAGAACGACGAGACCATTGCACGATACCGCTCCGACCCCGACGGTTTCGAGGCTGATGCCGAAGCTGCTGCTGCTGCCGCCGCTGCTCCTGCCGACACAGAGACTGCCATCACCAAGGGTAAGAAAGAGCGTCTCGCTGCCGCCCTCGACGAGGATGCCAACGATGACTTCCAGACTGTCGGCCGTGGTGGCCGCACTGAGATCTTCACCTCCGAAGGTCTCTTCAAGAGTCTCGCTGGCATCATGGAGGCACGTGGTAAAAAGAGCACCGACAAGAACGAGCAGATCCGCAAGCTTGCCGACCTCTCGAGCGTCGCCGATACTCCTTACAAGAAGATCCGTGTCATCCTTGCCCTCGTTGCTGCTCGATTCGACTACAACGCTTCCGCTTCCGCTTACATGCCTGTCGAGATGTGGAAGTCCGCCCGCAAGGAGATCAACGAGCTGCTCGCCCTCCTCAGCAAGCACCGCGGCTACATTGTCCGCGAAGAGACCGAAGACTACGATGACGAGGTCGAGCGTGTCCCTAACCAGAACGGCGAGAAGGAGACCGTCGCCGTCCGTGGCAGCATCATCAGCGTTGTTGACCGTCTCGACGACGAGTTCACCAAGAGCTTGCAGAACATCGACCCTCACACCACCGAGTACGTCGACCGTCTCTCTGACGAGAAGAAGCTCTACGAGACCATTGTCATCGCTCAGGGCTACTTTGAGAGCAACAAGGAGACCGACGCTCTCTCGCGCTGCACCATCCGCCGTCTTGACCACGTCTACGCCAAGCAGGATGTCATCATCAAGGCTCTCGAGTCTACCCTCGGTGACGCCGCCAAGTTGTTCGAGTCGAAGCTGTTCCCCTCGGCTGCTCAAGTTGCTGAGCAGGACGGCCCTGCCACTCTCGTTCGCGCCCTTTGCACTTACCTCTACCAGGCACGCGGTGTTCAGGCCGAGCGACCACGAACACGCGCCATGCTCTGCCACATCTACTTTCACGCTCTGCACGCCGAGTACCACGTTGCCCGTGACATGTTCCTCATGTCGCACTTGCAGGATGCTATTCAGCTTGCCGATGTTGCTACCCAGATCTTGTACAACCGTGTCGTCGTTCAGATCGGTATCTGCGCCTTCCGCAACGGTCTCATCAAGGAGTCGCAGGTGGCGCTCCAGGAGATCTTTGCCACTGGTCGTGTCAAGGAGCTCCTGGCACAAGGTGTTCAGAAACAGAACCAGTTCAGCACCATCACTCCTGAGCAGGAGAAGCTCGAGCGTCAGCGTCAGTTGCCCTTCCACATGCACATCAACTTGGAGTTGCTCGAATGCATCTACTTGATCTCATCCATGTTGCTCGAGGTCCCCAACATGGCTTTGGCCGGTAACGACCCTGAGTTGCGCAAGCGCGTAATCTCGCGACCCTTCCGAAGGATGCTCGACTACACTGACCGACAGGTCTTCTCGGGTCCTCCTGAAAACACTCGTGATCACATCATGCAGGCCTGCAAGGCGCTCCAGAACGGTGACTGCAAGGGTTGCATCGAGCTCATCTCGGACATCAAGATCTGGAAGCTCATGCCTGGTTCCGAAGAAGTCAAATCGATGCTCGCTAAGCGTATTCAGGAGGTTGGTCTTCGCACATACCTATTCTCTTACTCTGCATACTACGAGTCGGTCTCACTCTCACAATTGGCAGCGACATTCGATGTCGAGGAAAAGGTGGTCAAGGCGATGGTTTCGAAGATGATCTACAACGATGAGTTGGCAGCTTCGCTCGACCCTTCGGCCAACGTGGTCGCTTTCCACAGACTCGAATTGACCAAGGTACAGCAGCTTGCTGCGACATTGGCGGAGAAGGCCAACTCGATGCTCGAGCAAAACGAACGTTTGCTCGATGCCAAGTTGGGCGAGGGTAAGGAGCAGAGGAGTGGTCCTGGCGGCGAGAGGGGTGATCGTGAAGGCGGACAGGCTGGTGGACGTCGTGAGAGGAGAGGTGGTTCTGCAGCACGTGGTGGACGAGGTCGTGGACGTGGACGAGCACAACAGTTCCAAGCGCTTGGACAGAAGGTGTAAGCCCCGAACCTGACTCTGTTCAGCTTCAAGCTGTTTTTCCATCGCCTCCTCTCTTCCTCTTTTTCTCTGTGCATTCCCCATCCCCCCCTCCTTCCCCCGAAAGCTCCTATTCTTACAACTATCCCTGTGTATATGTATGAAATTTCAAGGAGCATTTTCTTGCCTTGTCCCATAACCACCACGCTAGAGAATTTGAATGTGAGCAACACGGTACGAAGCTTGTGTTGAGGAAGGGAATTGTATCGTGCGAGAAAAGCGGTGGAGGGACGTCACACGCCGAACAAAAGGCGCCGGGGCTGTGGAGGCGGAACTTGGCCGTCCCGGAAAAAGTCGGCGCAAAGTGTCAAGGCTGAAGCTAACTTTCCCCACTTGGATAAGCGTGCAGCTTTACTTTGCTTCCGACCCTTCTGATATGGATCGAGTATCCTTTTCTTCACTTGCTTCGACATTCATCAGACGGCCATCCTCCGGAGACCTTCAGGAGGCGCATGGGCCATTATATACGATAATTGCACCGTCTCATCACGCAAAGGTCCTCGGTTACAGGCACGATCGGAATCAAAGCGGATGTGGCAAGCACTCTGGAACACACAACTCAACGTTCGGATATACACTGGCATAGGCATGCAAGCACGATAGACAGGTAGAAGCATCTGGGAACTGGGTCCAGCATCATTATAGACGGAGGGAGGATCGTGTAGTAACACCAGGAACGACTTTGTACAGAATCTGCTTCACTCAGCAGACAGCTGCATGGTTGCAAACATGGCTTCGTTTCCAGCCTCATCTTCACGGTTGGCAGCTGCCACAGCCAGCAGCAGTCGAGTGCGTCTCAGTGATGCTGCAACGAAAGCTACTAGCTTCAGCTTCCAGCGAGCGCTCGAAACCGGACCAAATACATCAGCACTGACGAGAAGGAAACATAAACAGCGATCAACCTGGCAACCACCAACATGGCTTCTGCCCTCAATCCAGCTGTCGACCTCTCGTCACTTTTCTTCTTCAGCATCGAGAACGCGACCTCGCACCTCGACACCCTCCTCATCGGGCATACCGGAATACTCGTTCCCTCAGCACTGCAACCCAACACCATACGAAATCTTTCATTTCACCTCAAGCCGCAACGTCATGCCTTCCGAAGTCAAATCACGATACTACGACCTTGTGCGATCTCTCCATCCGGATCGTCTATCGACTTCTTCCTCCGACAAGACTAAAGTGAAAGCCCAGGAAGAGTTCAAGTTGGTAGTGCAAGCATACAACCTTCTCAAAGATACCAAGAAGAAAAACTTGTACGATCGAGCAGGAATCGGATGGGACGGATCAAAAGGCGACACTTGCACCACTTCCCCTTTTGCTGGCAGCGATCCGTGGAGGAATTGGCAAGATTTGCGATACACAAGACGTTATAATCCCGGCTACACAGGACCAGGCCACGACCGTTTTGGATGGCAAAACCAAGGATTCTATTCAAACCAGTATAACGCTGCCGGCACCGCAGGTTATGGTAATGGTTGGAACGGCGGTAATGGTAAATACACCTCCAACGGAATCTTGATCTCCACCTTATTCGTTGTAACTTGGGTTCTAGCAGGATTGCAGTATTCTAGATTGAGTCTCCAGAGTCAAAAAGCGACAGAGAGAGCAGATAGAAGTCACTTGGACGCTGCAAAAAGTTTGAATCAAGCAAGAGAGTTGGCGAGGAGTCAGGAGGGAAGGGAAAGATGGAAAGCGTTCAGAAGAAGAGCCAGGGAGCAGAAGGTGGTTGAACAGTTAGGATCGGCCGAGGTCGGTCATGTTGCGTTGTTGGCTATCGGTACGCCCAAGGCAGGAGCGTTTGAGGAGAGTCCGTACGCAATCGGACACGGTGGACCGAGTGGGAAAGAGGCTGCTCAGGAACGTTTTGCCAGGGCTCAGCAGGCGCAACAAGCCAGGATGGGAACTCAGTAATAACTCAAGTACATCACAGCAATCCACAACCCCCGCATCGCATCACTCACACCTGTCTTCAGATCTGAATGTCTGTGTGTTTCGACTGATTGAGATTTCAGATTCGAAGGGCGACTCAGAGCGCCCTCTGCCTCGCCGCCTCTTTCTCCTTTTTCAACTGTTCCAATCTCAACCGTCTTTCATTCCTCTTCCTTTCCAGCTCAGCTTTCTTTTCCTCTTTCGTCAAAGGTACCGCCGTCGCCGTCGCTGCTGGTGCTGGTGACGCACTTCTACTGCGTTCTGTATCTTCATCATCCGCGTTATCGTCAAACGAGGCCCATGTTTCGTCGACTGACGCTGCAGCAATGGAAGCGGGGACTGGAGTCTCGAAGGCTTGTGCTGTGAGTTCCTGCGAGTTGAACAAGCTTCCTTGTGAGGCTGATGGCGTCATGCTTCCCGATGCCACTGCTGGTGGTGGTGGTGGCGTAGACTCTTGGTTAGCCTCCCATCCGTCTTCTCCCCACGCCTCTTCGACGGGTGCGGCGACCTTGAGACTGCTTCGGCTGATAGCTTGCTTTGGATCTGCTTGCACTGGCACGGCTTTGGCTGCTGCAGCTGCGGCGTTGTTAGCTGCGGTGCGTCGAGGTCCGAGCTTAGCTTTGGCCATCTTGGTCTTTCCGACAGTCGGAGCTTTCTTCTTTGGTTGACCTACTTCGAAGCTAGACCAGTCGGCAGAGTCGTCGTGCACATCCATGAGGTCCGTGTGTGCTGCAGATACATTGAAAGCGGATGCTGTTGCGGCAGTCGAAGTGGCATCCTCATCAAGGTCGTAGTCCAGAGGCGACTTGGCTGCAGCTGCAGCACTGGAAGACGGTGAGTCGTGCATCCAGCTTGGCGAGCCCATGCTTGAGTCTGGACCGCCTAGTCCGGATCCAAGACGGAGGCTAGCGAGACCAGATGATGGTGGGACTGTTGAAGGCGATGCGAGCGGCGGTGCGGCGGGAGTGCCAATCGAGGTGGCAGGGGTGCTGCGACCGTCCATCTGCGATTGCAATTCAGCAGCTGAAGACAGCGGCTGGCCATCGGGGACAGAAGGTGCCGAAGAAGAGTTGGATAGCGAGGACAAGGCCGAAGACATGGCCCAGCCTGCCAATGCTGTTGCTGCACTACCTGCCGAGGCAGCCATCGAGGATGCGTATCCAGCGCCGTTGGCTGCATCAGCGCCGCTCCCACCGCTGAACGATGTAGCTCCATTGAGCTGTTCAGGCGTGAGCACACTCTCTGACATACCGACACGACCGGACTCGACCTTTGCGAGGAACATCTTCATCGCCTTATCCGCCTGATCTCGAACGAGTTTCTCTTTGTCGACCATGCACGGCGAGACGGCCGGCAGGACTTGCCGAGCGCAATCCTCGTGATCGAATGAGTCACCGGCGGCCATCAAGGCCATGAGACCCGCAACACGTGCATGCACAAATTGGTCTTTGAGACTGCGTGAGAAAGCGGGGATAAGCACCTTTTTGCGTGTCGACAGGGAGAGATGGGGCACAAGACGACCGAGGAGAATGGTGGTGTTGGTACGGATACCGGCTTCAGGATCGACCTGAGTTCGAGCAAGTAGGCGCAGCAAATCGTTGTTGAGAATACGGTCTGAGAGCTTGGGTGCGAGAGGCAGGATGGCTTTGAGTGTCGCCTCTCGTATGACAGGGACAGAGTCATTGAAACCAGTGATAAGGTTTGGCCAGAGCTTGTCCGTTACAGCCTTGTTGTCCATGCGTTGGGCATAGAGCGACAGGTTCTCTAGCAGAGCCATACGAGTTGATCGATCTGGTGATGCAAAGGCTTTGAGAACGGGCGGGGCCACGTTTGCATTCCACTCCTCTTTTGGCAATGGTTGACCGAGACGAAGAACGAGGGGTAGCAAAACTGAAGCTTGCGTGCTAGCCGATGGGATCGTGCCTGGCGGTGGCACAGCGGCAAGAGCAGCGACCAGAGCAGGGAGCACTTTGTACATGAGAAAGTCTGGAGTGAACGAGTCGGGCTTCTCCTGCAAGAGCTTGATGATAGAGGCCTTCTCGTTCTCAGTAGCGAGGAGGAAACCGTCAAGGCCTCGTGCGACTTTGACGAGAGTATTTTCCTTGAAAAAGCCTCCCTCAGCCTCACCTGCTTGCCAGACTCTTGCTACTGTGTTTCGAGTTTTGGCATTGGGGATCAACATGCGCTGCAGGACGGTGTACAGAGCCTGCGGGACATGACCTCTAGGAGGAGCGGCGGTGCCAGTCTGTGGTGGTAATGGACCGTTGAAAGCCTCGATGGCAACAAGAGCAAGCGAGTAGCTGTCAAGCAGAGTAGAGTCCATGTTTGACAGAACACTCCAGCCATTCTGCTTGACTTCCGGTGGAACATAACGATTGCCGTTGGGTATTAAAGAGCATTGGCTGAAGAGAAAGCCATGAGGTGCTTCAGCATGTGGAGTGAGAGCTTCAAATCCAGCGAGCTTCCACTCTCCCGATGCACTAATAAAGATGGATTCGGGGCGAATGTTGCCGTGTGTCGAGGCTGCATCGACATTGAGGAACTTGACAGCATTGACGATTGACGAAAATCCCCAAACGATCCAGTCTTGGCGCTGTGGGGTTGCACGCTTGTCTTCGGACAGTTGAAGGACCTTGTAGAGCGGTGTCGCTTTCTCCACAGCAATGTAGACAGACGAGTTGGTCTCTGCGCTATCAAGTAGCTTGAGGATGTTGGGATGGCGTGTAGTCCGCAGCTTCCTAGCGGCGTTCTTTGCAAGTGGTAGAAGATTGGCTCGAGTGGAGTTGTGTGGATGGGTAAGGTCGAATGCAAGCACCGTACATGCTGAGTTGTCGTCACGCCTGACAGCAGAAAAGAGCGACCATAGTGTGCGCGACCGATATTCGACGAGCTCGTGGCCGATGGTGAAGTTAGGGAGTGGTCCTGATCGTGCTGAAGAGAGCACCGACGAAGCGGCCGAACTAAGCGACTTGAAGTAGTCCATCGTGGCAGGTTGATGCCACTTGAACCGAACTCGCCTTGCCTAGTTGAGACCCTGACCGAAGTTGAGGCCGATGCCTTGAGCGATCCAACCTAATGGCGGAGCGGTGGCTCGACTGAGCAGGGCAAAGGTGGCCTGGCTGAGCCGCGTGACCGTCTGAATGTGTGAATGTGTATGGCGTTGTAAGGGAAGATGCCGAAGCGCCAGCACACTTTGGTGGAGTGAAATATGGTTACAGTAAAGCCAAACTCAAAATCGTAAATTGCATTTCGCAACTCCCGATGCAGAGAGCAGACGGCGGGAGCCGAGTGTGTGTCTGGTGAGTTGAAGTAGATAAAGCCGCACAAAGCGTGGAGACAGTGAAGGTAGTGCTTACGGCCGAGTAAAAGGCCTGAACATCTTAGCATGGACCACATGTGTCACAACCTACTCAAGGCAAATGCTTTGTTATGCTCCGCAGTCAATGCGGCTCTCCGCCGCTCTTCTTTTGTATATATAGACTCCTAGCTCTCTCGCTCTCTCTCTCTCTCCTACCATCATCATCAACCACTGGCTCCAACGCACTGACGACTGACTCCAACGCACTGACGAAGGACTTCAACTGATTAAGAGTCTGACACTCAACGCAATGCCGCCATCGACAAGAGCTGGACAGACGGGAAGGGGCGATGATGATCAAACGACCCCAAGCAACGGACAGGAGGAAGGATGGCTCACGCAGGTAGTCAGGATCCTCCAGCTGGCGAACCCAGCACTAACGGCCGAGGAAGCAATCGTACGAGCTATGGGTCTCATCAGCATTAGCAACCAGACCCCGCGCAGGGAAACCGAGAAGATCCCCAAGGAGGTGTCGAGCGCCATTGCGCACATCAAGAAGCTCAGCGACAGCAACTGGCACACTTGGGAACCTACCTTCATCGACTGCCTCCAAAGAGTACATAATGCGAAGGAGATACTGTATGGCACGGTAGCGCCTGGAAACGAGGAATACGACGAAGACTTGGATAAAGCCCTCGTGGGCCTCATCCACGCCTGCTGTGACAACAGTCCAGACAGCCGTATCGACACCTACACCGTCAGGGGAGTGGATGAAGAAGTCCAACTCGGTAGCACACTCTATGCCAAACTCAAGAAGGCACTAACGTTGAACGACGCTGTAAAGCGAGCAGGACTGCAGGATCGTATTCACACAGTGCGATTGCACAATCGAGACGTTGTCAGGCTAGGCAAGGAACTCGATTCGATCTGGAACGATGCGGCACGCCTGGGAAAGCGTTTCGACGAGGACCTCAAGAAATCAACTCTCTATCGCTGCACGGCCCAAGACTGGTTCTATGCCAACACCGTCGACGCACTGAAAACGGCCAGACCAGACTGTAAATATGACGAAGCCTACCACGCACTCGCCAAGAAACAGCAGGATGGTGAGGTCACCGGCCGTATTAGAGGAGCAGCAAGGGTTGCCACAAGTACGGACCAGGCGGAGCAAGGACCCAGAGGCAGGCGCGATCCTCGCAACCCCTCGGCCCCTCCAAAGTGCTACGCTTGTGGAGGACCTAACCACATTGCTCGAAACTGCACGAACACCAACAATAACCCCGCACCTAGTAGAGACGGACCCACCCCCAATCTGGCACAGGAAGTGAACCACTAGGAACTCGGGTGCACCTTTCTAGCAGTCGACAGGGGCGAGCGATCAGCATGCGACACCTGGATCATCGATTCAGGTGCAACCCATCATATGGTAAATGATGAGAGAATGCTGCTCACCTCAACGAACAAGGTCGGCCAAATCAGTACGGCAGGGGACGAAAAGCTTCAGGTGAAGGCTATAGGAGATGCCTCCCTTCGGGTTGGTGAGGCCACCATCCAACTATTGGATGTGCTTTATGTACCGAAACTGAATGCTAACTTATTGTCCGTACAAGGCTTGATCGAGAATGGTGCACGAGTAATCTTTGATGAGTTTGGAACTACCATAAAGCAGAACGATGGTACCCAAGTACAATTCAAAAGGGACAGAAGACAGGGCCACTTCAAAGTGCGAGGACAAGCACGGGTTTTGGAACTGGAGGAAACATGAGATGGCGTCCCAGAGGACAACCAGAACACAGGAAAACTAGATAATGCCCCAGAGGGCAATAAGGACATGAAGCATCGAGACAGCTACCTATGGCATGAGAGGTTCGGACACCCAGGACGAGACAAAACGAGACAAATCCGGGCCCATTACCTAGGTACCGACGAGGAAATGGAACATGAGTCGAAGCACTGCAACGCGTGCAGTCAAGGAAAACAGACTCGAGCACGGATGAGCCAATCAGAGTCAGAAAGAATGGAGGCACCATTAGAGCTGGTACACGTAGACCTGATGACAGATTTCAAAGGACATGCCAACTACCACTACGCACTAGTTGCTGTGGACGACTTCTCCTCTCTAATCTACGTGGAACCACTCTGCACAAAGAGTGCTGCACTCACGGCGCTGAGAAGGTGGATAGCCAGGATGGAACGGGCAACGGACAGGAAACTCAAAACACTCCGCAGCGACAATGGAGGAGAATGGTGCAGCATAGCAGCCGAAGACTGGCAAACTCAAGAGGGTTTTAAGTGGCAAAAGAGCGTCCCGGGGATCAGCGTCCAAAATGGACGGGCGGAGAGAGCAATCAGATCGGTCCAAGAAAAGATGCGCTCGATGCTGATTGGTCGAGCTTGCCCCAGAGAGTTGTGGCCGTACGCAATCACAGCAGCAGCACACGTGATGAACCTTACCCCGTCAGCCACCAAAACCATTCCCCACGAGGCCTTTTATGGAACCACCGCGCACAAGCTGGCCCAGCAACTGCGAGTCTTCGGATGCTTGGCATGGGTTCATGTTCAACAGAAGGACCAGCAAGGCAAGCATGGAGCTAGAGCAAAGCCAGCCATCATGATTGGGTATGACGACGAACACAAAGCATGGAAGTTTTGCAACCCGGACCAGCCTGCGTCAATTCAATGGAGCAACTCAGCAACGTTCCATGAGGACAAAGGATGGAGTGATCGCCAACAAGAGGCAGTCAGGCCCATGGTGACCGTGGAGGTCGAGGAGGAGGGTGTCACGCCAGCCATAGTAGAGGAGGAGACCAGATCAGAGACTGCAGTGGAGGATCTCCTACCAGCCGTAGACAGCACAGTGGGTGCCGCCAACACAGCAATACTGAACCTGGACCCAACGCTTGGGGAAGCAATGAATGGTGAGGACGCCCAGCTCTGGAAGGAGGCAATACGAAAGGAGCTAGAAGGACTTGAGGCAATGGGGACTTGGGAGGTGGTGCACCAACCACCAGGAGTACCACTTGTGGACTCTAAGGTTGTGCTTCGGCTGAAGCTTGATGCTGACGGTGTACCTGTTAAGCACAAAGCGCGACTGGTTGCAAGGGGCTTCACACAGAGAGAGGGGATCGACTACCAAGAAACCTTCTCTCCAGTAGCACCCCTCGGAGCGATCAGAGCCATCTTAGCACTAGCAGTGCAGAACAACTGGGAGGTACATGCTCTGGACATCACTATGGCTTACTTGAACTCCACGTTAAAGGAAGCAATCTACATGAAGCCGCCAGAAGGATCAGGAGTAGCACCTGGCAAGGTGTACAAGGTAGTCAAGGGCCTATATGGCCTAAAGCAGTCTGGGCGAGAATGGAATCAGGAGTTCGACAGGTCTTTGCGACGCATGGGATTCTTCCAGGTAGAGTGCGCTCCCTGTATCTACACCAAGGGACAGGGTGAAGATATGGCCATTGTGGTCATCTACGTCGATGATACATTAGTCATAGCACCACGGCTGGAAACGGTCCTAAAGGTTAAGAAGCAGATTGGTCAGAGATGGAAGATGGAAGATAGTGGTGAGGTCTCTCACTTCTTGGGCATCAAAATCAGTCGAGACCATGCGATGCGCACCATGACGATTGGTCAGTCAGGGTACATCGACCAAGTGCTGGCAAAGCACCTGGACAAACGTACGAAGCCAACCATGGTTCCAATGCAGAGCATACCGGAGGGAACCCTTGTCGCAAGCGCAGCACAACAGAAGGAGTATCCGGTGATTGTTGGCAAGCTGCTCTGGGTTGCCAACAGCACCCGGCCCGACCTTAGTCTCACCGTGGGTGTTCTCGCTAGGCACATGCGTGAACCATCGCAGGAGCATTATCAGGCAGCACAAAGGGTCTTACGCTACCTCGAAAGCACAAGGCAGGTTGGATTGGTTTATAGGGCAAGTGAGTCGCAAGAGCCACTGGTTGCACACAGCGATGCAAACTGGGCAAGCGATGCCACCATACAGAGAAGAAGCACATCGGGGTCAGTGGCATTAGTGTACGGGAATCCAGTAGCCTGGAAGTCAGCGACACAAAAATGCGTGTCATTGTCCGCTGTCGAGGCAGAGTTCATTGCAGCCACGGAAGCAACACGTGAGGTGCTCTTCCTCAAGCAACTGCTACGCTCAATTGGCATTGCCACAGGCACACCGACGGTCTACTCGGACAACACTGGTTGCATACAGGTTAGTAAGGACCCAGCACAGCACTGGAAGCTTAAGCACATCGACACCAAGTATCACTTCGTCCGTAACAACGTACAAGAGGGAAGGGTGCAGATCAAGTACGTAGACACCACAAGAAACTTGGCAGACGTACTCACGAAGCCCATTGGGAGGCAGGCAATGCAGCAAGCAAGATCTGGGCTACACCTGCAAATACCGGCAGCAGTGTACGGAACGGGGTCCCCGAGCTATGCGACAGTGTTGAAGAACGGAGGCCACACCTTGAAGCAACAGCATAATGAACAGGGTACATATGCTGTTGAGGGGGGGAGTTGAAGTAGATAAAGCCGCACAAAGCGTGGAGACAGTGAAGGTAGTGCTTACGGCCGAGTAAAAGGCCTGAACATCTTAGCACAGACCACATGTGTCACAACCTACTCAAGGCAAATGCTTTGTTATGCTCCGCAGTCAATGCGGCTCTCCGCCGCTCTTCTTTTGTATATATAGACTCCTAGCTCTCTCGCTCTCTCTCTCTCTCCTACCATCATCATCAACCACTGGCTCCAACGCACTGACGAAGGACTTCAACTTGGTGTGCGTGTGTGCGTGTGCGTGTGCGTGTGCGTGTTGGTTGGGTCAATAATCTCTGTGTGGCTTTTGGAGGAGGCGCGTCTTCTCGCTCGCTTTGGCTTCGCTTGACGTTGGTCATCGGCTTAGCCGCGTACCGTTCATTCTGCCCTCGCTCTGAGCTTGTCCTCCAATCTTGTCCTCTGCTTCTCACACTAAAGTAAGCATTTGGCGCACAGGCTGAATAGACTTTCGCATGGCCCGAATGCGCTCCGGTGCGTGTGTTCGAACCTTCAGGACTAACTTCAAGGTTGGAATAAAAAATAAAACGATATACTTTTTGACAACTCGAGTCGCCGTTGAGCTTGTTTCAGCGCTGTGTTTTATTCTCAGAGGAAGAGCTGTCAGTTGAGACACTCATTGTGGAGGCAACCGCTTGAAAACGGTGAGCAACCCTACCATAAAGTCACAGTCCTGCCAACACTCTTCGGCGCATCACATCCGCGCAATGCCTTCTGCGATCTTCATTACCAACACTGCTCCAGTAGACAAAGGCTGCTACTGTTGTTGGGCGTAGCATAACTACAGTGTCGGCGGACACGCTTCGCATTCATCTGCAGCGAAGGTCATCAGAAAATGAACGAGAAACATTTATAAAAAAAAAAAAAAAAAAAAAAAAAAAAAACTTAATTTAAATAATTGATAAAATGTATAGACGAACAGGGCTAAATCCCCCGTTTCGCTGCTTGGCTAGGAGAAGGAATGAGCCATGGCAGAAAAAACAAAAACAAAAACAAAAACAAAAAGAAAGAGAGAGAGAGAGAGAGACTGGCACCGAAAAGGAGAAAGTGGGAAGAGTGACAGAAACTATTGGCAATCTCATCTCTGGCTCACCGACGCCCGACTCTTCTCAGCCATTCTGCCTGATTCTGCTGCTGTTGCTTTCCTTGTCCAAAGGGATTAGCAACTTCGGCAAGACCGCAATTTGAGAAGCCGTCAAGCACATCTCCTCTCGTCGTCGATCAGCCTTTCCCTTACCACCACCCTTCTTATCCTTCCCATCACCCTTTAGATCGCTCTGTCAAGGGCTCGGCACACTTTCGACATCATTGTCGAAGCACAGCTGGCTCGTTCCCGACTATCCTCATCTCGATCTTTTGGCGTGCACGCATTCGGTTGCAGTGTCGCTGCTTTGTCTCATTCGCCAGCTTCATTCAAGATCGCCCTCATCCCCACCGTCGGCACTTGCGTGCATTCTTGTTTCTCTACATAATCGGCAATTCCGCATCCTTGGTCATATTGCTCAGACTATATACAATCGCTGCGACCTCCACAGAGCTTCCCACGCATCCGCTAATCAACTCACATCGCTCAGCCTTTAAGCGCCGAATTGCAGAGCTCAGCCTGACTACAGCATCGCCACACGCTCCTCCCTCTGATATCTTTTCCTTCCATACTCTATTCGCTGCCGCCTTCTCCCAGCCCTTCGCTATCGCATGCCATCAACTCCGCATGGCGCCAACGGTATCAGCTACAATCATCATGTGACTCAATCTAGTCAGCCAAATCCTTCTTCTCGGTCTGCAACAGCTAACAACACAAACATGTCTTCCAACGCCAATGTTATGCATCCTTCATCGCCATCTGCCGCTCTCTCAGCCCAGCAGTCCCTCGGAAAGGATAAGCATCTGCTCACCTCACCTCATAAGCTCAACATTGGCGTACCTCCAGCTACGACTCCAAAGACGCATCAGAGCTTGAATGCATCTACAAACGGCCAGCAAGGTCACCAGCACCAGCCACCTCATCACAATGGCGCCGCTAACGGCACTCTTACGGCCGATGCCAAAGGCAAGCAAAGACAGGTGGACCCCATCCAGAACATCCCCTTAGTACAGCTCGAGCAGGAGTTACCGCTAGAGGAGACTGATCTCGTCTCGCTCGCAGCATTGGTCGAGAGGCTGGCAAACTACGGCTACGAATCACTTCAGAACCTTGCAGAGACATTGCCGTCACTACCGTCTTCCTCCAAACGTGCAAAGATCTTCAACACAGCTCTCGATGTCCGCAAGCAGTTCATCAAGCTTCTTGTTCTTTCACGCTGGTCCAAAGATGTCACCGACCTGCAAAAGGCACGCAACATCATTGCGCTTCTCTCCGAACAGCAGTGGCAGCATGAAGACGTGTTTGCTGGTCTCACTGACATTCGCAAGATCTTGCCCAATGCTCGCATGAGAAACGCTGACCTCCCCACCGCTATCGATGTTCTGCAGACTGGCACCTACCGACGACTGCCGTCCAGCATCAAGGACATGGCCGTCGCACCAAAGCCTTTCACAGACAAGCAAGCGCTTGCCATTGTCGCACGACTCGAAGATGCCCTTCGCACACGCATGGCTTGTCGCGAATACATTCCCGCGCCTCTCTCCGACTATTCGATACGAGATGGCCAGGTTCACTTTCGTGTACAGGGTCTCTTTGAGGCTGCGCTCACCGCTAGCAGCGGAGGTCGGGACGAGGAAGCAGATTCGCATGTCCAGTCTGCGATGTCAGGGGCCGACGAAGCCGCTACCATTGGTGACGCCAGTGTCGAGGACAGGTGGTGGTTGCTCGACCTCAGCTTTGACGTCACTCCGACTGGCTCATGTGCAGCCTCTAGCTCGCGCATGTTTCCGAAGAAGCCCAAGAAAGCCTACCGAGAGCGTTTGCGTATTTGGGGTGACCAGGAGCTGGCGCCAAGACCGCAGGTTCAGAGCTCGGACGAAGCCAAGACAGAACAGACTGATGTAGCCCCGCAGCAGGCAGACCTAGCCGAAGAGCCGAAAGGAGCAGAAGAGGATCAAGACAAAGTGCAAAACTCCGACCCGACAGTTGCATCAACAGAAGCCGCCCAGGACGGACAAACAGATAGAAAAGAAAGTAAAGAACGTGACGCATCCTTACTGAGGCTCTTCGCTTTCTTGCAAGAGCGCTCCCTCCATTATCAGATGGACATTTTGCAGCATCAAGCTTACGCTCTATGTCGTCTCAACTGGGGCTCAAACCTGCGCATCGAGACCGGCGAACGTCCTCGAAGGCTCACTGTTCACTACTGGACCCAGGCGCAGGGAGCCACCGGTGCAGCGCAGAAGGTCGACAGCCCCGCTGCGGGAGGCAGTGTTCAAATCACCATTGTCGATCTGCCGGATCATGCAGGCGCTGCCAAGACTCTCGCTACCTTGTTCGACGACGATGAACATCAAACAGATCAGGCCCGACCTGTCAAACCGACCACGGTGAAACGAAGAGGCTTGCAGGTCACGTGGGATGCCCACTCAAGCATTCTCGCAGACTCAACCACATCCGACCTTTCCATTTCTCCGCACAGTCTCGACATTGAGGCGCTTCTCAGCTTAGTCATTAAGCGACACACAGCCGCCCTGTTGCGCAATCTGCAGCGACGCATACTGGTCAGTGATCATCCGCTCTCACGCCTGCTACGCCCAGAAGACTGCACCCTTTGTGTCGAGGATGCGCAAAGGCAAGGCGACGAGTTCTCGACCGCAACAGAGATGACAGAAACCAGCTTCCTTCAGATCGAGCTCCGTGGCAGCGATCGTCAACGGGCAGGCAGAGCGAAGCAAGGTAGCATGTCTGCCATGCCTCCTCTCCGCCTCAGCGTCGACCCCGTCACAGGCCGCATCCTCCTCGACTCGGAGCCAGCCCGGGTCTCGACGGACATAGCTGTTCGAGCTGGGCCGCAACAGTCTGCAAGCTTTACTGCCTCAATCCTTTCAACGCGTCCCACATTTGCACGTCTCGCCGAGGCTTCGGATCGCATCAATGGGTCCATCGACGCGCTCTTCGACGTTCTCTACAAACTCGAGGTCTTTGCTCGTGTCGAGGAGTGGGAGAGAATGGCTTCCTATCTTGGCTTGCGTACTGTGCGCAAGCTCAATCTGCGGCCTCAGGACTTGACAAAGTTTGGACCCTCTACATCCCCAGAGACAGCGCCGAAGCTCTTCATTCCCTTGCGCAACAGCTTTCCCGGCTACTTTCTGGCTCTGCAGCCGTCAGAGTTGGCAGGCGCAAGCATTGGTTTGGTCTATGTAGTGCAGATGATGGACGCTACAGGTGCGCCATCGTTGACTGTTCAGTCCATCGAATGGTTGGATAGAACCAAGATCGCCAGTACTTCGAAAGCCGAACGAGGTTTCAAGAACAACGATCTGGCAATCGCAGCTGAAATTGGTCAAAAACGCAAAGCTACAGGAGTTCAAGACGGCACAATGACTGACGTCGCTTCTAGTATCGGAACCAAGGACCTCACGATGGAAGAGCTTGCAGACGTTCACTCGTACTGTATCGCTCTCGTCTCCTACTTCCGTGTAGAGCAGCAGCTGCGCATGCGAGGCATCCCGTACTTACACGTTGGCAGCAATACCGCCAGGTCGGCTCCACCAGCAAAGCGTCAACGACGGATCGCAGCACCTGCAGGCGCTGGTGCGCAAGCTGACGTGCGCGACAATGGTCTTTTCGAGGATGACGAAGATCCTAGCGGCGGCACAGCTCCAGGCGACGACGGAGGTGCTGATGCCAGTCCGACACATGATGGGCACGACGCAAGCGAGCAAGCGACGGCCGACTCGCGCGTTGGTACCTTGGTGCCGACCCTCTGCCTCCGTGCCACAGATTTGCTCGGTTCTGCAAAAGCACATCTCACCAAACCCAACATCTCGCTGCGTGTCCGCAAATGGGACGACACTGACGCATGCTGCGTGCAGGTGCTCGTCAAACTCCGTATGAAGTCTGGGCGCTTCCGACAGCTGCACGAGGTTGTGGCGTACGCAACCACTTCGGACCAGCATTCTACATCTCCAGCGACTTGGATCGATTTTGACGATGAGACAGCGTTGTTGACTCTGTCGACGCGCGACCTGGACAACTGCATCCCTATCTTTTATACGCAGTGGGAACGCATCATGCGAATGGTACAGCTCACACGAGAAGTCCTCAACGCCAGCCGAGCATGGCAGCTGCGTGCACTGCGGTCTCGGATCAGCTGCAAGAAGCCGTCTGAGATCGTAGAGTTGCGACGATTTGACTTTGACGTGGTCCTTTTCTCTTACGGGACTATCAAAGTGGACGACCTAGAGCGCAAGCTTTTGGCCCACGTGAGATGGCAGGACGCCAAGATGGAGATGGCGCCGTATACCAACACGCCTATGGCCCAGAGTGGTGGCTACATCCTCGAGTTCGGCTCTATTCCGACAAGCGAGATTGATGCTTTAGACAAAGTTAGAGATGATGCAGATGCACCCAGCGCCGCTGGGGCGACAACTACAGCTGTTCAGCGAGAAGATGCGGTCTCGCAATGGTTCCACGACGCTCACGCTTCAGCCAATCCGCACTATACAATGGCATTCGAACTCCGGCGCACCGTCAACATAGCAGCCCGCTCAGCAGCCATGAGCGCAATGGTGCAGCCTCAGCTGGAACGCTTGGTTTGGAAAGGGTTCTTCAAACTTCTGCAAGACACGTTGCCTCTAGTACGAGAGATTGCGCCCTTGACGCAGAAGTGCTTGAGCGATCCGGAGGTGCCTGAGGTCGAGATCAAAGATGCAACTTGGTTCAGGTTGCGGTTCCAAGATCGGTACGCGCTGGACTTGAGGTTGGCCACACGATCGAGGTTGGTTGCGTCGGATGCTTCGCGGCCGTTATTCCGAAGCGAGTCACAGGATGCGTCTAAAGGTCTGAATGCCGCAGAGCGCACAGAGCAGAGCAAAGATGGTCTTTTCTCTGGCTCTGACCTGCTCAACAATCTCGTTGCTGGCAAACCTGGCACAACCGACACCAATGTCACAAGGCCGAAGGCAAAGAAGCGCACGGATCTTTCGGCAGCAATGCAGTTCCAACCGATCCCCAACATGGATTCTGTCCTACGCAAGATTCACACTTGGCTACGAACTTCTGAAGATGGCGAAGCGGGACAGCAACGCGTATGGGATCTCCGTCGAGCGTTGCTCATCTCTCTTGCTCCGTTGGACTATGACAAACCAGATGGATTGGTAGGCAAGATTCTGCCTAAATTGGTCGAGATGGTTCGTGCTGAGATCGGGGCTGCTAGCGGAGAGTGATGCCATATGGAAGCCTGATTAAGCCCTGCAATCTTGATACTTTCTTGTAGCCATACAGAGCGCATTAGAAGAGTAACGTCCCACCTGCTTGTTCCTCATCGTACTGATGCCTGCGTGAAAGGATTCGATGTCGACACAGCGATGAAAAGGTCAGGCTGGGTTTCTTTGTGAATTTTTTCACCAAACAAAGCTGTAGCAGACACTGAGAGTTGGAAAGGTGGGTTCAACTTGCGCGAATGCTCGAGTGTGCAGGAGAAGTTTTAAGGAGGTCAAACGTTGAAATCGCAGATAGACAAAGTCAAGAGCAGATCTCGACATGACATCTCGATCAGGCCAAGGTAAGAAGGTATGAAAGAGCGACTAAAAAGAAATTGCAAAACTGTGTAGGATAACAAGACCTGACCTTATAGAGCTAATTAAGAAAAGAGTGTGAATATCAAAATAAATAAATGAATGAATAAAAAGCACTATCACTTAAAAGTCAACACCAAGTAGCGCAGTTCCAGCTGGACTTCTCTCCAAGCTTTGAATTTGCCTTGCGTGCCATCCGTCAGACTGCAATCTGGCATGCAAACTGCCTTCATCTTGATGAGAGGGATTTACACCTGGGCTGATGGCTGTTCGGTTCCTCCTTTGCCTTTGTGATACTGGCAATGCTCGTTGCTGTTGCTGTTGAGCGCCAGAGGAGGAGGGTCGAAGCAAGTTGGGCTCGCGTCGGATGACGTTTGCTGGTGCCGTAGATGGGCGGGCTGCTGAACGCGATTGACCTTGACCAAAGACTAAGTTGGAAGCTTCAGTCAATGTTCGCGGTTGAGGAGGTTGAGGAGTTTGAGAAGGTTGAGAAGGTTGAGGAGGTTGAGCGGGGTAAGGCGATGTGGGAGGGTAAGAGGTCTCCTTCTCTCCACAGTCAGGAGAGATGGATCGCAAGTCTCCATCGCGTTGAACCTGACCTTCTTCCGTGATGACATCGTCCATGGTGTGAACTAATCGACCATCTCGTGATTGCTGAGCAGCTTCCTGACCCTGAATGAAACGACGAACGCCAAGAGAGCTGTTCATGTTGTTACCACCTGCAACGCTCGAACCTGAGACAGAGGGAACAGGTTTACGGCTCGACATGCTATCAGCGCGCGAAAGAGGACCGTCGTTGAGCTGCCTCATCTCATGATCCTCGTTGGTCTGACGGGATCGCGAAGAGGTAATCGATTGACGGCGACCGGGTGAAAGCGCGGTAGTACCATCAGCTCTCCTCTGCTGGTACTGCTGCTGTTGCTGCTCGTATTGCTCAAATCCATCTTCCTTCGACCCACGACGAGCTCCATTACCCCATCGTTTGGTACTGGGCAAGACGCTGAACTTGTTAGTAATGGGCGAAGCAGGGTTGTCGTCAGAAGAGAACTTGGAGCTGGTCTCGAGCTTGTCATCGTCATCGCTACCCGCGTACTTTTTGGTGTTGAAGCGACCGGCAGAGATGAATGATTCCTTGTGCGAGATGCGGCGAGGCGAAGCTGCTTCGAAGAGACCCTTCTCTTCAGCCTCGGACTGGAGGGAAGAGGGGTACCTGCGACGCATCTCGAGGATGACCTCGTGCTCAAAGTCATCAGCCTGACGACCGCGGAGAAGCATCATCTGCGACTTGGAAAAAAGAGTGTAGGGAACAAAGACGAAGGGAGTAGCCGAGTTGGGCTTGTCCGTAGGCACAACCTCGGAGACGGCGTGCTGGCCTTCGGAAGCCGAGTACGAGGCGGGCATAGTGCGAGCCTCAGGCAAGACAGCTTGAACCAAGATCATCTCGGCGGGAGCAGTAGAATCGTCAAGGCTGGAAGGCACCTCAAGAACCTCGGCGCTGATGCGAGCAGTCTGGCAGATCTTGGGGTAGAAGCGGACCGAGTTGTGCAAAGCGTCAAGAGCAATGAAGAGAGCAGTCTGGAACTGAATCATGAGCTCGACAGCCTCCTGTTCGGCCTCGTTCTCCTGGTTGTCAGCAACGTTGACGGAGGAGATGGACTGAAGGTACTTGCGACGTTCACCAGAGCGGATCGACTCGCGCTCGCAGACCTTCATGGCGTCCTCCATGGTAGCTTGATCGAGCGAGCCAAGGAAGGTCTTCATCTCTGGCGTGATGCACTGAACGTCCGGCAGACGGTAGGCAGGGATCTGGTGACGAGCAAAGTTGTAGACAAGCACATCCAGACCACCCTCCTTGCTAGTCGATGCGCGAACGCCAAAGAGACCACAGTAGACTCCTCCAGGCTGAACGACAGGACGAGTACCACGCTTGGCGTAAACCTTGAGCGAGTCAAGCAAAGGCTCCATCTCGTCCTTCTGCACTGCGACACGGTCGGCAAGCACACCAGCAAGGAAACGAGTCTCGGTCATGCGGTAACCCATCTGCCGGAAACGCTCGGTGGAAGCGGCCGAGTTAGGAAGCTCGCGAACAAGGAACAACATGGCACCTTCCTCCTGGTCATTACCCTCACCAAAGATGGAAGGAACAGGACCGTTGATGGAGCTCTCGTCATCGGCAAACTGGCGGGAAGGGGTGAACTTGTCAGGGATGAGGTTGTTAGGGTTGCTGCTGTTTCCCTCGCTACGAGTTCCAGTGGGCAAGACGTGGTCGTAGAGAACTCCGATCTCCTCGAAAGGAATGTCGAGCTCGTGAGCAAGGTGGTAAGCAGCGTCAATGAAGCGGTCACGGAAGTCAGCCAAGCTCTGAGGTCCCTTGCGTCGGTCATCGGAGATGTCGAGGGATCGTCGGCCCTGAGCGATCATCTTCTTGCCACGACTCTTCCAAAGGGCCTCGTTGCTCTGAGCGTTCTGGGACTCAGCAGCGAAGCGAGAAGTGATGGCGCGGAGCCAAGGGCTGATGATCGCCCAGTCCCACGAGAGCGAGTAGAGCCATTGGAAGGTAGGCTGACGGTTGTCAAGGGCATCCAAGATGTCACGGGTGTTGACATCGGTCTCGATGATCATGAGAGGCATGGTACCGTCAGGCTTGACGAGGAGACGACCCTGTTTGTCAAAGGTGGCAGAGCAGACGACAACCTTTTTGGACTTTCTTCGTGCGTCACGAACGATAAGCATGTCCGAGACGGCAATGAAGATGGAGAAGCAGATGATGACGAAACACATGCAGCCGATGGCGATAACGAGAATGTTGTTGCGCTGACGACCGATGAGCAAGCTGATCTCGTTCATACCGGTGATGGTAGAAGCCTTGACCTTGTAGCTGGTACCCCAGACACCGATGTAGTGCATGCCCGAGACGGCAGCAGCAAGAACAAAGGCGCAGATCATACGCTTCCACCACGAGTCTTCCCACTGGGAGCGGAACTTGAAGAAGCCAGTAAGGGCGACAGTAGAGGCGACACAGGCGACAACGATCGAGATGGTGACAAGGGTAGGGCTGTAGCTGACCGCGTAGTTGGTCTTGAGGGAAGCCGAGTAGTGCATAAGACTGACAATGAGACCGGTCAAGACACCGGAGATGGTGGTTCGGATGAAGCTGAAAGAGATGGCAGCGTCGACGATGAAGAAGGCGGCGTGAAGAGCAATGATGGGAACGAAAAGACTGAGAACGGTGAAACCAGGGTCGACCTTGATGTACCAGTTGACGCCAGCGACGGGACGAAGACTCATGTGCATGCCAATGAAGTGCATACCCCAAATACCGACGGCAGCCATGGTGGTAGCAGCGAGCGAGAGAAGGAAGATGTTCTTTTTACCCTTGTTGGAGGTACGCTTGCCGAGAACGAGAAGAGTCGAATAGGAACCGAGAGCGGAAACAGCAATCGAAGCCACGACGATACCGGGGTTGAAACGCTGTGGAATGCGGTGTGTGACATAGTACTCTGCCACGGCAGTGAGGTCTGTGGAAGCGAAGAGTAATAGAAAGCAAGCTCAGTAGGGTTGCAATCGCGGAGAGGTGAGGGCAGGGCTTAAGCCAATTTCAGGCTGAACGCTACTTACTATTCGGGTTGATGCCAGCAGGCAAAACGGGCTCCATGTAGAGCCCGCGTGGAACGAGCTGGTGAAGACGGTCCATTGTGTAAGTGTAGGTGTGTGCGCCTGGAAGTGGCTGCTTAGGTCTAGCGTGGGAACTGCTCTTCCGTGGTTGTCGCTCAGAGACGGAGGAAAGCTCTAGGCCGTAGTGGAGCTCCTTCTAGTCCAATCTAAGGAGGAGTTGTGCACCCGATGGCGATCAGTATTGTTGCAATTATTACCAAGTGCAGAGTGAGTCCGTGTGATGGCGGAGCAGATCGAGCGGAAGACGAGAGGCGGTGTAAGTGAAGTTGGTGGTTGTAGGATCGAGTCGCGAATGAAAAGAAAAGGTGAGGTCAGGGAAAAAGGTCAGGGAAGAAGGTCAGGGAAAAAGGTCGGGAAGGTCGGGAGGGTCGGAGCGATGATGGTTGGGCACGACGAGAAGGAGGAGAGGGTGGTGGAGAAGGGACAGGCAAGTAAGAGGGGGACGCAGTGATGGCGGTTGTTCCACAGAAGCCTTTTGTAGTGGAGAGACGAAAAGGAACGATTGACAGCGGGGTGGCTAAAAAAAAAAGGGCGACAGGCAGACAGAGAGCGGAAGAGGAGAGGCAGAGAAGTAATGGACCGGCCAGCAGCTCAGCACTACTGTCGATTGCAGATGACAAGGCAACGCGAAGGATTGGAGAGAGTGAGTGAATGAATGGGTGAATGGGTGAACTAACACGCCGGAAACGTCTGGAGAGAGGAAGCAAGACAAAGTGCAGCCTAGCCGGCTGTGTAATTGCTGGCGGAGAGGCAAACTGACAGAACGGAAGAGAAAAGGAGAAAAGAGTGTGAAGAATCGATTGAAAGATCTGCCAACACACTCCTCCTACACACTCCTACACACTCCTACACACTGGTTGATGAGAGCAGCGACAGAGAGAGGAGAGAGAGAGGATGAAGAGTGGGTTTGTCACCACTTGGATTCGACTAGACTCATTTTGCACACAATATCGCTGTGGAACTGTCTAGATTTCACCGCAGACTGCGAATTCGAGGAGAAAGCAGGGAATAAGAACAAAAAAAAAAAAAAAAGAAAAAAAAAAAGCCACACAAAAAGCACAGACAACAGTCTGGCCCTCGTTTACAGAAATGTGCATATAGCGGCAGATGAGGAAAAGGTGCAAAGTGTGGGAACAATGAACTGCAATGCAACAGCAATCAGCCCAGTCACTTCCAAACGAAAAATAAAATAAAATAATAATAATAATAATAATAATAATAATAATAATAATAATAATAATAATAATAAAGAATAAAAAAAAAGAAGAAAAAAAAAAAGTCGTTCCTGTAAAACCAACAAAAAAAAGAAAAAGAAAAAGAAAAAGAAAAAAGAAAAAAGAAAAAAGAAAAAAGAAAAAAGAAAAAAGAAAAAAGAAAAAAGAAAAAAAAATTAAAAATTGAAAAATAAAATAAAATTTGAACAACGGAAACAAAAGCCGGCAGCAGGGCTGTGGCGTTGCGCCGTCATCGCACTCGGTCCGCTTTTTTAGACGCGGCGCTGCCACACGGACAGCTGCTAACGGTGCCGATGCTGACACAATCCACGCTCTTGGCCGCTGGTGCAGCGATGCTTTCCGATGCTACGTCGATAAGTCTGCCGCTGAGCGTGCTGCCATCTCGAGGACAGCCCTCTACTCCAACACCTCTGCCGATCTACGCCTCGACATTCCAGCCCGACATTCCAGCCTGACATTTCAGCCTGGCTTGTTCTCTAACCCGACTGCCTCTCTGGGATCGCAAAGTGCGAGATTGGCGGGGACATGAGCTTCCGGTCGATCTCAGCGAAATCGGTCAGGTCGAGCAGATCCGATTGGATCTCAACGATCGCACTGCGAGAAGGGCTTACCGATGCATCGGGAGCCAAACGGCCTGATGGGATAGGAGGGATGGCCGTAGTGGCTTGGTCGCCATTGCCGCTAGTGAAGGAAGGCATACGGGAGGAGGAATGCAAGGGTGGGTGCCGACACTCGGATGAAGTGGGCGACACCCTTATGTGACATGAAGTCGCAGTCCGGGCCGATTTTGGATGCGGTAGAGGATCCTGGAGGAGGAGACGAGTAGATTGCCAGAGGTCGCGCGCCAGAAATCCGAAATCTCCTGGAAGAGCCTTGTTCGGGCAAATGTCAGCGAGATGTGTCCACTGAGCCCCTTCCGACCGATCTCGGTGAATTGTATCGAGTGTCTGTTTTCCGATCCATTTCGGCTGATCGGTGTGATGGGCTGGGTGGCATTTGCAACGCAAGCAGCGCGAGGAGACAACGCTTCAGATGGGATCAGGTCGGATCATTCGGATTGGTAAATTCGTGCTGGATTGACCGGCATTGCCGACTATGGACTAAACAGAGTGAACGGGGAGTCGTCTTGCAGACATTGAAGAGATCTTGACACCTTTACCAACCAAAGAGCTCTAGAGTAGTTTGTGACACAAACAAGCAAGCATGATGCACCTTGGCCATTGCTCATAACTCTGATACGGATGCAAGGAACGGTTTCAAGGAGGATGCATAAAGTTTGCGGTGCTGCTGCTTTCTGCTTCCATCTTGAAAGCAGCTTGCGTAGGAGTGCAAGAACGACAGGGATCGAGAGAAGCAAGGAGGTCAGGCACGTTCCTTCCGACCGATTTGCCGCGTGGCACCTCTCAGAAATTTAAGAATGAATTAAATAATTAGATAGATTTAAAAGAAAATCAAAAAATCAAAATCAAAATCAAAATCAAAATCAAAATCAAAATCAAAATCAAAATCAAAATCAAAATCAAAATCAAAATCAAAACATGAAAATCGCCTTTCCTTTTGAGCATAGAGCGTGAGGAGTTCTGTGTGTGCAAATTCCGAATTGTTCAAGTCGTAAACGGTCACCAGGTCGATATCGCACCAAAAACGCATCTTGCTTCAAGATGGGTTTGCATGCATGCCGTCTGCAGCCCAGCCAGGGCTCTGGTTGTCATCCCTTCACCAATGCTCCGTGTAGAGGATGCTCCCCCAAAGTTGCAGCATAGCACGCTTCATTCGACGAAACCTAAAATCATGCCCTTCTGAGACGAGTCTCTCTGTTCCCTTGTACGCTAGAGACGTTCCAGCGCCACCTAGTTGCTATACGTGGCGAAAGCGTATGCTCAGTGAGTGCCATATCCATCGACGAGGATGCCGCTTGTTGTACGGTGGAGAAGAGTGAATCGATCTGCGGTAAAAGCGACTTCAGTGCAGAAGCGATGTTCGCTTCTCTGCCTTCTTTCGCTACACAATTTCACACATTCTAACCACCACTTGCGAGAGACACATCATCTCTGCAGGTCGTGTCTTCTGTACACATTGCATTGTCTTGTTCGTATACAGTAGCTCAAAAGGCGGTAATGCAAGACAGCCAAGCGAGTGGGGTCACCGATCCGGGCCCAAGACACGACTGCATCTCGGTACGACTAAAAGCACTTGTCTAGCTACGCAGCGTCTTAGTGATAACCAGTGTCATCATTCAGCTTAGTGGTCTCTTACCAACTCCTTCTCTCCGATGATCCATGTCGGTGCCCGGCAGAAGGGTTAGGGTGCAAAGGAAGCATCCAAAGGCGATAGAGCTGCCGCCGCACAAGTCATACAGAGCTATCAAAGTGCAAGACTCATTACGCGTCCAAAGCGGCTGTGCCCTTGAAATGTCTCGAAGCATCAAACGATGATGCCGGTCAACTTTATGATCCTTGCAACCTATCTTCCTGATCCGCCATATGGCGCTGTATATGTTACCTGGCCCATGACCGAACCTTGTTCCGACGGTCTGGTCCATCTTGAACGCCTCCGCCTCATTAAGGGGCGGGTTAGGGCGATGCATTGCATTCCATCGGTAGCGGCCTAGAGGTAGGAACAAAACATGTTTTCTATGCTTCTGACCCTCTAAGGGGTTGGACGCGCAGCTGTGGGAAAATAACCCGAAGCAGTCTTTCTTCTCCTAACTCCTTCAACATGAAATGTGACAACGATTCAAGGAGGTCTCAGGGCGTAAGCAAGGTAGGTCAGCGACGATCGCTGTCCAAAAGTTCACACTTACAGTGCCAATCAAACATCTCCGTATTGACGAACGGCGTCAAATCCACTCGGTCGGGTGCGAAATTAAGTGCACACAACGCGGCAACAGCAACTCTCTCCTAACCCTAACACATATCCTAGGTGCGACTACAATGAAAAAGAGAGTTTCCGCGCGAGGCGTGAGAAAAAAAAATATTAATTGCGCCTTTTAGTTGAATGTAGAAACAACACTTCCTTGGGGGCCACAATCAGGCTCGCTTCGGACAGATGTCTAACTACTACAAGTCTTGCTTATCACGAAAGAATGGAGGCTACAAAACATGAGTATATATACCATCACCGCCCCTGACTCTCGCTGTATTGTTCCAGGTGAGTCGTGTATATTTTCCCACATAACTCTAAACCCTCTGTCCAGTAGCTACCCCCCTTTCATAACCGTTGTCACGTCAACGCATCGTTTGGCATACCTCATAACTCGCTCTCGCTGTCGAGCCTCAAGAGTAAGCTGCATATGTTCCCACGAACTTTGCCCTTATCTCGGTCGCGCCGAGACCTTGCTTACTTTCGGTCTTCGGCTCCCGAATACGCCGCCCTTACGTGTTAGACCCTGGAAATATCGACGTATCTTGAAGTCTTTTTGGATTTTAAATTGCTCCTCTATTCAGCCCGAAAGTGGAAAGGCAAGCAAGGAGTACAGGAGCAGGAGAAGCGGAGGGAAAGCATCAAATCAGTCCCACGCCATTCCATCATTTCTTCTTCTATAGCTCAACCTCGCACTATAAGAGAGAAAGAGAGAATCTCTGTGCCGTTGCTCGGACGATTCTGCCGACGGATGTGCCGCAAGAGCGACGACCGAAGTTACAACTCTCGTCCGCAACAAGTTCGTAGCCATCTCCCCATTTTAAAACGAGGCCTGAAAATTCGTCGATCGGGTGGTATGGGGCCCCGATCTTGGATTGGTCCGCTTTCAACGTAGAGAGGAGGGTCCTTTTTGCCGCGCGCGCTTTGACGGCGTAACCTTTGAGCGAATCGCTTGTTGGAGCGCCGGTAACTGAGCACACCAGTCGAACCGGATCCAGATTCCACATTGCAGCAAGTTGGCCTGACCACCAATTCCATCTGTTCCACCTTCTTCTCTACATCATACATCGCATCGGCAGAAATCGTATAGTGCTCCGCACAAGCGTTGCTCACGATGGCCCTCTTTAAACAGTACGACGACTTTCTATTGAACAGCGCTTCTCAGATCACTGCAGTCGAAAGCTCGCTTCGATCCATCACATACTTCCTTCCAGGTCGATTCAAAGACGCCGAACTTGCAGGCGAAGCCATCTACGCCACGCTAAACCTTCTCGGTCTCTATCACGATTCCATCCTCGCTCGGGCGCTCGATAAGCAATATCCTTATGCAGCAGGCGCATCCGCCCAGGCAGTCACTACATCCGAGAAACGCAGTTTGACACCAAAAGATGTCAGTGCGATCACCGGCATCACTCCTTCTGAACATGCGAGGTATACACAGCACTTTGCACAGCATTCCAGCGGATACAACAAAGTAGCCAGGGCCCTGGTAGTAGTAGGATACTTTGAGCTGCTAGCAGAGATGATCGCTAGGCGGAAGCTTGGTAGGAGCAAGGCCTGGGATGTGGTGGCTGCGATTGAGGCAGTCAAAGTGGTGCTCAGGTTGAGCTTGGTGCAGATGACCGGGTCTAGAATGGTGATCAACCCACCCATTCCGGAAAGAGAAGTGGATCCAGCGGCATTGGAGAGAGAAAGGGCAAAGACGATGGGCAACTTTGCTGGGAAGTTGCATGATGCTGCTGCTGCTGCTGCCTCGTCTCATCTGCTAGGGTCATCTGCAGAGCTTAGCGAGAAGCCACCCAAGGGCTTCTGGAAGGGATCTCGTACCGGACTCTTGCGACCTACGCTTGCATCTCTTCGTCCCGGGTACGATGACGAAGAGCAAGACCCGCTTCCCACAGCCAACGAACCCGATCGTCAACCACCACACCTCCGAGCAATGCGAATCAACGCTGCCGCCGGCCACTCTGGCTCTGACACTGACGACACCCTCGTAGACTCAACCCGTCTCAACGGATCAACCACCTCCCTGATCCGCACTCCTGCTCCCACAACCGCCACAGGTCGCAAAGAACCCCCGTCACCTCCAATCGCGATGAAATCATGGTCCGAATCCCAGATCAATGACTACCTCCTCTCCCGCGTCTTGACTGTAAACGACGTTCGCAAACCCTCTGACCTCGTCCGTCCTCTCCGCAACCGCACAGGTCACCTCGCCGAGGTATTATGGATCTTGCGACCATTCATCTACGTCCTCGCCCTCCGCAAGTGGGGTAGGACTGCAACACTTCCCTTCGCCCTCTCCTTTGCGCTCGAATACCTCGCAAAAGAACTCCGCAACAAGTCGTTTGCGCCAGCAATTCCCGCACCCAAGAGCTTGTTCGCTACCAACCCACTCATGGCCGCTATGATGGGTCAAAATCCCCTCACCTCTATCCTCGCATCCGTGTTCATGGGTGGTAACCCAGCCGATAAGGCCAAAAGACCCATTTCTGCAGTTGAGCAAACAGAGTGGAGCAAGAGAAGAAACTCGTTCTGCTGGTACCTTCTCAGAGGACCACTGTGGTATGCGTTCACAAGGCCAAAGTTGCAAGGGATGGTGGAAAGGACACAAGGAAAGTTTTTGGTCGGAATGGTGGGTGGTGTTTTGAGCGATTACTTGCCGTTGATCGATGAGTATTACTATTACTCGGCGACCTGATCTCATTCCTCCTCAAGAAATACAACTCATGTTCAGGCCAACGAAGCAATGGCTTTTCTTGACACTAATCCAGCTCACAGCAAGACGGATTTGTGTGCAGATCTGATACTGAGATAACCTTAGCAAGATTGCGATGATGAGAAGAGACGATGCAAATAAATGAGATGACCTGTGTGGTAGGGGGCGATTATCGACAAGATGCAACGACTCCGTATATTGATCATGCATTCTGCGTTGCCGAAGAGGCAGCTGGTGGACTTGTTCCATTTGCATTTGCATTGGCTTGTTCCTTCTTCCTCGTCCTAGCTTCAATCGCCCTCTCGACCCAGCCGACCATATCGACGCCCTGCTCGCCCTTTGCATCGTCCTGTTTGAGAAAGTCGTGCTGCAGCAGTTGTGCGTACGTCGGCCTTCTCGACGGGATCTTTACCAGACATTTGGCTACAAAGTCTCGTGCTGTTTCGGAGTAGAGCTCATAAGGCAACTCGGGTGGATCGCCATGTACAATAGCCTGTAGTTGGGCAAAGACGTTGGAATATGTCTCTGGCGGGTAGGGGTAGGTTCCAAGTGTAGTCTCGACCATTGAGAGCCCAAGCGACCACACATCGGAAGCTACTGTGTAGGTTCGGAGCATGTTTTGCGATTCGCCCTTGATGCGTTCGGGAGCCATGTAGGATTGACAGCCAATGTTGGTCTTTGCGAGCGATTTCTCTAATTGTCCAGAAACTCCGAAATCACAGAGCTTGACTTGACCCTTGCAATTGATGAGGACGTTGGTGGGCTTGACATCTCGATGCATGATCTGAAGTTGGTCTTTGAGGAAGCTGAGACCGCGAACCATGCTGCCTGTGATCCTTGCCAGAACGTCTTCGGGTACGCTACCGCGGTCTCCGTAGAGTTTGTCGAGACTTCCGGCATTCATGTACTCCATGCAGTAGTAGACGCACGACTCAATGAAGAAGGCGCCGTAGAACTCGACGATCTGTGGTGCTGTTGCTCGATGCAAGATGTCAAGCTCCATGATGATAGCATTGAGCTTGGACTCGTCCAATTCCAGCCTGATCTCCTTCATGGCCATCTCGACGTGGGTTTTGGTGTGTTTGACTTTGCGAACAGTTCCGTAATTACCTTTTCCTAGCTCGTCCATAAGTTCCAACTCGGCCATGTTGATCTTGAATGATGTTCCATTTCCAAATTCGACACCTGATGCATGCAGAACAGCTTTACCGCTGAAGTTGAGTCGACCCGAGGGATCGACGATCTTGGAGAAGTTGCTGAAGGGGGTCGACATAGCGTCATTTTGACCTTCTCCTCCTTCGTTGGACTTGCTAGAGCCATTGCTATCGGGGAGACGCCCTGGTGGTGGTGCTCTGCGGCCAGCGCCAGCACCCATGCCTGGTCGTGGAGCAGTGCCTGCCTCGACACCGTCTCCGGGCCCAACACCCATGTCGCTGAGTTTGAGACCTGGTCGATTACGCCTTGCGCCCATGCCTCCGCCGGGTGCTACTCCTGGTGGACCTCCAGCTGCCGGCGAACTGCCCATTGCGCCAGGAACGCCTCGACGAGCTGCGAGTCCACCCATACCTGTTCCTGGCAATGTGCCTGGACGACTAGATGCCGAGACAAAGAGAGAAGCACTTGCACTGCTGTCGATACGCTGATCATGACCGAGAACGCCAGGATTGGGACTGCCAGACATTGTCGAGCGGTTTGCGTTGGCAGCGAGTTTTGCTTGTAAGCTGGGAGGTAGGCGTGCTCCTGCCATCTGTCGTGCCCGTTCAGCTGCGCCTACCGCTGTATTTGCTGGTCTCACTGCTGATGGACCACCAGTACCTGGTGAAGGTCGAAGTGATGGCGGAGCAGCGGATGAGGGCGAAGCGCGCGAAGGAGGGCCACCGGTGGCACTCTGTGGAGCGTCCTTGAGACTCACCTGAGCCGTAAGACGTTCCATCTCCCCTGAAGAGACGGAGTCAGTCATTCTGAAAAGGTCGGTAGGCGCCCGAAGTGATACGAGTGTGTCTTGGAGAGAGAATTGTGGAAGTATAGCGTGAATCTTCAAAGTCACTCGAAAAGGCAATTCAGGCCTTGAATGGAAGTATGATGTTGCTTATAAGGATGGAACCGGGGTGGAAAATGCCGATGAGCGATGCTGTTCAGTCTGACGGTGGAATGTGACACCTGAGATAAGTGGAATGCAGTAGAGGGGGTGATGTCGGATAAACCTGTCTATGTGTTCAGCAGATCAAAGATAGGAAGCCAGTGAAAGTAGGTAAGAGCTCGTCGCGGTGATGGAGTGGAGAAAGGATGAAGAAAGAAAGAGGGGGAGGTGTAGAGGCGCCTTTTCGATGTTGAATGTGTGTGATGGTGAGGAGGGGAGAGGCTGTCAAGGGAAAACGATTCATCAAGAGAGCATCACGAACCGGTCGCTCTGGCAGCACAGGTCCGACGTTGCCCGCTCAGCCCATTTCAATTTCACATTTTCCACTTTTTGATCAGATCACAGCACAGCACAGCACAGCACAGCACAGCACAGCACAGCAGAGGCAAATTCACAGCACAACAGCGAAAAAGAACGAGGCAGGGCTTGGGAATTTCGCGAAATCACACCAACTCACTCACTGACTTCTCACACAGACTGAAAAATTGCCCTTCCAACACGGCACAGTGAAGCAGCAATACTGTAATACACTCTCTAGCATTCGTTACAGATCCACTTTGACGCTGTGCTTCGTCTCTCTTTCTCTTTCTCTTTCTCTTTCTCTCTCTCTTTAGTGAGGCAGAAAGATGGCCAGGCAAAATGCAAACGTTGCAGCCGACTGTTTCGATTTCAGAGAGCCTTTCCCGAGGTGCGACGGTATCGGCAAGCGCTGCTACGATACAAGATGAGATTCTGCTGTGAGGCTGTCGTCTATGATGTGATCTAGAGCTACATCAGCAAGGCTGCTTTAGGCTCAAGCGAAACAGAGAGTTGTGGCCGTATCGCCGCCAAACACGGAATTCGTGTCGCTATCTCCATTCGCTCACGCTTCCTCCTGTTTCCGGCCACGCTTGTCCTTCAAAAATGCAACATGATCACTGATAGCCAGGATCGCTCGCAAGCTTGATTTGACACCAACGCAAGCCGAGTTTCCTTCTCGCCGTAGATTCACTACGCAAGGGTTATCAGTGAAACCATCTTGCTTGAAAACACGAGAGGAGAGCATTCAAGTGTTGGCTTGCCTGCAATTCTGACTCAGCCCTTGGCATCGACGTCGCACACAAAATTCGGTCAGGGATCGATCGAAAGAAAATCGGTCACTGGCACATTTCTCATCGGGAGAAGCTGAATTTTCGGACGATCGGACGGTGTCGATACTGGAGATATCCATCCAATATGATGACCTTGGTTGACGTAAGCGGATAAGAAAGAGATCGGACAGAGCCGATCTCACCAGCGATCGGGTACAACCTAGTCCCGCTCGTTGTCAGATTTCGTCATTAAGAAGGATACATGCACATTCGGCATGTGCCACCCAGATGTAGATATATCGAGCTGATAGTTCTAGGCTCTCACCATGTTCGATTAGTCAATTGAGTAGATGTGTTTCTGTCCTAAACAGCAGCGATACTGTGCTCCGACTATCACCGATTGTTGATCATCGGGACCCGTCCTCATCTCGAGTCTGAGAAGAGGATCTCGATGAGATCTAACAATGTGCAAGCAAAGCGCTGACTCCGTGAAAGCAACGATGAAAAACTTGACGGTCAAAGGCTATCAGATTGCTGATGTCCAAGCACAATTCCGCTGCTTCCGCTCTGCCCGTGAGATAAGTAGCCAAGTGGTTGAAGAAACCTGATCGACGTCGATCAACGTTTCTCTCCATGTGTCTCTGTGCAGGCTTTACTCAACGCGAACTCGGCCTGAATGCTCGGACCGGCCGCAGACTCTCGAGAAGAAGCAAAGAAGCAGTAGGCTTTACACTCTTAAACCTTCAGCACTGCCCAGATCCTGTCATAAAGCTTACTTCCAACAACCATACCATGATCTTGACTTGACAGACTTCATGATTGCTTCTGCAAGCGACGCTATCAAATCATGGATGCATGTCTTGTATGACCGGAAGGCGACAAGAGGGGGTATCAAAGTTTTTGCGTTTTTAAAAACCCGGGTTTTTTCAAGAGCGCATTTTTCAAAAAAACGCAAAAGCTTACATAAGCTCTGCAAAGGGAAAAAAAAAACCGCATTTTCAAAAATGCAGCTCAGGAGGCACATTTGTGAAAACACTGTTTTTTTATCACTCCACATCTTCTCTCCTTTCCTCACTCTTGTCACACTTTTGCTCACTCCCTCTTCCTTGTGCTCATTCAACATGACCTCCTCCACTGATGATTCTGGTGACATCTCTGCAGAGTTGTTATGCCAATCCACTACACCTACAAGCTCTGCAACTCAGACCAAAAGCATGCCTGCACTGTCTCAATCTGGTTCTACAAGTGCTCCTGACATCCACACTTCCTGTCCAACTCAAGCCTCTAGATCTGCCACAGGCAAGAAGAACTTGACATGGTCAGGTGCCAATGTTCTTCACCTTGTCATGATCCTCTACAACAACAACTCCTACCAGCACACTCTGCTGCCATCTTGAGAATTGGCTGAGAGCAATCCAGCCCTCAAACTTCACAAACATCCCATTTTTCAGGATATCTCCAAGATGATTTTCCCAGGTGCATCTGTCGATCCCAATCGCATCAAGTCAAAGCTGAGGTGGCTGCTAGAGACATACTACAGGGAGAAGAAGAAGCTTTCACCCACTGGAGCTGGTACACTGCTGGAGGACATGGATGCATCCAACCCAGTAAGTTTTGGTGATCTTTGTTGCTTGCAATAGTATGCTTGGATGCTGATTCATACTTTCAATTTTAAACAGTCCTATGTATCTCGCATTGCCCTGTCAACAAAGTATGCTTGGTTTGAAAGGATGCACAAGATGATGAATGGCCGATTCAATGCTGATCCCACAGCACTTATCACAACTCCCAGTCTTGACTTCACCAGTGATGACAAGCCTGACATGCCTTCGAATGGCTCAGCTGACATACCCATGGATATTTGTGGCAGCAAGCTGTACAATCACAGTGCTCATGGCCATGGTTTGCCTCCTATTCTTGACTTGATCAAACCCACCAACCCCCCAGCTGCTGTTGCATCCACTTCTGGTGCATCCTTTGCTGGCACTGGTGATGATGACATCTTTAACACATCTTTGCCTCCACCTTTGCAGGCTCAACCACCTTCCTCCACTGCTGGCGGTTTGGATGTCTCTGATTCCACCTCTTCTCAATCTTCAGCCCAGCTCTCTCCCAGCACCAAGCACAAGCGAGGTGCCCTTGATCACAAGCATGACACACTTGCTGAAGCTTTCTATCATTCTTCCATTGATACCCTTCAGATCCACCTGCAGCTTGAACAGGAATGCACCAGATGCAAGAAAATACTGGAGGCTGAGTGTACCAAGCATGAGGAGATGCACCTGCATCATGAGAGGGAGGAGAAAGATCATGATGAATGTGTTCACATGTGTGATCATGAAATGGTGATGGAGATGGTGTGCCTCCTTGCTTCTCAGGCCAGCATCAAACAGGATGCTTGTCAGAACACCAGCAACAACAACAACAACATGGACTCTTCATTCAATCTTCCTGTCTTGTAGCATTACATGTACTATCATCTGGTCTCAATGCAAAGTCATTTCTGAGTGTTTTTCTGTAGAGTGCAAGTATGAGGTGAATAAAAATGATGTGCAGCACAGTCACATAATGAGCTCAAAAGCATTTAAACGAAAATTTTCACTCTCACACCTCTTCCATTACTACCACCACTCTGTCATGGGCCTGGATGCTCAAGAAGCAGGAGGGTCACTGGTTCATATGGAAGGAGCACAGGTATCGAAGACCTAGTCAATACCAGTAGAGAGCATGGTCGTAGTGCAGTCTCCATGGAGACCATGGACTCCTATGGACTCACATGCAAAGGAGAACTGAGCCACATGCGAGGAGGGCCAGACACAGCCATGAGGAGGACCAAGCTCAAGGAGCAGGCACAGCCACGAAGAGGACCAAGCTCAGATGGTTACCACTCAGGGGCTCGAGAGACAAGAGTCATAGGACACTGGCAAGCAGGTCATGAGGAAGAGGAGCAGTGTCGAAGGAGTTGACACCAGGTCATGAGGAGGAGGAGCAGTGTCGAAGGAGGCGACACCACTCAAGAGGCACAGGGGTGCCAAGCAGGAGAGGCCCCTGAGCAGTACTCAATGAAGAAGGTACTCTCTGGAGAGAGAGCAGGAGCAGCATCGCTGGCAATGCTGTAAAGAGGTATATAACCATGCTTTCTCATCATCATAGGTTGAGTGGATCCTCATCCACTCTACTCACCATATAACTAGTTATCACTTCAGCATAAGTATACATTAGTTTCAGTCAGCATAGCAGCAATCTATCAAGGTTGCTCCTCATTGTAGTGTGTGTGTTGTATCACCACTACCTGATGTCCGAAGGCGCCCATAGCAGGTTAGCAGTCCAGATATAGATAGAACCAAAGGCAGTAGTCCACTGTGGTCTGGGGATCACTTCAAGCATCAAAGTCAACACACTGGACACTCATGTTGATGCCACCAACTGTCATGGGCCTGGATGCTCAAGAAGCAGGAGGGTCATGGGTTCATATGGAAGGAGCACAGGTATCGAAGATCTAGTCGAGATCAGTAGAGAGCGTAGTGCAGTCTCCATGGAGACCATGGACTCCTATGGACTCACATGCAAAGGAGGGCCAAGCACAGCCACGAGGAGGACCAAGCTCAAGGAGCAGGCACAGCCACGAAGAGGACCAAGCTCAAGGAGCATGCAGATGGTTACCACTCAGGGGCTCGAGAGACAAGAGCCAAAGGAACTGTCACTGACCAAAGGAGAAGGAGCAGTGTCAAAGGAGTCGACACCAGGTCATGAGGAGGAGGAGCAGTGTCGAAGGAGTCGACACAGCTCAAGTGGCACAGGGGTGCCAAGCAGGAGAGGCCCCTGAACAGCACTCGATGAAGAAGGTACTCTCTGGAGAGAGAGCAGGAGCAGCATCGCTGGCGATGCTGAGAAGAGGTATATAACCATGCTTTCTCATCATCATAGGTCAAGTGGATCCTCATCCACTCTACTCACCATACAACTAGTCAATACTTTAGAAGCACAAGTACTCATTAGTTACAGTCAGCATAGCAGCAATCTATCAAGGTTGCTCCTCATTGTAGTGTGTGTGTTGTATCACCACTACCTGACGTCCGTAGGTGCCCATAGCAGGTTAGCAGTCCAGATATAGATAGAACCGAAGGCAGTAGTCCACTGCGGTCTGGGGATCACTTCAAGCATCAAGTCAACACACTGGACACTCGTGTTGACACCACCAACCTTATCACCAACACCATCAACCCCATTATCATCAACACCCACCAACCTTATTACCAACGTCATCAACCTAATCATCATCAACACTCACACCAGACCTTGGTGTCATCATAACATTGATATTGATCGTGCCGAGCTACCCCTGAACGGAGTGTCCACAGAGGTCAGCCGAAACCTATGATAGTATATACAATGAACGCCACCTGCTGTCACTGCACAACTTGATAGTCACCGATACCGAGACAATAGCTGTCGCACAGTTTGATAGTCACCAAGTATCTCGACAGACCGACCTGGGTTTCAGGTGCAAGACCCCTGACATTAGAGTGGATCGTTCAAGCAGCTCCTCACGATCACCATGACGGACCCAGACCTCCACAATAAGCTCGATAGACTACTCACTCTATTGGAAGCTCAGCTAGAGCTTACTAGGCAGGGTCATCGAGAGGAACAACTACAACGAGCTCAACTGAGCAGGGAGGAGACAATGGACCTCTCTCACTCAGAAGACCAAGCAGGAGGAGGAGATGAGTCTATGATAGGAGACCCACATACTCCTACTCCAGCTCCACGACCAAGACGATCAGTCTCATTCAACCTGGATGAGCAGGAGGACATCAACTACGAGAAGTATGCTTCACCTACTGGGCCAAGATATGTCAAGACTAAGCTGGACCCCTACAGCAGGACTAGGACGGACCCTTACCCCCTGGACCACGAGGAGGACACCAGCATCATGGCAGAGCTTAACCGGTCAAAGCCCATCGCCACCCCCTTCCCAAAGTTCAATCCCCGAGACATGGAGATCTTCATTCTAGAAGCTGAAGCATGGTTTAAGTTCAACCAGGTGTATGAGCAGACTAGGATGATCAATCACATGGGTGCTCAACTGGAAGGGACAGCAAGAGAGTGGTGGACCTCCAAGCTCCGTATTGATAGAGCTAGAGAAGGAAGGTTGTTCAATGATTGGCACTACTTCACAGAGCAACTGTCAGAGCAGTTCAACCCATGCAATGCTAGGATGGAGGCATACAACAAGCTGTTGGCTCTCAGACTCACAAGTGATGCTCCTGGTGCCGCCACACGTCATGTAGAGCGGTTCAGAGACTTGGAGGGACAGGTCAACCTAGATGACAACGAGCTAGTGATTGATCTCTTCAGAGGAAGTCTCACTTGCAGCATACAGGAGAAGTTCGAGAGGAATCCACCTGGGAAGAGATGGGAGTGGTACCGAGAGGTTGAGGAGATCGATCGACAGAGGATGCTACTACAGCAGTCCTCGGCTAGACACTCACTCCCAAATGCCATGTCACCTCCACTAAGAACTGGGTCTCGGCCAAATCAAAGTTCGATCCCCATCCGACAACCCACTCAACCTTATCCAGCTCAATCACCATCACAAGCAACTACACAAGCAACTATACAAAACCTAAACCGACCCCTTCCTCATCATCCCACCCAACCCTCGAAGCAAGGAAGCCCTGCTCCATCAGGTATCAACACTTGTCATGTATGCAAGGGTATCGGCCATTGGGCCAGAGACTGCCCCAGCAGGAGGGTAGACCCTCTTAGCTCTCGACCCATGGGACCAAAGGTTATGGTCACCACAGCAGACCCCTTCGAGGAGGCCACTGACTCAGGAGATGGCCACACAGGCAGCACTGAGGCGGGTGACCCTGAGGCCATGGACCTCAGCTCATACCAGCAACCCATGGACCCTGATCACGAGGAGGAGCACGATGATGATGACGATGAGGGAAACGTCGGTGGGGTGATGCATTGATGGCATGCATTGCTCTACAAACCTCCTCGCCATCACTCTGTATATATCAAGATTGTCAAGTATGTTTCTCTACCAGTGGAGGCAAAGCAGTACTGGAGCTCTCTGGAATGGTTCAAGACCATCCTGCTCGGATACTAGCTGATACCGGTGCTGGTTTGTCCATAGTCTCAGATTCTTTCATTAGTAAGTACCAAATACCCACAAAACCCATAAAAACAAGATCAATCCATGGTGTCACTGGGCACCAACTCTCCATCAATAGTTCTGCGAGCATGCAGGTATCTATTGGTACACACAATCTGGGTGTGGTCGAAGCTTCAGTGGCCGACACTGCGGACTATGACCTCATCCTGGGGTTCACTGAGCTACGGAGGCTCAAACCCACCATACAATGGGATACAGGCCAGCTGGAGTTCAAGACTCAGGAGCAGGACCGACCCCCAAGGAGACCCCCTGAGGCAGCAAGAGCAGGGGACCTAACCATGAGGAGACCAACCCTTCATGGTAACGAGTTTGTCTCAGCAGAGTGCATACTACGAGCAGCTCTGGAAGATGGACCCATAGGGTTCATGCTGTTGGAGGAGCCACCATCATCACTCCCGGCCTTTGGTTTTGTACCTACAGGCGCAGACAAAGGAGTCGAGATGGAGGTGGAGGTAGATAAGGTGGTGACGGCTGCAGACATACCAAAGCCATACCAACACCTGCGAGATGTGTTTGATGAGGTGGAAGCAGACAAGCTGCCCCATCATACCGAGCATGATCTCCACCTCGAGTTGATAGAAGGAGGTAAGCCACCTCAAGGGCCCCTATACCTTAAGGGACCCAAGGAGATGTCCGAGTTAAGGAGGTACTTGGATGAGAACCTCGAGAAGGGGTTCATAAGACCATCGAAGAGCCCGGCACGATCACCAGTGCTCTTCGTACCAAAGAAGGATGGAGGTCTCAGACTCTGTGTGGACTACAGAGGTCTCAACAAGATCACTGTCAAGAACAGGGCACCATTGCCCCTCATCGAGGAGCAGCTGTTCTTACTCAGGAAGGCAAGGATCTATACCAAGCTAGACCTTAGAGCAGCATACAACCTCATCCGGATTGCTAAAGGAGATGAATGGAAGACAGCTTTTGGCACTCAGTTGGGACTCTATGAGTACCTAGTGATGCCCTTTGGCCTAGCCAATGCTCTGGCTCACTTCCAGTCATTCATCAATGACATCTTCTGAGACATCATTGGGATATATGTGGTAGTATACCTAGATGACTTCCTGATCTTCAGTGACACTGAAGAAGCACATGTGAAGCATGTCACCGAGGTCCTCACTCGCTTAAGGAGCAACAGGCTCTTTGCTAAGCTGTCGAAGTGTGAGTTCCACACCAAGACAGTCGAGTTCCTGGGGTACATCATCAAGCCAACGGGCATAGAGATGGACCCAGAAAAGGTATGCACTGTCAAGGAGTGGCCAATGCCAGAGTCAATCC